AGCAATACCCACATGTTGCCCGTTGGTATAAGCATATCGCTTCCTTTGAACAGGAGTTCTCTACCCTTCCTGGTGATGCCTCCAAGGAATACACTACCTATGGCCCAGAGAACAGCGAGATCCCAATAAACACCAAGAGCGAACCTGCAGCTGAGGAGGACGACGATGACGTTGACCTCTTCGGCAGTGAGGACGAGGACCCAGACGTCGTTGCTACGCGAGAGCGTAACCTTGCTGCCTACCGGGAGAAGAAGGCCGCCAAGCCCAAGCCAGTTGCCAAGTCCATCGTCACCCTCGACGTCAAGCCATGGGGTATGTCTTAACTCGTAATTATCTGTAAACCACGTAGCTGCACACTAACCTCGTTCCCTCTTTAGACGATGAGACCGACTTGGCCGAGCTTGAGGCTAAGGTACGATCCATCGAGAAGGATGGTCTCGTCTGGAGCGGTTCCAAGCTTGTCGCCATTGGCTTCGGTATCAAGAAGCTCCAAATCAACTTTGTCATCGAGGACGAGAAGATCTCTGTCTCCGACTTGCAGGAGGAGATTGAGGGCTTCGAGGACCATGTCCAGTCCACCGATATCGTAAGTTTTATCTCCTGATATATATGGCACAGAACAAGTACTAACATATATTCTCTCTAGGCTGCCATGCAAAAGCTTTAAATTTAAAAAAAAAAAAAAAAAAAAAAAACAAAAAACAAATATTAAAAAAGAAGAAGAATACGTCGAGCAGACCTCGCGTTTTAACATATTACGAAACGAAGATGATGAAAAGCAGGCTAGGATTATGAACTTTGGCTTCACAATGCTGAATACTCCGTTTGTCGAAAGCACACGGTAAACAAAAACACAGAATGCTAGACATGGCTGCTTATGTTTATTGACGTTAATGAAAAATCAAACGACTCGACCAATTCATCTTGTACACGCTGTAGAAAATGATAAGCTTATCCCCGCAGTAGCTCGTGAGAACAAGCCTACAAGCCTGATGCTTGTTGGGCAGCAACTTTGCTGCATGAAGTTGACATTTCGCTTGGCGTTAAAAAATAAAGGCGCCAACAAGACAAACCAAGCAAACAACCACGAAGCAAGCTTCAAGCTCCAACAAAGCAAGCAGAAAGCTCAACTCGCGATACCATCATACGACAGTATCAGGATACCAGCAACCAAGATAAAGCCAATCGCAGAGAACGAAGATGTCTATGTTTTCTCGTCTAATAATAGGGCTGGGCCTGCTTCTCCTAGCGCATGCGTGAGTGGAAAAATACCATCTTATCCTCGCCTGCCACCACAAAAGCCCATCATTATCAAACGATGGATAGATAGCTAACTGCTCTACTCTGTGGATGGTTGTAGGGGATATTCAACGCACGAACACTCAACACTCTACGGTAGTGTCCATTCTCTCCCTGCAGACATCGCACTCGAGACGCTTGTGTCGGTAATAATGGTGACGGCGGGGTTGGTTATGGGATCCGAGAAGCTACGGCCGATTAGCTGGAGTGCTTGGGCGGGTGAAATCGAGAAGCAGGGTGGTGCTGAGAATCCGTTCAGAGGTCTAGAAGAGCGGATGGGATTTATTGATATCAGGGTTCGTCCCAGCCTTCATCTTTCCCGCTTCCTGCTTTGCTTTCTAACTGGTTCTTTTTTTTTTTTCTTTACAGACTAAACGGAGGGAATTTGCGGACTGGGTACGTGAGAAGGATATACCTGCTGACTTGAAGCAGTAGAGTATGTGGATGAATATATATCGTTATGATGGTAAATTGGATAACGGACCTGGAGTATGCATGCTCCACATTAGGCCGTTGGTGTGTTCATGCGTAATTGAAGTGCATATACATAGTTGTCTCCATCGAGATGAGTTACACGTACGGAGTACATCTTGCTGCTCCAGCATCAAACGGGCGAGATTATGTGTACATCTTGGCGGTTACAACGCCAGCAAACCCTCTTCCGCCGTCGTCGGATCTTGGTTTTGCTACTCCGTATGAGGTTTGCTGCTACTCCGGATAGCGATGCTGTTTGCCACAAACATGACCTTTTATATAGAGAAGATAAAGAGATCTGGAGGCGGAAAAGAATCGATAAACAAAACCGCTACACATCTCCAACCGCTATGGTGAAACTACCAATGCTGCCAACGTGACATTTGGCAACGGGGAACACGGATGATCTTAAGAGTTGGGAGGATTAATTAATGGCTAGGATTAGCACGTTTGCCCGTCATTATATATATCCCCTCGCCAAAGGGGGCAGACATAGTTTGTATATATTAACTCACGACTGGTTTTACAGCTAAGCTGGAATTACTCCGTTACATATACGCCTGATATATTATGTTGCATCACCATTGTGAGGCGCGAGAACCCGGGAAGATGCAGGTACTCCGTACATTACATGACATGTATGTTACGTCCGTTTTCTACTGGTTTCTTCTTCTGGAATCCGAGGTAGGACCCGTATATTGCTGGCAATCCTGTTTATTTCCTCCTTCCGTCTGCTAGGCGATAGGGCTTGGGCTAGCGCTGCTTAGTCGGTATGATGGAACGTCTCATGTCAGATAAGAAGAGGCAGACTGGTTCCATTAATTATATTTTCACGCCAGACCCGCGCAGGCTCGAAGTTGATTCTCCATTTCCTGTAATTACATAAGTCTGTAATGTTATTGTTTTTTTTTCGGTCTTCCTCCTCTTTTCCGTTGCCAGGTGAGACTTTTTTGGCGTTGTGGGTTTTTGGTTGGAAAGGGATGCCTTGCTTCTATTTTTATGATTGGAGCTGACGAATGCACTACCCAAGCTTTGCTCTGGGCTTGTCAGATCGCTTGGTGTTCCGTATAACATGACAGGTGGGTGGACTGGCTGGATGCATGACAAGGCGCAGTTTATGCCGTGACAAAGGCAAGGGGGGCCACAGCATCCAACCTCTTCACACTGCATGTGGACAGGTCCGTACCCAGCCGTGGTACATAGTAGAATTTGGGTCCGAGTGGCAGGGGAAAGGGCTGGGAGTCTTCCAAGAGCTCTTCAAGTGGTTATTTTCGTGGCCGATGATGGTTTTTTGAACACTCTTGTCAACTGTCTACCCGCCAACAGGAAGAGCGCCGGATGGCCGGTCAGCCAACGGAATTGTGGAAAAGCAATATATAACATCCAGAACAAATGATGGGTCCATATTGGTTGTCTGTGGATTTCTGCCCCTGGTCCACTTCGCAATATTACCCAGAGCGAGCCGCAGGTGAAACCAAAGGAAGATCGACTGCTGAAATGCGCCACTAAGGCAAGGTAAAAATTACGAATCCCTGGTAACCTTTGGTGCTCCGTTGTCTAGCCATCGGTTTTTTTTTTCCACTCGTGTCCACTGTATAAATATTCCCCATTCCTTCTTTGCGGTTGTGTCTTGCTTTCTTCCTCTTCCTCTCCCCTTTTCCACATATATCTCACGAATTCTCAATAAACGTGTCGTCGACGTATCTTAACGCTCATATTCCACACTCGTTTAACCTCACATCACCGCGTTCGACTCAAAAATAAAACACAGCCAACATGCGTTTCTCTGTTGTCTCCGTCCTTGCCTTGGCCACCCTCGCCATGGCCAAATCTGAGGTATGTTGTCTGTATACTTGATGGAGAGAACACACAAGGATAGACGGCTAACTTGATGTACTGCAGTCTGATACTGACCGCATGTCTATTCTCCCATACACCGGCACTATGGTCATGACCACTGCTCCTGCCCCATACCCAACTGGTGGCATGTCAACTGGCATTCCAGGAACTGGCTCTGGCTCATCTACTGCTTCTCACAACTCTACCAGCTCCGTTCGGACCAGCACCCGTACCGGCTCCGGGCCATCTTCAACCATGACCAGCACCTCTACCTCCACTGGTCTTGCTGCCACCGCCGGCCCAGCCATCGCCGGTGTCATCGGTGGTGCTGCCGTCATTGCTGCCTTCCTTTAAACGCATTAATTCTCGGCCATGGGGAGATTTCCAGTTCCGCTTTTTGGGCAAACCAACAACAACCTCTTATTTTGTCCTAAAATGAACGGGGATAACCAGGAAATTGCTCTTCCCATTATTCTTGTTTATTGTCCTTGCATCCGTTAATGTAGAAAGAACCCTTTTGCTTGTCCTGTATTATTTCCTTTAATTTAATATACCACACGTTTATTTCAGTTGGCGTTTGGCCTTTCCAGCGGTTGGGTGGCCTTTGAAATGGAATTTTTCTTTTCAACACAAAATTTGACGTGCACTCTTTTGTCATGGGCTCTTTATTCGATTTGGTTCTAGGCCTTTTGACCGCCTTTCATATGTGAACTCTTCTAGAATAGATATTAGTTTTAATGGCAATGTTTGGCTGATAAACACTCTTCTCCATCACTCGCTGTTCATGGGCAACCCAACTTACGTCCCTCTTGCTTCTTATCGTTTATCTATGTCTATGCAGGACCAGGGTGTGCTGCTCGCTCCCCCGGCAACCAGCCATGCGATTCAGTTCTTCAGCTCCAATAGTGATGTTATTCCTTCTGTAGCTGCGAGCTTGATGAAAGCAACGCGAAAGTCGCGGCGCAGAAAAAGAAAATAAGCGCCGTTTTCGTGTCAATTTAACCCTTTCGGGACTAGCGCCGTCGCCCCCCAAAAAAAACATCACAAAAACAAAACAAGGAAACAATAACAAGAAGCAACAAGCATCAACAGGAGGAGAAGAAGGATAAGAAGAAGAGAGAGCCTTGATCTGTGTCTGGTATAAAGGCAGCTCAAGGATATTCTGTCTCTCTGCCGCCGTTATTTGCTACAAACGACAAGAAACTGAGTGCAGTCTCTTACCCGCCACTCTCTTATCGTATCCGAGACGGGAAGATGGTATGGTCCTCTATGACGATATGATATACCAACTGAATGAGACAGCTAACATCATCTCCAGTCCTCCAACTTGAAGCGTCTGGCCAAGGAGCATGCTTCCCTTCATCACAAGGGCCTCCCGCCGTACTACTGCTTTCCCGGTTCCAACCCCGCTGGCTCAGATAGCTTGACACAGCTCACCGTCCTGCTCACCGGACCCTCGGGCACGCCTTATTCTCAGGGTCTCTGGCGTCTACAACTTCGTCTGCCAGAAGACTACCCTGCTAGCCCACCAAAGGCATTTTTCAAGACAAGGATATGGCACCCTAACGTGGAGGAATCGACCGGTGCAGTCTGTGTGGACACATTAAAGAGGGATTGGGATCCAAAACTTACACTCAAGGATGTTCTTATCGTAAGTCGCCTATGAGATGCCACTAGCAAGACCAGTACTGACGCTTGTCTCCAGACAATATCGTGCCTTTTGATACATCCCAATCCAGACTCAGCATTGAACTCCACTGCGGGTGCATTGCTACAGGAGAACTACGAGTCATTCGCTCGACAGGCAAAGCTCATGACATCTATTCACGCTGCTATACCAGCAGACATGAAAGACCAGGTAGATGAGGCAAGAAGGGGTGCCGACGAAACAGATGCTGCTACCAGCCTAGCGAGTGAAGAACAGAACAGATCTAATGACGGCCTCCCAACACCGGCAGTTACCATGAAACGAAAACAACAGTCAGCTCCAGCATCATTAGAAGGCTCGGAACATCCAACAACACAAGAACAACAGCTAGTACAGCCTAACAATCAGTCTCCCGGCAACTCAGAATCAGACTCGGAGGCAGACTCGGATTCAGAGAACTCCGAGTCAAAAGAGAACGACCCCACTCTCTCGAGCTCTCCAGTAATAATACCCGTTCGCAGCCCACGTAGTGTCCTCGGAAAACGGCCCTTATCCGTTATCTCCATGCCAGAAGAACCAGACCTGGTCCTGGTAAACGATTCATCCGATGATGAAGACGACACCGACCAGCCACCTGAGTTCAGCGGCATGACAGCTTCAGAGAAAAACGTAGCAGCCAACAGCCCCGAGCTCGCTGCAACTCTGAGCAGAAACAGATCAAATTCAAAACACTATATTCCCTCTTTAAATGATCAATCGTTGCTCCTCCAACCAAGAAGAAAGGCCCCTAAACTATCTGATTCAGGAACTAGGCGGTCATGCATTAATATGGGTTCAGCCAACGCATTTACTGCCAAGTCGGTAGATAAGAAGCGAAGCGCTTCCGTACCGGACGCCTACCATGCAAGTGGCAACTACATGAAACCGCTCAGTCCAATCATAAGCGCAGCCACTGCCACCAAGGATGAAAGCTCGCCTCTGTCAAGCCTGAAGCAGGCGGTTGGCGGAAGCCCCTTGCTAACCGGCAAGGCTGAACCAGTAGACGAGAAGGCGTATCGAAGTCTACAATCGGCTACGGTTAGGAAACAACCTACCTTGAGTAACCTTACTGTGAGGCCAAAGCCTAGAACGGGACTCAGGAGGCTGTGATGGCGTTCCTTCTTTTCCGCATACATGCATATTTTACGATGATTACCACGATGCTGATGATGGGTACGGATGGGGTATACGTTATGGATAAGGAGTTTTCTCTGGGCTTGTATATATTTGATTAGCTACGCAACACAATAGACACCAGTCACATTAGGCAGTTACATATCTTCATTCTTGCTACAATATGATCGAGCGCTTTTAACGAACGAATCACTTTTATTAAGGCTGACCTAACTATAAAAACATTAAGTAGCAGTAATGATAGCAAGCCGGGGTTATTTAATAATAGTAATAGTAATAACAATGTCACAATATAGAAATCGACAAAAAACACCATATTAAATAGACAGCTGGCTCGTCACTTTCTCTCTCCCCTTTGGCCAAGCTGTTAAACATGCATGGGGAAATGAACATAATTATTTTTTTTTCCTTCGGGGGGAAGAATATTTTTTTTGGGGAAACGTCATGGAAATCGGGGTGTTATGGTGTCTTCAGTTACTCCTCTCTCTCTCGTTATCGAAGTGCATTAGGGCCAGACTTTCACACCTTTCCAGGCACGGTGTGGACGTTAAGGGATACCATAAAGACAAAACAGGACAAAAGCAGAGAACTGACGCCCGCAATGAGTATCCGATACCTATAATGAAAAGAGCGGCATGTGTGATTTGCATCACATAGGGGGAAAAAAACGAAGGAAAACCAGTCGGTTGTTGTAATGAGTGCGCTGAACACCTTGGAAAAGGCATAGCATTGAAAATTCCCGGCAGGGTCTGGATGATGCTGTAAGCCGCTGCCAATGCAGTATTATGACGTCGACATCAACCAGCAGTTATGTAAGAGTACCCGATCCAATATTCAAGGAAGGGCCCTTTATATTCAATTTGGATAACCTACAAAGCGTAGGGGTTCATGGATCGTATGGTCAAGCATCTAAGTGGTATTGTTAGTCATGAGATCGTGATATCACTATAAGAGGGAGGGGGATGCTCACGGTGGGCTCTTGGTAAGATCAATCTTGAGAATGATTGGAACACGGGTCAATTCCCTCACATCTTGGATGTACTCGCCATCCTCTTCACGCAATTCGAAGAAGTGACCGTATTTCTCCTTGTAGTTTAAGCCGCCATTTGTAGTCTCGCCCGCTGTGGTTGCGATTCTGGGATCGGATTGGGTCCGGTGAGGTGGGTGGGCAGGCCCGTTCCTTGGGGACGGCGGCATGCTCTGAGTGGAGCGGTCTGGGGAGTTAAGAGAGACCCCAGCGAAGGAGTCCGTAAGAGTGTCTTCATCATCATCAAACAGGGCGTCAACGTCGTTTGGCGACACAGTGTTAGTTTCGGTACTGATTCGCTGGGCTTCTTCTCTCTCACGCGCCCTCTTTCTAGCTTCCTCAGCTTCGCGAGCAGCTGCCGCCTGACTAGCGGCACGTCCACTGAGAGCTGGTTTGGGACGCTCATCTTCAGGAATATACGCGGAGGATGGCACACCCTTCTCCCAGTAGAGTTCTAGAACACGCTCATCCTTGCGGAACTCTGCTTTCTTGAGCGGAAGTTGATCGCAGTGAACACGCTTCTCAAAACCATATTCAGGGATCAAGACATCAAAGGCGGACTCGTAAACACAAAGGACAATTCCTTCGGCAATCAAGTCACCGCCGATTTCCTGCCTCTTCTTATCCATGGCACGGCACGCTTCGATATGCACGCTTTGCTCCTGAGCATTTTGGGCAGAGTCTTTCTTGCTGTTAAGGATATCAATCTGCTTATACTCCATTTCCTCTGTCCATTCTGCACCAGTCAATGCTGCCTCTAGCTGTCTGTGGACAACAATGTCGACATAGCGACGAGATGGGTTGGTGAAGTGAGTGTAGATAGGCAAGTTGAGAATGTAGTGTGCGCGGTGGTCAGCCCTGACACCATAAGAAAGATAATACTTTCCACGGCTCATCGCCTTGAGAAGAAGAGTTTCCATACTCTAGAGAAAACATTAATACAACGGCCCAACAATCTGCTTGAAAGATGGGGAGACAAACCTTTCGCACATCATCATCTTCCAGATTGAAAAGACTATTCTGCAGCGTGCCACTGCTGGTAGGGTCAATTTCATACCCAAGTTTGTTCATACGCTGAACGAATGTTCGGAGACGCCTGAAATTTGGTGAACCCTGATGGCGGAGGATCGCTTTATCAGGGAAAGCAGCGAAAATCTTTCTAGCAACATAATGATTGGCCTTATAAGTGAGCTCGTCAATAACCTCATGAGCAATTGAGGAGTTGAAGATGTTCTGCTCGACGGGAATATTCTCGTCATCAAGTTGATACAAGAGACGGAGGGGTCGCAATTTCTCTATTTCTGTGTGGTGACCAAGGCGAGCCTTGCGGAATTTACCCGAGATGTCCTATAGCCAGGTTAATATTGTCTTTTCCAGAAAAAAGATGATGCTTATATATACTTACAGCCAACAGTTTAATATCCTGCTCGGTAACACCTTCCATTTCAATCTTATCAGCCCCCTTGATGATTCCATCAAGCTCAGGATAGCTAAGTTTCCCTGCACTCCTGATCAGACCCTTGCCAATCCATGGCTCTTTTACAACAGCGCCAGACTCGATATCAACTTGAATCACAACGCTCATAGTGAGGCGGTCCTCTCCAGGAAGCAGAGCCATGAGTTCATTTGACACTCGCGATGGGAGCATGCTCACAAGGCGATTCATCAGGTAGACACTGGCTCCGCGTTTCTTGGCCTCCCTATCAACGACGCCGTTGTAATCGATAAAATGCCCAGCATCAGCAACATGAATGCCGATTTCAACCTTTTCATCGTCTATGGGTTTAATGTGGAAGGCGTTATCCATCTCCTTCGCCCCGTTGGGATCGATGGTAAAAACTTTATGGTCTCGGAAATCACATCGAGCAGCAATAGACTCGGGGATCTCCTTTTCCACGGACCAACCTTCGAAGCCAAGCTTGTCGAGGACGGAAGCTGGGAACTCGTCAGAGCCGAAGTTGTTATCCCGAAGTAAGGCGTCGGTCTCGACCCTGAGATCACCCATTGGGCCAAGTTGCTCGCAAAGAGTTCCAAATGGATGGAGAGAGGTGATGGGCCATCTCTTTATAGAGGCGACAAAGATACTGTTTGCATAATCTGCGTGCCTGTCAACAAAGTCGCGGGGTGCCTGCTCTGTTGGAATCGCGATCAATGGAACACGCTTGTCCGTAGGCTTGAACCAAACAATCTTTGGCTTCTCTTGCTGGCGCTCTTGGTGAGGGCGTCCAGAATATCCGTCTCTGGCTTGTCTTTCGGCCTCCTGTTTTTCCTTGGTGGCCTGGCTGCTGGGTCGAAGAAGGCCCAAGGAGCCAGAGAAGGTCTGTCCGGTAATCCGCTCTACGACAGCAATAATGTGCCCGGCGTACAAAGGCTTATGTTCATCACTGATCTCATCCTCTTCAACAAGTAGCAAGCTCTGCCCTTCGACTTCCACGTCGTCGTTCTTTTTCTGGGTCGGGCGCTGGCGCAGACTACCTCTGCGGCGGATGCTACCGTCCGGAGCTACATGCTGGCTGTCAGCATTAGCATTGGAATCGGAGCGGCTACCTCGGTCAAGGCCGGCCGAGCTTCCACTCCTGGTATCAGTAATATCTTTGCGCTTCTTCTTCTCCTCTTTTTCGCGCTTCTGGCTCCAGACTTCGTCAACATCAAGAAGCTCAACAGCAACAATATCACCTTCAAGGGCTCGATTTCTGTCCTTGCTGCCGCAGATGAAGATATCAGCATCCAGGTCGGCACAGGTAACATATGCATCTGAACGGTTCTTCTTGTTGACACGGAGGATACCAGTCACAAGCTTGCCAGCGTTAAAGAGATCAGGGAGCATGCCTTGAGCAAGATAAGGGGTAAACAGGGTCTTTCTCTGTTGCTGTGGCTGCGCTTGTTGCTGTTGCTGCTGTTGTGGCTGCTGCTGCTGCTGCTGGCCGGTCAACTGCAGATTTTGTGGCAAGGCATTAAGCTGTCCGCTTTGTTGCAGTGCCTGGAGTTGTGCCAACTGCAAGGCATTATACTGCTGATGTTGGCCTTGGAACATCTGCGGCAAGACCATTTGGCCTTGAGGCAGTTGGAAAATTTGCTGTGGGTTTGGGAATTGGAAGGCTGACATTGAGCTAACAGGTCCCCTGGCGCGGTGGCTTGGCTGGAAACCGCTGCCACTCTGTTGCTGCTGAGGAAGATTGCCAATGCTGCCTCTATGATCCTGGTTATTCTGCGGGCCCCCTTGCTGGCGCCAGTTGCTATCAAAGTTTCTGGAGCCGCTGCGTCCGTGGCCGGCATGGCTCGGTCTCCTTGAACCATCAGCCCCGGCGGAGCCAGAAGACTCGCCGCCTTGGGGAAACTGGAATGATGGGGTGTTTCTACCGGTGTACTGACGGCCATTACCGACAGCCATGGATTGACTGCGCAGGTGAGCGCCACCGCGGATGTTTCCGGATCGCTGGACGCTAAGACCCTGCGCTGGTTGCTGTGATGGACCGGCAACGGGGCCATCTCCTTGTTTTTCATCCGCAGATTCACCCTGGCCGGAGGAGGAAGCACCGGCGCCTCCTGGGATAGGGAACCTAAAGGCATTTGCAGTTTTTCTCTGCTGAGCCATTTCTGCAGCCTTCTTGGCTTCAGGCAAAGCGAGTGAATGACGACGGTGGTGACCGCCTGCGACAGATCCACCGCCCTTACGTGACTGGTTGTTGTTATTATTATTATTGTTACTGTTCTCACGGCCCTGGCTTCCGCTGCTCTGTCCGTTTTCACCGTACTGTACACCTGACGCTCCGCTAGACGGGGCAGGTGGCGGGCCCATGCCAACGTTTGGAAGGGCCGACTGATTACGGCGATGAGAGGACTGGTTGGGGACTCCAAGTTGTTGCTGGCCTTGCATCTGGGGGAACTGAAATCCTACAGGCATCTGACCCTGCATCTGTGGATAAGCTACCTGTTGCATTTGTTGCTGGGATAGAAGACCCATGTTCATAAGATGCTGTTGCTGGTGCGCTGCAATCTGCTGCTGTTGCTGCTGTAGGGCTTCAATCTGCTGTTGTAGAGCAAGTTGTTCCACTATAAAAGTGTCAATGCAAAGAGTTATACATCATTTAATGGGGAAAAAAAAAAAACGAGGCCACCTACTCATTAACGGGGTGAGCTCAGAAGGACTACGTCGATGTGCGATATGGATTGGACGACCATTGGGTCTGGGAGCGCCTGACTGGCCCTGGGATGAGGAGCCTTGGGAGCCCTGGGAATCCATAGCGGCAGATCTTGTGCTCCGGAGAGCTAGTCGTGATGACGGATGCCAAAAAACGAGACTGAGTGTCCCAACTGTTTTTTTTTATGCCTGGTAAAGTAAAAAGTGAAGGTGGCCTACTCGACAACCAAAGCACCACGAGGGTGAACCGATACTGATGTTTCTATCGAACGGGCCGAGTTAGAATGATGTCAAACGAGCCGTAGTTAAAGAGACAACAGCAAAAAAAAAAAAAAACCTCCCCGAAAGAAATGTACTAACAACTTTTTTTATCACAAACGATAGAATGCAAGGACTAAAAAGGGTGAAGCAGAGGTACTCTCGGTGATCGAGCGGATAAAAACAAGTTATGCCGTAATTCTGCGATGTGCAAAGGTGATCCAAGTGCAAGTTGTATGTGTGAGTGTGTCTTGTTTATGTTGTTGACTGGAGACCAAACATGCCAGCTTCTGGGAAAGAATGGACAAGAACAGAAGCTGAAGATGGGAAGGAAGCCGTGATAAGGGAAGAAGCAGCTTGTATCTTTCAACCCTTTTCTTGTCTTTTTTCCAAGACTTTGATATCTGCTTGGATTTGGTTGTTGTGACAGCAGAGGGTCGACGAAGCTTGACCAAGGGATGGAACCCCGTCTCCTGCGCTCTCCGTGTATGTATATACGTATATATGCGTGTGTCTTGTGTATAGCTGCTCCTGAAAGAAGGTGGATGGGCGTGGGGGGGGGGCGAAAGGGGAGAGGCGGAGGAGGGAAAGGAGAGGGTCTTCCGAGACAACAACAAAGGAGAGGCGACAAGAGGACACTTGAGCAAAGGAGGGACGGCCAGTAGGGCAGACGGCCAACGACGGTGCAAGAAGAAGAAGAAGAAGAGAGAGAGAGAGGAAGAGGAAGAGAGAAAGTGGGTTTGATGGTTTGATGATGTTGGAGAGTGAAGGATGGAAGATGAAGATGGCGGCGACGTTTTTTGGGGAGGTTTTTTTTTGGCCTTTTTGGGCTTGGGGGGGCAAAGCAGGCTTGGCGGAGACGAGCAGGACGAGCAGGTCACTCACTTGATATCGAACGACACGACGGTGGTGATAGCAGTACTATGGCGATGACGGTGACGATGACGATGGCAATGGCTACGGATGGGGGAGATGGGCTGTCGGATAGATACAATGAAGGAATAAGAAGCGGTGCCGGAGATCCAAATGAATTGAACGACCTGCAACGAGAGTGAAGGGAAAAAAGAAATGTGATGAGAAGAGAAGAAGAGAGGAAGAAGAGGGAAAAGAAGGCTACGAGGGAAAGCTACGCCGTTTTATGTCAACTTTCTCTCCCCTGAAAAAAAAAAGCCATCCTGATCGAAACTGTTTCTGTGGGAAGGGAAACGGCCGGCAACGCTTCTGGCAGCGAGTGATGTAATAGATGCAGATATCCTTTTTTTTTTTTGGCTTCCTGTCTTCTACGGGATGGACCAAGGGGGCCAGACATGCTTAATCATGAGCTTAAACGGGCGGATGCGCGGAGACGGTAGACAGTTTATATGTTGAGATGTAGATACGTTGATGTGTTTGATTCTCTGTATGGGCGCGGTTGGTATGTTGATCCTGCTTAGTTATCTGATCAGGGATCTCGACGGTTTATCTTTCAAGGGTTCGTCAACTTCAACTCTTCAACACCAACAACACAGAAACGACCACAGCATTAAAAATAAACATTGAAGCAGTTTGGTAAGTTGGTTCCGGTGGACGGTAGAGAACTCCTTGCTGATCAACCGGGTTTAGTCGGGTCTGCTTCACGTCATCGAGTCCCCAGGTTAAATAGCTCTGGGTGTCCCATCCCGTTCGACCTCGTCTACCGAAGAAGAACCTCCTCTGCCCTTGGGAGAGAGGGGTACCAGTCGGGCTCGGTATCCACCTCGTCCGTTGGGACGCAAGCCTGTCACCTCTGGCCTGGCAGAAGTCGCGTCTGGGTCCGGTTGTCTCGCGCCCTGGTGTACAAGGGATCGCGCACAATATACACACTGAAGGGTTAATGTTTGATTCTGACGGCCTAACCTGGAGTGGAAAGGCCTGGACTGCGTTACAACGGCTCCGAATTGCTTTCTGCAAGCTTGCTTCCCGGCCCTACCGAGCTATCCCGTTTGACGTCACTCTCTAAAAGCGGCTTCTTCGATACAACGCTGCCCTATAAGCTCGTCGACACGGCACCAATCATGGTGCGAGTAAACACTCTCGCCCATCGTGCACCTGACAGTCCAAGTAGACAGCTCATTCAGGAGCTGACCAGAGACCTAGAACAAGTACGCATACATGGAGAGGAGTTAAAGCTTGTCAAGGCTTATGAGAGCCGGACCTTCTACGAAAAGCTGGACCGGATAGACCGGGAGAGGGAAGAGGTCCACAACACAGCACTCAATGCTGCTGCTGCTAAGCGCGATCAGAGGAGGTTACAGGCAGAGGAGACGCTGCGGCTACATCTACAGGCGGTAGAGGAGGAACGCAGGCGGAAGGAAGAGACCGAAAGACGACGACAGGAGAAGATCAGACAGGAGAAAGAAGAGAAAGAAAGAAAAGAGAGAGAAGAAGCCGCGAGACTCGAAGCGGAACGAAAGGCCAGGGAGGCGGAAAAGGCAAGACAGGCCGAAGAAGCCGAGAAGGCGAAGCGAGCGGCTGAGGAAAAGGCGCGAGTCGAGCGCGAGAAGGCCGAGCAGGAGAAGAAGAAGAAGGCGGACGACGAATCAAGACGAAAGGCGGACGACGAGGCAAAGCGTAAAGCGGCGGAGGACAAGGAGAGACAAGCCGCTACGAAACAGAGTATCTCCGGCCTGAACCATCGGACACCACAGGAGATCCAAGAACATGAACGATATCTAAAGTTACATGCACATCTGAAGGAGTTCAGATCTTACATGAAGGCCCAGACAAAGTCTAATGCCCTCCTGAAGCAACACATGGGAGATATGCGCAGAACCATACGGAAATGTGTTGGGCAGCTGGTAGCAGAAGACAAAACAGCAAACCAGAAACCGGTAAGGAATTCCGCTCCACGACTGTTCAGCCGTTGAAAAATCACCTAACACCAGTTTCTACAGACCCGAGAAATAGCCGCAATCCTGAAAAAGGCACAGGATCTTCCGGAGCCAAGTGTAGACATCAGGCAGTTCATTGCCTTTCCGCCTCCCAATATCGCCAATGCCGAGAACCCCCAGGTTCCGGCTCTCTGGGTGTATCTCCTAAACATACTCTCCAAATCCATACTAGCGCAGCTCATGGCCGAAGCAGGCGTCACGACAAAGTGCGCAGAACCTCTAGGCGTCCTCACAGCACAGATATTCTCAATGGATCCCTTCTGCTACCAGGGACAATCCATGATCGACATTCTACTAGCAAAATACAGGTTCCTATGCCCAGTGCTATGGGGCTTCTACGGAGACCAATCGACCGACCAAGGAAAGCTTGCCATCGGCTGGTCCCGAGAAGACAAGGGCCCATTCATAAGCGCCCAGCTCCACGAAGAGCGAATGACGGGTCTCGGAGCCGGATATGCCGCCATAGCACTGCGAAACTTTGCCAAAAGTCCGCGCCAGAACCCTTATCCAAACAGCAATTTCTGGAGATCCCTATCTTACATCGTTAACGTTCCACCTGCTGAAGTTCAGGATACTCATCTGGTCGTGCTGACCGCCATGCTGCGTTATTCCGCTCCTCGGATCGTTAATTTCTGGGGTGACATGGGTGTTTTGGCGCTAAGGCAGGCAATCGTCGTGTTCCCTGCGAGCCTTCCCAGGAAATCCACGCAGAGAGCCATGGTCGAGGACCTCCGTGATATACTTGCGAGAGAGAAGCGAATAATCATATAGAATCGCACATATTTTTGCATCATCATTATCTCTGTCTGAATGACGTTGGCCTGCTACGTAGCAGCTGCAGGATTCCTATTATGTTTCGTCCGAATACATTGGAATATGCAAGGAGGATAACGGCCGTCTTGCCACAATCTACCTCGAAAACTTATGCGGACACATCTAGATCGCACCTTGATCGTTACCACACATTCATATATACACCTAATCCCCCGTCCTATTCCCGAACTTTCCTCCGCGATGGACCGACCCCGACATATCTTCCCTGTCGGAACGTTGGTTTTGTTCTTGGCTACGGATCCTAGGTGGCATGCATTATTGCCAGGGGACTGCCACAATTGCAATGCATTAACCCTTTAGAGACACCGACATCTTGGTAAGGAGGGGTCCTTTCATGAAGGATCGATTTCCATGAAGCAACTTCTTGCCTCGCCCCTGCACGTGTAATTACTAGATACTTCTAGAATTTTGATAATTTTTCTTTTGAGGCCTCGCTTTTTTTTTCTCTCGAAACCATAGGCTTCATATCGGCAGCCGGACAAGGTCTCCTGAAGATGATGCATTGAATAGATCTAACATTCTCTCTTCCTTCCACGTGGCGTTTGGTTTGCCTGGTAGAGCTTCAGCAAGAATTACTCTTTAGCCCCTTTCTTGGTTTAATAATACAACACGGAATCTCCGAGCTCGGAACACCCGATGACCTTTGAACTTGACATCAGCGGTTAAGCCAAGTTCTACCTCCACAAATTATGCCGTGCACTAAGAGATAATCCCCGATTATCATCCAGGGTATAGAACCCGAAATATGCACAACTCTTTACGATACGATACGATACGACCCAAGGGAGCCCCTGTCCGTATGAACCCGTGTTCTTATTTTATCTAGTTCCAACGTCCAATCCTCAGCCTCTCCAGGATTGCACATGAGGCCTCTTACTACATATATTATTAATGTATCAACCAGGGTTTTTCATCACACAACCTCTCATGCGGCTCAAGTTTGGTTTTCTCCTCGGGATGATTCGCGTGGTAAACACTCCTTCTCTGAGCATTTCCAAAATTCAGGCAGCAGGATTTTCTAACTTTCAACGCTGGCTTCTATACACCGTATAGGCTTGGGGTTTACGCGCTGTTCTCATTCTTATGCCGAGTACTTGCCTACATGGCATAATTTATGAACATATTGCATATGTAACATATGAAGCTAAAATGACGGGTGTGGTACGCGTGGCCGTGCTGTGAGGATGGTATGAATGCTTGGCTTGGGGCCATGAGGTGTCTTTTGCTACCATGGGCTATGCATCTTCATTATTCTCTGTTCTTGACTACCAGGAACCTTACCCCCACACCCCTACAGCCGCCGGGGTGTATAGACAAGTTCGAGACTGTGCCCATGGAGCAAATGCACAGTCATCGTCAGCAGGCTAGTTAGCAGTGTATGCTACGCCGTACGTTTCGTCCCTGCATTGGCACATGTCGTGGCGCACAGAGCATGAAGGGGGGAAAGAGTTGAGCTCATCCCGGGCGGTCTAACTATCCGTGGCGAGGAAACAATACAACATGTGGATCTTAAGTCCGGCTGAATATGTACAAATGAACGAATGTTGATCATCCTGGTGATGGCTCTGGCTTTTTCAAATTTATTGCAAATGACACCCATGCATATACGCTGATTGGTAGATATATTGCCTGTATTGTATCCATCATCGGCATTAGTTCCTCTCTTCCTAATTTCCAGCCTTTCTGTTCTCCAGCGCATAAGAAAAAAAAAATTTTTAAAAAAAAAATAATAGTAAAAAAAAAAATGATACGCCGGATGTGGACAAGTCTACCAATCTCCATTCCTCTGGCTCTGTACCCCTTGCTATCTCATGGCTCAAACGTGGCCCCCGCCTACCCTGATACCCTGATACGAACGAATGTGGAGATTGGTGAGCCTAAGGACATTCGTTCCGTGCTTTGAGCTATTATGCAGTATTTATATATAGATCTCGCATCAACCTGTGGGATAATTTTCCATAGACACCTTGGGACTGCAATATCTTGAAGCCCCTCCACCCTTTCTCGCAATATATACCATTGTTAATACAACTCTGCGGAAGCAGCCAGCTCAACATGTCAAACAAAAACATGTCGGAAACAGATGACCGGAGTAAAGACGCCAAAAAACGAGAATATAATCGAAATGCTCAACGGATGTTCAGTGAGTCACACTACTCAGCATTTATGGGAGATGTCATCGCTAACGTCTCTTTCAGGACAGCGTCGGAAGGAGCATATTCGGAACCTTGAGCGCGCAGAGCGAGAGCGTATAACAAGTCAGACAAACATGATAGAGCAGTTGCGGCAGGAGAATATGGAACTTCGCCAGGAGAACGAGGCTCTATCACGATTCAGCTCAAGCTGTAGCTCTCCTTCAGTGCTTTCAGTTGGCCAGATTTCAAACACTAGTCTAGGGGAGCCAACTTCTCTCATGATAATGAACGAACCCGTCCCCAACGCCCACTCCCATACCCAATTTTCCGAAACACCTACGACAAGTGTCGCATTATCCCCCAGGAGCTCGAGTTCTTTCGACGAGGCTGCTGGCCTATCTAACCGATTCTGTATCGTGACGCCCTACGACATCAAGCAAGCCCGCAGCCATCTACACTCACTCTTCCACCCTGTCTTGAGCCTTGCCGTGGGCGGTACATTCCCAGATCCACAAGTACATTTTCTCGCCCTTGCAAGGCTTAGTCCTTCTCTCCCTCCGTCACTGCAGCCCACCGCCCTGCAGCTACATATTCCACACGATGTACATATTGACATGATACCGTCGCCGCTTCTACGAGATGCACTATTAAAATCAAATCCAGTCATGGTAGCTGCATTCCTAGCAGATGTCTGTACATTCGTTTGTGACATTGAAGACCGCGGGCAAGTGACTATCTGGGGAGAAAATTTCCTAAATGAGATTTCTTGGGAGTTCTCAGCGTCAGTGTTAGAACAGTGGGGAGGCTGGTTCCTCCCTTCGATATGGCGGGAGCGGGCGGACTTTTGGCGGCGCCAGAGAGGGGATCCCCTTCTAGCCAACAACTGGGAGGAGGTTGTACAGAGCCTATAGCTTGGTTAGTATAAAAAACGGCACTTAATAAGAGGACATTTACCTTTGCTCATCCTTTTCTACCAATTTTAATTTTTTAACTTTACCTCCTTCTTTCTTCTCTTTCTCTAGAAACGATACCATCGTCACATCTACTCCTTTCTCTTACCCCTGATAGATAGAACGCTATACTAGTAGACAAAAACGAAGGATGAATTAGCGATGATCCATTACTCTGCCCCGCTAGGCTCTGGGGCGGTGTATCAAGGGCTCAACTCCCTCAATCACAAGAACCCATGTTACTAACCAAAGTCACAAAATGATAAACAAAAGAAAATCTTGGACAACCAAGCCCCACTTTAGTTTAACCTTGATCGCATTATTTTCCTATTTTGGTTTAGCGCCAGCGGCTCCGGTCAACCATATTTTAACAGTGCTTGCACCCTGCGTAAAGGAATATTAGCCCATGCGCAGTCTAGGTGGGAATTATGCAATTGAATAGCCTATGTAGTCTATCGCCGTTGATTGTGGAGAATGGGTATATCTTACCGACAGCCTACTACGAATGCAGGGCGCAGACCAGGCAGATCGTCTCGCCGCGTTAGACGCTTTAGAATGGCACCCAATCAAGTAATTCATGCGTGAGACTCTAGTATCTTATATTTTCATATCCTAATATCTTTTTCACTTCTTTATCTCCCGACCATAGACTTAGGCATCGTTCGTTGTAGTTTGGCCTGGCTCGTGGGGCTTTAAGCGCTGTACCCTCTGCAAACAAGCCCTTTTTAAGAAAATAGAAGTAATAAAAAAGTTACTAGGAACACTTGTATTTAAAAAAAACCCCTAGTGGAAGAGGTTGGACTAGGTCTTCACCAATATGAATTTGATCTCAAGGATGGTATACTAAAGAGCCGAGCGGCGCTGGAATCGAGCGAAAGAGAGCCAAATGACGTATGAAAGCGGAAGTTTATGAGAGGAAAAATTAAGCGACAGACGTCAGTAATTATACAAGTAGAAGAATAATAGCAGGGAAAAGAAGAACCGGTATCACAAATTCTAAAGAAGAGAGCCGTAAAAAAGTGTAGGAAACAAAGAGAAAAAAAAAAAAAAAATTAAATATATAAAAAGGTAGTTTGAGAAGGGATAAAAATATCGTAATCGCTATGCAAAAATGGCCAAATCCAAGAAGGGTACTATTAGAGTCGAAAAGGTGAGAGAAGGTGACAAAGGGAAGAAAAATAAGAGAAAACGGTTTGGTATAGGATCTTTCAAAACATGTAAAAGTAATAAGGATTGAAAAATCAAAGGCAAAGGAAAGAACATAGGAAAATCATCTAATTCTAAATCTCAGGGCCAAATGGTCCTTCAATAGAGCGGACACCTGGCTCTCGCCCAATGAGCCCGCCGATAACGCTGTCGTTGTCATTGTCATCTGCTGAACCGCCCGCATAATGCATCGTTTCAGCATCATGGTCATAACTCGAATTTCGCAGCAGTGGCGGCGTCGTGGGGGGCACAATATTGTCTAGCTGGCGGCTAGATAGCCTCCGGATGCTCGGATTTTGTCCCCGCAGTGGGCGACTTTCAGAGTACGTTCGCCGTCCTATCGGCGCAGGCGGCACAACTGGTGGATCACGTGTGTTAGAGCTTGGCGGCGTCATAAGTCCAGAGAGAAAGCCTTGAGACGTTGATATCGCAGGCTTTGGCGGCTTCGACGGTGTTAGCTGGTCGCCACTGTTGCTACTGTTGCTGGAAGATGCGGTGGGTGCAGGGGCGTTGTTGTTATTGCCGTTATTCCCCTTGCGCCAGTTCCCCCATGCTGCAGCCGCAGCCAGGGGCAGTGCACGAGGAGAAGATGCAAGGCTAGTGAGAGAAGCTATGCTAGGGAACTGAGGATTACCCCCTGACATAGCCCTCTCCTTTTCCTGCTGTTGCATCTGCAGGTTCGCTCGGAGGCGGATTGCAGCGTCGCGGACCGAATGTTGGTCAAAGGACGGCTGCGATACGGCTCTGATGAGATCCTTGAGGTCGTCAAGGCGGACGCTGAGTAATTCACGTAACCAGTTTATTTCAGTCTCTTTTTCCTTGATCTTGGCGGGAGCATCCCTGTCGATGGTAGAGAGCTCAAGTTCGAGTTCTTCAATGCGTCCCTCACGCTGTTGCAGCTGGTCTTGCAAGACCATGATTGATTCGCGTAAGGCTTGTGGTGAGATCTTATCAGGAACTTCTGATCCTTGAGTATATGTCATTGATGGTGCGGTAGTTTGCACTGGCGGCTGGGGTGCAGGAACAGCTTTGGCGGTTTGTGCAGCCTCTGCCGCGGCGCGGGCAGCAGATTTGGCAATCTCGAGTTTCTCCTCAAGATGAGTTATCTTCTCTTGAAGATGTTCGATCTTTTCATCACGCAGAGCAACTACTTCCATGTAGTGGGCTTCGTCACGTTGTCTATCCTCAGAAGTGTTGTGCATAGCACGAGCGTGTCGTTCACGAAGATCATTGAGGGTACGCTCGTGCAGACGTCGTTGGTCTTGAATAGCCAATTCCTTAGACTCAGCAGCGTCGTGGAGTGCTGCTAGTTTGGAGTCTCTAGCTTCAGCAAGCAGGAGTTCATATCTTGCCTTAGCAGTGTCCGAATCCATCTTAGTCTTGTCAAGCAGATTCTGTACGTTGGAAATTTGAGCTTCGAGTTCGGTACGAACGAAGTTCACTTGATGGTTGGCAGCATTGAGGTCTGCTTCTAGCAGTGCCCTCACTCGCTCGGCTTCAAAGTGGCTGTTTTCAATAGCCTCCTTCGCTTCACGCTCAAATCTAGCTGCTCTGCTCTGGTGGTCATGGCTCTCCTGTCGAACGTTCATCAATAGCGCCTCAAGCTTGTCGTTTTCGTTTTGAGATTGGTCTAGGATATATCTTAGCTTCGTGGCTTCCATCTCCTTTTGCTCAAGGTCGCTGATGTGCAGTTCCAATTTCTGTCGCTGCTTATGTTCACGATCAAACTCAGCCTTGAGAGTGTTGTATTTGATGTTTGCCTCGACTTCCTTTTTCCTCCATTGAGCTTGCTCTAGGGCAATCTCTTTAGTAAGTTTCGACATATCTCCTTGCAGCTTCTCGAACCTCTCGCGAAGTTTCTGCTTGACGTCTACACCTTCTTCAGTCTGAATCTTGAGAATCTCAATGGTACGACGAAGATCTTTATTCTCCTCTTCCGCCTTCTCCTTCTCGGCATGGGCCTGGTCGGCATTTACCCTGTATTCATCCAAGGTGCCTTGAAGATCGATATTCTTGTTCGATAGCTCCGAAAGGGTAAGGCGCATCATTTCCTGCTGCTCCTGGAGGTCTTTAGATTGCTGTTGACTCTTCTCAATCTGAGGGATATGTTGGCTCTTGAGTAACTCCAAGGCCTCCTCAGCAGCAAGTTTGGCTTCCCGTGCAGTTGCAACCTCCTTCTCAGCGGCCTCTGTTTGTTTTTGAGCTATCGAAAGAGCATCCTGGGCAGCTCGACGGGCATTGTATTCGCGCTCAGCACGCTCATCTGCCAGACGCAGCATACTCTGAAGTCCATCGACCTGTAGTTTGAGTTTCTCCATCTCCGGAGCCAGGTCAGGCTTGTCTTCAACGACCTCCTTCGCTTTGAGGGCAGGGTGATTCGAAATACTTTGTGAAATGATATCTCGAATACCATCAGTCTGGCCTTGCTGTTGCGAAACTACAGCAATGGCAGCTTTCATATCGGCGAGCGTGGACGTTACTTCAGATAGATCTATCTTTGGCGCAGGCTCTTGCACAGCAGGCTGGTGATGTACGGCAAGTGCCTCTGAAACGATGTTCTTGATCCTCTCAGCGAGCTTATCGCGTTTATTCCAAGGAGAACGTGATAGATAGCCGCCATCTTCTTCATCATCCTCGTCGTCAGCATCGCTGTGTTCCACCATTGCCGAACGAGACTTATGTAACAAGTTCTGAGAAATAGATTGTTGAATCACTGTCAAGCTTCTTTCAATAGGAGCAAGGTGGTCCACCATTGATGATCGAACTATATCTTTAACATGGGTTTCAAAGAATGGTGCCCTCTGCCGGAGTTCTAGATCATCGCCAGATAAAATTGCATCATCCCAGTCACTGATATGGTCCTGTGGTTGAGTATTCAGTTGACGAACAGGGGATTGAACGTCCATAGTAGGGTTGCGCTGCGCCAAGAGAGTGGCTGGCGGTTGAATATGCTCATATGTCGGTTTTTGGGTAGTCTCTTGCTCCAAGGACTCGTCCCGTACACTGGGGCTAGGTGCGTTGCTGCGAGAGAGTTGGCTTGGCGCCAGTTGAGGAACGGTGTTGTTGATGGTATCCTGGAATATGGGTTGTGGGGGAGATTCAAATCTCTCAACACCCACGCTGGAATCACCGTCATTAAGCTGTTTCATAACAGCATCAATTTCCTCTTCATCTGATGAGTTGACACCCTTTATGACAGGCTGCTCAAGCTGCTCAGCGGCCTTGAGACTAGCTGTAAGGGCACTCTGGTTGTGGATAGGACCAGGAGAATCAGGCTCGGATACAGCATATCGTGAGGCGTAAAGACCTTGTTTCTTCGGTGGAGGAGCAACCGGAGTCTGCACTGGCGATACAACTGGCGATATAACTTGCACTGGGGCCTGAGCGGGTACGAACTCGAATGGTTTAGCAGTGGGTTTCAATACCGAGGCATTATGTTGAACAGGTACTTCCTCAGCTACGGACTCCTGTTCTTCTTGATCATCACCTTCAACAATCGTGTCTTGTTCCTCCTGGTCAAGAACACCGTCTTCATCTATCGCAACGTCTGGCTGCTCTAGCTGGGTTCCGGATATTTCCTGGTCACTGTTAATACCCACATCTGCAAGAACAGAAGGACGTGCGGCATTAAAGGCAGCAGCATCTTCTGAGTTCTTGAACTCAAATGGCACGATGTTATCTTCGAGGATTTCACCTTCCTCTAATTCCTCAGGATCATCGTCTTGCGCAGACAGAATGGTTTCAATAATCTCCTCTTCCGTCCTCTTGCGATTTTCGGCTATCTCGACGGGGACATCATCGCTGTCTTCAATTAAGCTAGCTGTACGCTTGGAATCGGCAGCGGCAGCAGGCGACATAGTAAACATAAGTTCATGAGCGTCACTATTTTCACCACCATGGCTTTCAACGCGACGGACACGCTTTTCTCGACCCTGAGCACCAAACCTACCGGATACATCACCCTCAAGCTGGTCGTTATTTTGGTTATCCCCTGGCCGCACAATGGGAATGGCTTTGGAAGCCTTGGCTGGCGGAATGATTGCTGCAGGGTCAAAGTTGTCGAATATTTTAGTCCGAGGGCCTGATGGCGAGGGCTTCTGTGTTGATGGAAGATTGAAGCTTGAGCTGGGGCTGAAGACGGGGGCAGCAACGTTGAAGGTGGCAGAGGAGAATTTGAAGTTACTTGGAGTTGAGACTGGTTCTTGGGTTTTCTGTACCGGAGCGAAAGCTGGTGCGTCAACGTTGAAACTGCTGGAATGTGCACTGTGGGAAACACTCTGTGGCATATCCTGAGGGAAGGCCGGGCGAGGTTGAAAGCTGTTAAAGCTTGGTTGGAAGGTATTATCGGGCATGAATGAGAAGTTGTTGGGGGAGAAAGAAGATATAGAGGGGTCGAATTCTTTTGCAGCGACGTTGAGTTTTGAAATGGAAGAGGTTGGTTTATGGCCTGGGATGAATGCTGAGCCAGTGCTGTGCTTTGCCTTGTGGGTACGATAATCGTCGATAGGGGAGCGCGGGTCTTTGATGCTGGGGTTGGTGTCCAGATCAGATGCCTCGTCAACGTGGGCTTTGTGGGCTTGTTGCTCGTCAAAGATGTGTTGTTGGAGGCGGTTGGACTGGTTGATGGGCTCAGGTGGGAAGAATGGCCGTTCAGGCACAGCCCATCGAGAATTCATCAAATTATCCTCAACCCTCTGCTCGTCATCGAGTCCGGTGTTCTCGAGTTGATAATCTCTTTCGACGCCCTTTTGAAGAGTCTCGCTTACATTATGTTGATGACCACGAGGGGTTGGATGAGCTATTTCAGGCCCAGAATGGGTTGACCGAATGGTCTCCGAGTCTCCTTCCATTCCAATGTTTGGCTCATCCATGGGCTGTTGCTGCAGGTGAGTTTCGTATTCGTTCATTCGGCTCTGTGGCGCACTGCCTGCGTAAGGGCCGTTGAAATGCGAATGTATCATACTAGACATGCCATGGAACTGCTTTGTTTCATCAGCCATTGGAGAAACAGAATGCAGCAATGAGCCGAGATTTGGCATGTTACCCATGGTAGAGGGAGTCATGCCGCTAGGCCGTATTCCATAGAGATTCTGCGGACTATGAGTGCCGTGTGTCGGGGGAGTAGGCTGAAATGGCAAGAAGGGATAGCTTGCTTCATTCCCATACACAGGTTGGAACTGCTGGAAGGGTGATTCGGCATGAAACCCAAAGGGCGAGGCAGGCGAGTTCATAGAGCTTATATTTGAGGTTGCCTTTGTGGATTGGTTGAAAGCTGGAGAGAATGGGTTCTGCATCATGTTGAGGTGGTTGCTTGCGGCAGAAGAGGTAGGGATAGGAGGAGATATAGTATGGCCTGGTGGCAGTGGCATTTGGGAAGAATTGCGGCTCATGGCGCCTGGTGTTGGCGACATGATCGGGTTGGGCTCTGGATCCCCCAAGCTAACACCTAGAGCGCGAAGTTTCTCTTCTTTCAGGAAATCGACGTACTCTTCCCAAACAGACTGGTCCGGGAAGCTGACATGGTAGTGTTTCTCTTCACGTTCCTTTTGGGAGTCGGCAGGATCTGGATGGGTTTGGCGACTCTGTAGTTCGACGGTGACTGGTTGCCCTCTGCCTCTTCCTCGAACATCATATCCTTGTTCTTCCCATTTGTCTAATATACGCTCCATATCAACGGGCGTTAGAAGCCGTACTCCTCCTTCAACCGATCCACGGTTATCTTCCAGGGGAAGTGCTATGATACATTGCTTTCCTCGCCAGGCGACCTTCTTCTTTGGTCGGACAAAGGCCGGTGCTGTGCGAATGGTCTGTTTCGGTCCACCGGGCAGAGGCTGGTCCAAGGCATCTTCTACAGGCGTTGGAGGCAGCGGGAGCGGTTTATCTATGGGTGAAACATATGTATACGGCTGTGGTGGCGGATGCATTTCCGGGATGGTCAATGGCTCGAGATTCGACATGGTCACCGAAGCACAGTCCTGCTCACACGATTCAGACTGGGATTCAGATTTGGATAGGGATTGAGATCTAGATTGCGATTGAGACCGGGATTGAGACCGAGACCGGGACAGGGACCGGGACGGTGGTTCGGGGTCCTGACCAAAATCCCAAAAGTCGGATTGCTTCAAGGTAGCTGTGCTCGCTTTGGGAGCGTGGTTGGCCCTGAGATGAGCAGGCCGGGACTTCCAGCTGTACTCTGGTTTCTTCCCCTTGAGCAGGGTTGAAGACGTGGGCGTCTTCAGGAGGTCTTCCTTGTCGTCGAGATCAAGCCAGCCTTCCGATGACTCGTCAACGCGCTGCTGATATGCAGTGAGAAAGGAGCCGACGTCACTGTCTCCCGAGTCGTCACTCAGCCAATTCGTCCGCTCTGAGCGAGGTTTCCCCGTCAGATACTGGTTGATCCAATCCTGAGTGAAATCCTTGATGGACTTGCCACGATGCCTGCTCACGCTGCTTTCGGCCTGCAGGTCCCGCTCAAACAGGGTAGAGGTCAGTTCGGGAAAGGGAACAGCACCCGTCTGGCTTGCAGACTCCAACAGCTCCTCCTCTCCGCGAGCGGTGGTGCGTATGGAGAAGGGCGAGGTCTCGAGTTCGGACTCGAAATCGCCCTGTCTGCTCCTCAGCTGCCAGGAGATACTCCTCGAGCTGGGTGTGGCGTAGGGGGACCCCCAGGCGGCCGTGTAGTAGGCACTGGCGTCCGTCCGCTTGTTATCTGGCGAGAAAGTCGACGACTGCGCGTCCGAGGTTCCGCGATAGCCTGAAGGAACGGCAAGCGAGGTGCCTGCCGCGATGCTCGAGACAGCACCTGGAGTGACGGACCGGCGCAGTGTCAGCGTGTGTTCCCGCTCGTCTTCAACCTCTTGGTCTTCGTGATGGAGGGACGGTTGAAGGATGACGGGATTGGAAGAATTGACTGCGAGAGTTGAGCCTGCGGTTGATGCACACGTGTTAGCGGGTTTGCTCCATGCCAATTGTTACATCGTATCACACTCAACATTAACATAACACAGAGGAAAAACCATATAGTAAAACATAGGGCTCACCGTCCGTCTTGTCTGATGCAGCAAGCACAAGCTCGCTGCGTTCGATGTCCTGAATCTTGACGCATAGAACTCAACGGCCTGGCTCTGCCGTTGGTTTGTAGAAACCGTAGAACCGTCACCGTCGCTATATATCCCACCAAAAAGAAGAAAAACAAAAACTCCCCGTCTATTTCGCCCAAGGTAGTATCCAGATAACCCCTAGAATTATATATATATCGAACAGAATCGCGACAGGTAAACAAGTCCCCCCTTTTTCTGTATGTATAAGTAACCTTGGTTAGCCCAGAGAACGAACCATGGCTCGCAGGGAGGTTCAGGGGGCCGTTTTCTTCGGTTCTTTCTCGACGTCCGTCCGTTCGTTAGGGAGACTGACCGATCCTGGATGGGAGAGGAAAAAAGGGAGAGAGGGAGAAGAGGGAGACGGGAGGAAGAGAAGGCTGGTCTGGAGTTTTGGTTGTTGTTGATGATATAAAAAGTGAAAGAATAAAAATTATTTTTCTTGTTTCGCGACGCTAAAGAACGTTCAAAACTTAGTAAGACGCCAAAGAAAAAAAAAAAAGGGGGTTCATGAGGCACTATTAAGATGGGAAGAAGATAGAAGAATAGAAGAATAGAGCAGGTAAAAAGATAAGTCTGTTGAAGAGAGATGTAAAGTCTACTGATGGAAGAATCAATTCTATACGTAGATCAAGACCCAAGGCAAAAAGTCACCGTTTTAAGCTATGCAGACAGGATGGAAAGAAAATATTAAAACAATTAACGACCAAGTTACACTACGACTCTAGTGCTTCTTGATATTGCAAGAAACCTCGAACTTGGGCTGGCGGTCAGCGGTGTACATGCCCCAGTGAGTCTCGTCAGCGGCCTTGCCGTTGTCGCCGATGCTCTTTGGCTTCCATGGCTCGTCGAAGGCCTCGAAGTAGAAGACGTCGACACCAAGAGCGAGCATGGGGCAGATGGCCTTGTCGTGGTACTGTTTGGCGTTCTTGGTGCCGGCCTTGGCAGCACCGTAGTCTGAACCTCCGTCTATATGAGTGTTAGCATTTGTGTATGTACGTAATAACGAGGATGAACGTACCGGTGGGCCAGCCAGTTTCGCCGACGGCGATGTAGACGTCCTTGGCCGCCTTGCCAGCGATTGTCTGTATGTGTTTGGCAGCCTCGTACGCGTCCTTGAAGAAGGTCTTGGGAGCCTCATCGATGGGCGTACCCTGCCAGAAGGCAAAGGCGTTTACCAAGCTAGGTGTCGTTAGCCAGTTGTCGCCTTTTTTGCTATTATCATGAAGGAACGTACAGGTACTTGACACCGCCCTTGATGAGGGCATCAGCAGTGCCATCGGCGTATTTGTTCCAGCTGTCTGCGGTTCCGACCCTTATCTTGGGGAAGAGTTGCTTGACTTCATTGATCTTGCCCAGAAGCTCTTCACCGGTGAAGTTGCCACGGTAGAGGGACTCGGATCCGACGGTAATGGCGCTGATGACATCTTCGTTTCCAGGGACAGCCTTCTTCAGGGCCTCAGTGTCGGCCTTGAAGGACTCCGGGACATCGGGCCTGGACATCACATAAGGTTAGATACCACCAACTGATACCTGCTGCTGCTTCCACGACATACCAAATTCCAAGGACGACCTTGAAGCCTTTCTTCTTAGCGGCTGGGAGGAGGTAGAGGGTGTTATCACAGTCGGCGGCAGCGTATGTCCGGACGATGGTGGAGTGAGCCTTGAGGACATCAAAGTCCTTCTCGTAGTCTTCCTGCTTCTTGCAGGATCCATCGGGTTTCTTGACACCCAGGGCGAATCCGAGGTTTCCGGCAGCAGAGACGGCGACTGGGCTAGCCGCCAGAGCGAGGGAGATGACAGTAGAGAAACGCATGTTGTATCAATATAAGTGTAACGACAGAGATGGAGTTGGAAAAGAGGCAAACGAAAGGGCAAAAAAAGAGCGACGAAGAGAGCCAAAGGAGAGACTTTATAAAAATGGCCGCCGGATGGACGTGGAACTTCTTTTCGACTTTATAAGTAAGATGGATCGTTTTTCTATTCTGGAGAAGGAATAAAAGGGCGGGCTTAGTCATGAAACACCCGCCGACCCAGAACGATTTTTCTCTTTTTTTTTTCTTTTTTTGTTTGCCCCCCTGAGCCACGGGCACGGAGTTTTGTTTCCATCGAGAAAGGCATATCTTCGTCAAGGGATTCTTCATTGGGTGGCTGCAGTAGGGCTATGTCTGAGATAAAGGGGGAGAGCCGGCAGGGTTCCACATGGACACATAAACACGGACTCTTGTGTATACGCAGCTGGATCAAGAGTGTCACTCGTACGGCGATGGGGTAGACACAGAGGACAAAAAGTCTCAACGGGAGTATATTCATGCAGGGACCCTCGTATATGGATGGACTATGATGGTCGGATGTGCCGTCTGGCTTCCTCTGGATCTAGCCTTTTGCCTGTCTTGTCAAAGAATTTGGAGCTGATGCGTAGCCACATCTCCTTGTTGTACTTGTCCGCTAGTTTGTTGAGCAGTATGGCTTCCTCCATGCTTAGAGACTCGTCCGTATAACACATCACCTTCTTGGAGCTTTCTTTACTCGTCTGTCAAGTGTTATCAGTACGGAAGTGCGTCCAAGGAGAGAAGATGTGAACAAACGGGCCATTACCTTCTTCTCCTTGGTAGACTCCGTAAAGGCAACCTTTTTCTTATTTTCAGGGCTCTCTGTCTTGACTTCTCCCTTTTCTGGCTTTGGTTCCTCGGGTGGTTCTGGCTTGATGGCTCGCCAGCGCTCCTTCAGCTCGTGGACAGGCCATTTCATAGCTACTGCTATTGCTCTCCAGCTGGTGTTGTCCTGCTTCAGCTTCATCAGCTGTTCATTGTCTTGGTCTGTCCAGCTCCTGGCTTCGTTATTCCGCGGTACTACGCTTGGTGGTACCACTCCTGGCGGTAGAACGATGGGAGGCGGCGGAGCTGGTGGAGGAGCCGGTGGAGTGCTGTTCGCCTTGGGCTGCCGTCCGTTGTTGGTGGTTAACTGTGCCATTGCTGCGTGAAGGTCAGCCAGTCTCTTATTCTCTGCTCTCAACTGCTCTCGCTGTTTGTTTGGGTTAGCTGCCAGTGACTGGTACTGTCATGCTGATGGACGAGCCTTACCTTCCTGGCTACCATATCCCTCTCTGCCTTGAGCACCTTGCTGCTCTTGAAGACGTCTGCAAACGACATCCTGATATCCTGGCCCGGCACGTTACGCAGGTTCGGAGGCATCTTCATATAGAAATGGTCTCGTCCCTAGTATCTGACGCTGTGATGAAGGGACGAAGAAGATGGGCTTCTCAAATCCCGGATTTTTATACAGTGGAAAGTTACCTTGATCTAGATGCGTAGAGACGCCTTTCTCTCCCTACAGCCACTTTACTCATTCTACAACTCACCACTCCTATTCATCTTGTAAACAGACAACCAGACACACCGTAGACCACTTTCTTACTATAATAAATTTATCTTCATCGTCTTCTTCTTCTCTGTCTTCTTCACTTTTGTGGCATCCGTAGATGTGGTCCGTGCGCTTCTTGACACGCAAAAAAAAGAAACCAAAAGTTGCGAATGCGAGAAGAACAAATTGCATAAGTAGATAAAATCCCTCAACAAGTCCGACTCAGAGAGATCGTGTACTCCTTTCTAGCAGCCTACCTCTCCTCTCTGACTATCCTTCTTCGAGTTTCCTTCTCTCGGTCTCCGTACGGCGCCATGAAGTTCACCTTTTCCTCCCTCGCGGTGTCCGCCCTGCTTTGTATAGGGGCTGCAACAGCACACAACATTCCACTGAAAGCGCATTCGAGGGAGTGCTTCTTCGAGAACCTGCATGTCGGCGATAAGATGAGCATTGCCTTCCAGACGGGTGATACCGAGTTCGGTGGGAGCGGGAATCTCGACATTAATTTCTGGGTGCGTTGACCTAGCTACTCCACGGGGATAATCAAACATGGGACAATACAGCATATATAACAAGACGGCTAGATGCGAGAAGTTCTATTCAAGGTGCTAACGACTTCATGGAACACATAGATCGAGGATCCAACTGGCCACAGACTTCATAACAGGAATTCGATATCCTCAGACGACTTCACCTTTACCGCCAACAGAGACGGAAAACACGTCTACTGCTTCGGCAATGAGGCCTGGTCATCCAACAGCAAGGAGGTCTCTTTCAACGTGCATGGAACTGTATTTGTGCCTGCGAGTGAACACCCTACTGATCCCCTAGAAGCCGAAGGTAATATCCACACACTTAGCACTTTGTTATAGATAGCCGAACTGACTTGCGCCATGTACCAGTGCAAAAACTCTCCGAAGAGCTCGCCCAGGTCAAGGATGAGCAGTCGTACATTATCATCCGTGAACGTACCCACCGAAATACCGCAGAGAGCACAAACTCGAGAGTGAAGTGGTGGAGTCTCTTCCAGCTAGCTGTCCTCATTGCAAACGGTATCTTCCAGGTTTGGTGGCTTAAACGGTTCTTCGAGGTAGGCTACCCCTTTTTCTGTCCTTTTATTCTACCACCCTCCTGGCGTAATAACATACTGACGCATTCATCTACAGGTCAAGAGAGTTGTTTAAATTCTTTTGAGGGTATACTTTGGCTTTCTATCAGTGTACTATGATATGAGCAACGGGACCATGTGAAGGAGACGAAGATAGACCCTATCGGCCGGCCGATTGGACAGCTGTTAAACTACTCCAATGCATTCTCCCCCCAAGGGCTGCCCACGGGGTATTCTCTAAGGCCTGTCTGCCAAAACACTGTGATGTCTCGTTTGCTTATGTGTCTTTTTCACGTTTCCGGATGGTATGGTCTGTGGTGTTTGCCTGGTCGCTGGGGCTAATTCTTTATCTCATCATCTCTCTATTCGACCTGTTGGCATCGTATTTACTTGTGTGATGATATCTATGTTTTTCTTTTAAAAATCTTCTCTTTTTCCACATTACGGTCAAAATAAAGTGACGGAATCTTCGCATCTTACATCTTAGTATGGCCTCCTTTAACGTTATTTACGTATACCAACGGTATAGAACCAAGTTCCACCTGGATTCCTTGCTCATACACCATTGGACAGCTTAACAATGATTGACTATTTGATAGGTACGAAATTTCCAGCCAACCTGGTCGTTCAACTCGAAAAAAGGAGCCTTGGCGTGCATTGTATATGAATTCCAGTTCAGCCTGTGTAAACATTCAACAACTTGCAGGGACAAAAAAATATACATGGGGTGGCCTCTTCTCCCTGATTACAAGGCGTCCGTTTGGCCACTATTGGAACACTTAGAAAGCGAAAGAAATAGTACAACCTGGCATACCGATGGGAAACGACATCAATGGCATCGCTGTGGCCGTCCAGCAGTTCTACGAAGAGCGCAAGCAAGAGGACCTCCTGCCATTCTGCTGGCGAAACCAGGACTGCGACAGCTGCCTTAAAGCCGCTGACTTCTGCAGTTGGTGCCCATTTGTATGTATCAGAAGACTCTTATATGTATTTCTTATGATCTATATAAATATATCCATAACTATTACTTGATATATATCTATCTATTTCCTAGGGCGTCTCTTCATAGCTGACTTCACTAGTCTTCCACTTGCGTGTCCAATTCTTCTCCCTTCCCCCTACTAGCTCCTCTGGCGAGTAGTTCAATATGTCCCCTCGGTCCCAAGGAGAGGTGGGAGATACGGACCCGCCCGTTCGGATGTGGTGTCAGTACCGCTTCGTTCCTAACATGCATCGTCTCGGTGCTAAGTACCCTGGCGCTGGTGGCAGCTGCGTATATAGCTTATCGGATATGGACTGCGAAGAAAGCTGAAGAAGAGGAGGAGCAGCAGCAACAGTCGGGTGGAGAGGACCAATTTGGAGGCGAGCAGCAGTATGGGAATGATCCGTACGGGAGTGGAGGAGGGTATGGTGGCGCTCAATATGGTGAAGGAGGGGGGATAGGAGAAGGGATAGTTCCTGGTCTTGTGGGTGGTATTTCGAACTGGATGGGTCAGGAACATAGAGGACCGGAAACTATTCCAGAGGAAGATGAGGAACAGGATGAGCGTTCGCCTTTGCTATGATTCCTTGGTTCTACTTGGATGATTTCGGTCTGGTATATATATATAAGAGGTTGGCTTGGACATGTACGAACGATAAAACAATGATCATTCATTTCATAAACGTCATAGACAAAGCCCAAAAGACGACCATTCAATCTTTACTGGTCTAGCCCTTGCAGACCTGGCTGACCTTGTAATCTACGATGGGCTGCTTGCCCTTCTCGTAGATGAAACGGCCAGAAGCGACGAAAATGCCGTTTTCAAGGGCCGCATGGTCCGCGTCTCCACTCTATAAAAAATACTCGTAAGCTTGTCCGTGCCGCGTTGCTGGAAGAGAGTATAAACAAACCTCAAACTTGAGCGTGATGACTTAAACAAGGAGTATGATTAGCGATTTGTCCGGATAAAGATGAGGGGGTCCATACATATATTTCCGAACGGCGTAGATGCTGATTCTGACTGTCCGGTAAGAATCGCGCCGATCTCAGGAGTCAGCTCAACGACTCCGGTATAATTGATATACACAGACTATAAATCAGGCTTAGCCGGAATTCCCATAATATAGCAATAAGTTCCTTGGATACTCACAGCTCCTGTCTCTGTCCTTTGAGCAGTCTATGTCAGCCTGGCCTTCATCAAGCATCACGAGAAAGGGCATACTTGACTACAGTATGAGCATCCAGCCGCAGACGCTTACCGTCCGGGTCAGTACGGATATAATCATTGCCATTGCTGGCGAGCTTGCCGTTGAAAGCGGGTGAGAATCCAGGCTCGCTCTTAACGGTGCCGCCGGTCATGGGCTAGATATCCAACTGGCCTCAGTACGCCACCAGCACTCAAGGACCCGAGGTACAAACGAACCGTGACTACGAAGTTGCAGTTCTTCGCGGTGCTTCCTATTCGCGACGTATCAGTATTTTATTTCATCATTCAGGATAGACTCAAACTAATGCATACCAACGTTCATAGGCGGGTCGATTAAGACCTATAACCGCAGGTGTGTTAAACCAAGATCTTCTATGTGTAAAAGAGTACATACCTGCATGGTAAACGCTGGCTTCAGAGTAGGGAAGTCTGCCATGGTGAAGAACTCGTGCTTAATACGATATCTCAAGCTTATTCTCAAAGCTGGATGTTGACGTTAAAATGAGAGCGACCATGATATATACAAGTATCTACCCCGCCAACCTGCAGTCCATACATCGAAGGGCATACCCATGTTCGACCTCAAGGCCGCATCTTCTACAAAGGCAACCTTTTCTGCTTCTGGTGATTGGTATCCCTATGTTATACATTGGTTATTTCAGAGTTCAAACTTGACGCTCCAGCTAGTCTTTAAGTACGTAATTTAGTAGTAACTAAGCCAATGAAATCTCTGCAAGCACTCTATTTAATACGTAGTAGTTTGGTATATTTTCATCTGTTCGTTCCTAAGTGCAGCGCAGATTATCAGGTTAAGGGGAGGGCAATATTTAGATACATAGAAGTATGAATAACTTCATCATTCTGTCTCGATAAAAAAGGACGTAGAAGTTAGCTCTCTATAGATTAAGATATGTCATCCGGGGCACAGAAAACGAATCTGCGTCCAGCAACGATGAAACCTCTAGAATAAAGGGATAGTGAGTAGCTAACATTATCCTCCGAACCACAATGAATCCCTAGAGGAATAGTTAGTCTTCCCACCTGCGCAAAAACCAAACTCCCCGAATCTCCATCTGTCGCAAATGGCTCCTCTGGCGATAACCACCTTATTCTTAACTTGTAAAGATTCTTCTCACGATGCTCTTGGCCAATTTTAAAGAGTGTTCCAGTAGTGTGCGACGTGGATGCTCCGTATTTATACACCTGGATAGAGCTGCTTTTCACCAACTTTGAAGAGTCTTCATCTCTTCCATCCTTGGACCCCGAGATACCAATTCCGGGCCATTGACAATGTTAGGGTCGGGTTAAAATGGCTGCGATCGATAACTTCGAATCTCCGTCATAATGTGTTATGGGTTATGTTTGTAGTCTCAAGCAGACAGATCTCGTCCATGGTTGGCAGTTGAGGATTGTGGGATTCTCCCCGTCTAAATCGTAGGACCCCAGCTGCCCGCGCGAACTGCGGAACTATCCGCGGCATGTAAGCCCTTGTACTGTCACTGTCTCCGGCCTTTATAATGAGCGCATCGTCAACAACATGGCCCGCAGTAGCTATGACAAGCCTCCGCGGGCCAAGATTTTCGAGCACTCCTATATAGCCAATCGTTCCATATGCGAAAGTGTCGTCCGACCTCAGAGAAAATTGTTCAGGGACTATGATCTTATATCAAATTTGCATGTTCTCTAGTTTAATGTTGTCTGGTCCCTTGTGAATCAAAGCTAGGTTTGGTAACCCTTGTAGCTCTGGAGGAACAACCGGCTCGTCTCCATCCCAGTATACCTCAAAGACTTGATACTTGGGAGGTCCGGTAGAGCTGAGGGATCCTGAGTGCGCTCTGAGAGCAGTTGTTAGCAGTGGGAATAAACTTAAAGGGTAGGCCAACTTACGAGGGAAAGATTTCAGCACAGGAGTTTGTCACTGAACCCTCGAGTATACTGCCCGCGACACCTTTTGGGACAATAGCTCCTTCAAACGTCCTCGGAACGAACCTGAAAACGAACTCTTCAGTCCACTTGATATTGAGTTCGCTGTCTCCGTTTTCATAGATGAAAAGGAGGACGTCTCGGAGCTCTGCAGCGTTTAGACAAATGCTATTGGCCAAACGCCGTTTTCTCATATAGCGGTCCCGGATGCCATTCCGGCCTGGACGATCATTCGGAGTCCAAAAGGGCGGGCGGTTTGTATCTGAGGGCATCGAGGATTCTGTTGGTGGTGTGTCTAGCGACATAGAGACGGCGTTGGACCTCTGGGCGATGGCTGTCTTCTCGATGAAACGGCTAGAGCCACGTCGACACACTGTGAGCTCCGGGAGAAAAGTAGTTGAGCTTCTATAGTGATGCAACGTCAATAGAAAGCTTGAGTGGCCGAAACTTGGGAGCTGGTCGTGACGTAAGTGAGTGAGTGAGTAAGTAAGTAAGTGAGTGAGTGAGTGAGTGAGTGAGTGAGTGAGTGAGTGAGTCGTCTTTCTGTGATATATTGATTGTACGGAATAACTGCTATAACCATGCCCAACGGCGAAACAACCATTCAAAAGCACAATTATTCGGCAAAGGGCTTGAACCCTTTTGAACCAATCTTCTCCGAATTGTCGGTGCTTCGGCTTAGTATCGCGTTTGAATAGCCTCTGCTAATTGACGGGTTTGCTCCCCATGGTGAATGCAACGGGGGAGACAGCCCAGTCTCAGGCAGAGATGGTAGCATCAAACATCCTATCCTTGATTAGCGGACAAAACCCGCTCACAATTTATCGCCCCATGGATGTTGAGGGCGCTATTAAACTGACGATAGGAAAGGGGAGCCCACTAGACCCAATTCCCCCGAGGTTAGCAGGTATGGTAGCACGACTGGGTTATGTACTTTAGGGAAAAGAGCAGCCGTATAAATAAGTATGATAAATGGATGTCCGTTCTGCATGGCTAAGCTTGGGGGTGAAATTTATCCTGGATTCTACTTGAAATCTATGGAAGCTGATAAAACAACACTCCCATATCACTCTCTTGAGGTATGTTATTCTTTCCTATATATAATGGAAGAAACCCACGGATCTGTTACACAAACACTGCACTCACACCAAAAATGCGGCGATTTCGTTGCCACACTGATGGGTAGAATTCTTGAACTTGCGAATGATTGAACTCGCATCTGGTGCTGACTGTGTCTGTCCATGTCTAAATAGCATAGTTTTTATCCATAGTTTATGTTGAAGTCGACAAGACAAAGCTCATCGCCATTGGTCGCTGAAACGAAGTTTCAGAAACTCTGGAGACCATGTTTTCCCATCGATGACTTTATAACTTGACCTGTTGTAGCCTGTTTATGACTTATACCAGCCCTAGAGAAATGATGTCGTGCATATATGTATATTAGCATATGCGCTAAAGACTTGGTTACAGCCTCTTTTAGCATCATCCAGAAACCAGCACATAGATTCCTTCTTGCACTCTAGTGGCTGACTTGAGATGAGATGGCTCATCCAACCTCTTATTAGGACCTTTACCCCAGCGTCAACGCATGCTCGGAAAGCCGAAGCTGTCTGCCGCAGAAGCCGATCGGATCTTCAGCTGATAGTCAGTCTACTGAGACCACGCCTGAGGCTAACATGGCCATGAAGGAACTCGATAGATGACGCCATCAAAGTTGAGTTGAAGTATACGGAGGAGTTGATGGTTTGAGATGCATCACGAGCAGGACGATGATAAGGCCACTAATGCATCGAGACGGTCATTTGACAAGAGCGTTATGGACCAGCTTCGCACGCAGTCAGCATTCAAGTATAGCCACCACTTCAATGAGGTCTATCATTATGGATGTGCGTGGTCTTCATCGCATGTGGGTGTAAAGGGTTTGTATCCGAGTGGTGGTGCAGAAAAAATCCTCATCGCCAGCTTGTATATTCTGACGCATCCTAAAGCTCATCACTGTGACACACCAGTAGAACGACGATGGATCCTCGCCTGCTATTTGCTGTCCTCCAGACCAAGCTGTCACCCGTTCAGCTCAGCCTGGCAGCCAAACTAAGAAACTAGCGAGAAAGCCTCGTCGTCCAAAGTGATTTCCCTTTTTTCAGCCGCCAATAAGAACCGTCGACGACCAAGGTACTGCTTACATAAGTGTAACGTCACTCGCTGCATCCTTGCGACCTTTTTTTTAGGTCTGAAGCCGCTACGCTCGCACAAGAACGGGGTTGACACGCGCATTCTCTATATAAGTGGCCCATGGTCGCATGTCCGAATGGTGCTGATGGCGAGAGTGTCAAGCTGGCTCGAATCTGTCTGATCAACCGGAGGCCATGACGTTGTATATCCTGCACTTTGCGTTGCTGTTGACGGCTGTGGGCGCAAATGCTGGGGCCTTGAGCGCTCGGGATCAAGCCCAAGCTCCCCTGGTTACAACTGTAGATGATGTAGGCGAGGTGCAAGAAGAAGGGCATAGTGGCCTACATGGCCGTTTCTTGCATATAACAGGTATGTCTGGCTGGTCTGGTAGCTTGGTAGAACTGCTTACTGATATATATCCCCTTCTAGATATCCACACAGATCTATTTTACGAAGCCCACTCGAAGATAAAAAACGACTGCCACCGTGGGCATGGTGAAGCTGGTTACTTTGGCTCACCTGGAACAAGTTGTGACACTCCAAGAACTCTCCTCGATACGACCTTTGACTGGATCCACGATAATCTGCGGGACAAGGTCGACTTCGTCATCTGGACCGGTGATGCAGCTCGCCATGACAAGGACAGACGCCGTCCGCGTACTGAGAAAGAGATTGTGAACACGAATCAACTTGTCTTTGACAAATTCGTAAAAACGTTTCACAAACCGAAGGATGAGCTAGGGAACAACCTCAAGATCCCCATTGTCCCGACGTTTGGAAACAATGACATTATGCCTCACAACATCATGGATAAAGGACCAAATGAATGGACGAGAGTGTTTGGTGAGATGTGGAGCTCCGTCATCCCAGAGGAACAGAGACATTCGTTCGCTATCGGAGGGTGGTTTTATGTCGAAGTCATTCCCGAGAAACTGGCCGCTATCAGTTTGAATACCATGTACTTCTACAAAGCCAACAGCGCCGTGGATGGGTGCAATTCAAAGTATGAACCAGGGTTTGAGCATATGGAATGGCTTAGGACGCATCTGCAGCTCCTTCGTGATAGAGGGATGAAGGCAATCCTCATCGGACACGTTCCTCCCGCCCAGAACAAGAAGAAGAAGAACTGGTCCGGCTCGTGCTGGCAGAAATACGCTCTCTGGATGAAACAGTACCGAGATGTGGTGGTGGGAAGTTTCTACGGACACATGAACATCGATCATTTCATTTTGCAGGATTTCGACGATATCAAGTATATAACCGATGGCGCACCGGAATATGACTTCAAACATGAACAGCCGCCAAAAGATGTTTCGTCAATGGTGTCAATGGGCTATTTGCGTAGGTTAAAGAAGCAGTGGTCTAAGCTTCCACAGCCGCCTTGGGCGGAGGACGATGACTGGGAAGCAGGAACTGAAAAGAAGGAGCATGTCACCGGATACAAAAAGAAACTAAGGAGATATTACGACGAAATAGATGGTCCGTGGGCAGAGCGTTTCTCCGTGTCGATTGTTTCACCTAGCGTGATACCAAACTATTTCCCTTCTCTACGCGTGGTGGAATACAACATCTCTGGCCTAGAAGACTCCAAGAAGTGGCCACAGCCACCCTCTCTACGTATTAATCAACACAATACCCCTCTTCCATCCTCCGAATATGATGAAGAGTACGAGGATGATGTCAATAACGACTTAATTGACATATCCAAAAAACGCAAGCACAAAAAGAACAAGAAGAAGTACCCTAAATTCATAGTTCCCGACCCACCATCCCGAACAGCGCCACCAGGGCCCGCGTATTCCAACCAACCACTCACATTGCTCGGATATCAACAGTACTTCGCGAACCTGACGGAACTCAATGAGTCTCATGCTAAACATGTCTCGAGGCTAAAGAGTGTCAATGCTGACAAAATAAGAGCCCCCAGTGACTTTTATGAACTGGAATACGATACGCGAACAGATCCGTATTACAAGCTACCCGATATGACGGTAACTAGCTACCTAGAACTTGCTAGACGGATAGCCAACGAAGAGCGGGTGCCTGTTCAAGACAACCAGCACTCTCTTGACGACGCGAACCCATCGATCTACAGGCGAACAATATCTCTTTGGACCCTTTTCCGCCGAAGGGCGTTTGTGGGATTCTTCGGCGAAGACAGGCTTTGAGAAAAGGTCCCAAATAAACATGTAAACTTGGAACTATACATAACCTCATTCACTTTCATATATATTTTCATTGCATAACCCTTTCTTGTTTTGTCCTGCATGCATAGCCCTTGTTTATCTAGCATTTTTCTTCTTCTATCTTTTGTACCTTGATACTGTTTATTGAACCCTTCATGCTACCCGGTGGGTGGTACGATACCCTTTTTTTCCCAACCCTTTTCGGCCCTTGACTAAGTAAAAGGGAGGATTTGTCCTTTTCTTTGATATTATATTTTTTAAAGGTTTCTCGGTATTCTAGATGTGATAATGCTGCCAGTATATACATACATATATATTGTTGATGTTTAGGGGTGATTCATAGATTTACTTATATACAGCCAGCACACAAGCCGGTATAAATTCCCAAATATTACAGCTACCTCAGAACAGATGATACATGGTATATTTCCACACTTATATATCAGCAACAAACAGAGCGGCGTTCGAACAGTGGGAAACAAAGCGTCTAAACAGTCTGTGTGTGTATGGCTTTTGCAAGAGGGTTTTTATAGAAATGGATATCCCTGACAAAGAACAGCCGGCCGCCACCACGGAACGGGAGAATCGTTCAGCGACTCCGCGCCGTCCTACCCTGCTAACTCTACACTAGAGGAATGCGCTCTGCTACCTGCATTGAGAGCGGAACCCTCTATGTTGCAAGATCATCACCAAAACTATGTTATCTCGTAAAGCTATTGACTGAGGCTAAGTGAGAGAACAAGGCACTTGTGTTTCTGAGAACCTCCAATGGTATGGGTCACCATGGCACATTTGGATCTGATAAAGTTTGCTGTCCATCCATGAAGTGTTACATTATTATTATCCTAGAAGATTGATCTTGAGCCTGAACCGGAATATGTATGGGAAGCATATCTGAGTGAGTGACCTGTTGATTGGGTGTTTGATGAGGACTTCTACAATGTCGGTGGTGGTGTGAGCTTTGCGGACGTGGCTCGACTCTGGAAACCATGAGAGTCGTATAGGTGTAAGAGCGAATTTATGTATTGAATTCCTGCAATGTAGCAGCGTTGGTTCCTCAGCAGCGTTGTTTGTTTGAGGTCTTTTTTGGCCTCTTATATGCACATTAGCCAGGGTAGCATAGTTCGTCCGATAGATTTGACAGGCAGCGTGGGTTCGGTGATACGGACATTACCTGCCTGGCATGGTACACCCGTTCAATCGGTCTCGAAATCTTGTGCATCCTTTCTCATAAACATGGCATTGGTGATCCGGACTACGTTTCTTCACACGAGCCCACTATTCTCCTACCATCTTGTGCATTTCTTGGATATAAGGGCCTGATAGATAGGAGGGCACTCCGCGTTAAGCTTGGATAAACCGATGGAACGACTACGAAATAGCCTATCCGCATTGTCCAAAGACTTAAGAGCTTGGTGTTCAGTAGTGGAATTGCTCAACTTAGCCTCAATAATGTCATGATAGTCATCGAAGGCAACCAAGAGATCTGTTAGAATCTGCCACTCGGCCAAAAAGGCGAGCCCCCACTGATTGGAGGCAGAGAGACTTGTTATATTTGACATGTTGTTTGACGTGTTTCGAAGCTGGACTGGTATCGACATTGTCCCACTGTTTGGCGAGTTTCTCCTCCATTTTGGAGAGTAGGTATCTAATAAGTGCGTTGCCAGCCTTTTGGATCTCACGTGCCTCTACTTTCCAGATAACTACTGAGGCGCCATCTGGGAAGAAAAGGGTTTAGTAGCCGGAAAAACCATATCGCTCCTGAAAGCCACTTGTGACTTGTCTCTTCCTTTCGGAGCTGTCCTTTGACCGGACCATGCAGCAGTCATGTTGTTCCTGTGCACGCGAGGGTTCAACCGAGAGGATTTCGCTGATCGAAGGCACTGTGTGATATCGGTTTCTTGCACACAGGAGCCCAAGTCATCATATATCATCAGCGCAAATTGTAGGGGAGCCCCATAGAATTTGACAGTCAATCGCTTCTAACGGGTGAATTGCAAAACATTGAACACTCCGAACGTGCTTGGTTCAGCTGGTCTCTAGGTTATTTTTGGCTCGAATGGAAGTTCCGAGCAAACAATCTGTGCTCTTAGGTCCCTGACCTCTTTTGCGTGTACGCGTCAACTCCAGCAGTCTATCTGTTTACTGGTGCCCAGGGAATATTTAGACTAAGTGTCTGCATTTATTGTTTAGAAGGCTGGCAATACTCCTGAAGCTAGGAAAATGTGATGTATCTTCGTCCATAGAGAATTATAGAAACAGGGTATAGAGATGATCGGGCCTTCGGCATGGCCCCTCGAATGGTGCTAACCCGTATTAATCATTCAGCATCCCCAATCGTGGTTAACCGTCGATAGAGACATTCTGCCTGCTAATGTGGATCTGATAGGGAATATGTAATGATATACTTCTGCACTCTCAGCTCTCTAACAAAATTCACAAAGAGCTTGATAGAGTAAGGAGCCCGGAAATCTTCCACGAACATTCGGTTGGCGCCAGTCCACGCCGAAAATGTTAGGTGCCGTAGTTTCTCTGTAGCTGCATCTTTCGTGACCATGACATTTCCTCAAGTATCTTTCTTGCAAGGTCTTCACCAGAGGTAGATAGTGTTAGATCTGTGTGTCAAATGCATTATGTACGACACCAGAGTGATTTTTGGAAGGTTGTTAGCTTGAATAAGGCTCTTTTCGTGAAAGCGCTCTGGAAAGCACGTAGCCGTGATTGATGGTATTTAATATTCGGTATCACCCAGGCCCTTAAAATATATGCGTGTGCGCTCATTCTCCACGAGCTGGTATGGGATCACCAAGGCTGTCAAGAGTCCCGTCTGGAGGGCTCATATCCAATATATATCCCTAGTGCACAAACTGTTCTGTGTCATAACTTCCAAAAGTAGTATCTCTTCTGGCTGAATGATATGAAACTGGAATCATTCTATTAGTTTGAGGAAAGGTTTCCAATGTAAATGCAGTAGAGTTCGTTTAGGCATACGGTCATGCAAAGCCTGCTAGTCACCACGGCATCTCCGGAGCTAGTTTTGTTATATTGACCTCTTGTAACTGTCTGGGCTAGCTAGTTTGCTCGTTTATCCCATGGCGTCTTGTGGGGTATAATAGGGGTTGTAAAGAATTAGAATGCGCCGCTCTGGTCATGTTCATACTAGGTATGAGTAAGTGGTTGGGGGCGAACAGGGTTTTTTCCCATATCTCTGATACTTGCTTTAACTCCTGTCGCTCTGGGTCCCTGAGGATACCAGATCTAGGTATAAATAATTTCAAACCTTCACAAGCTGTACAAACTTTGGCCGTAGATTTCCATGGCTCCTAGGTTCTAGTTGACCCCTTATATGTTGTATAGCTAGGATATCGTGCGTCAGCACGTGAAATAACGTATTCAGGAGTGTGCTTTATTGTTGTTCGACGCTCATAGTGCTCAGCGGAGGTTGTTGATAATGATCCTCGTATATATATAGCTGGGAATACAGGGGAATAGGTGCATTATGCATAATGGAGGGTGAGGGAGACACCACTGAGGGTAGAAAGGATTGAGAAAGGAAGAAGAAAAGGATGAGGTTTGGGTCTTGAGACTGGTATATATGTTCATATCTAGCGGTGAATCACGGATAAGACTGGGCTTTGGCTGGGAAAATAGTCACCAGTATACCCAATTCATTGAGGGTGAGTGACTTCAATATACAAAGAGCGCCTTCACAGCACAAACGGCTATATGTATGCGGCTATGTGCGTGAAAGGATACCTAGATAAGAGCGAATATCCTTTCCTGGGATAGCCGACAAACAAGCCACTTCAGTTCACTGCTATTCACAGGGAGAATATTCACGGGGGATCTTGTGAAGGGGTTGAAGATAATCATTGCTCATATATTCATTCCTAGAATGTTTCGTAGAGTATGTCACTAGCTTAGTTTCTAATTCATTTCAGTCAAGGGGAACTCCCATATCCTGTTACTTATCCTGTGGCTGTAATCCCTGTGGCTTTGATTCCTGCGGCTTCGCGTCTTTGGCCTTTGCCTCCTTATGTTTCACTGGCCTGGGTATCGGATTTGGGTTACCGTTCCATTCTAACTTTCGTGGTGTCATGAACTGTTTCAGAACCTCATCTGTCACAGTTTTCCTTCGGTCTTGGAATTCTTTGACATATTCCTGTAGCAGGTTGATTGCTATTTGCTTTAGCTCTCCTGTCAAAAGGTCGCCCTTGCGGTAGTCTTGTTCTATCTTCTTAAGTTTTTCGTCGTCGTCCTCGAAATAGGAGATATCTGAGAACATGTTAGTTATTTATGCCATGTTAGTTATTTATGCGGTTAAAAGATAGCGGGCACGGGTACAGACATTGATAAGATACATCCACGTCGGGGTTTCCGCCAAACTCACGATGCAGCTCAACAGTTTCCCTGCCTCCGCTAAAGGCATAGCTTCTGATTTTTTTCTGCAAGAATACGTGTCAGGTAAATAACTACAAAGATTGAACCAACTGGTGAAACATACCTTGATCTGGTTAGGGGTATCCGACATGAAGATAGCAGAGCTGCAAGGAGTGTAAGTCACATTAGGTTGAAAGAGAATGGCAGTATTCTTGAATCTTACTTGGGGTCACTGGCACTCATTTTTCCACCAGCTCCTTGTAGTGCGGTAAGGAACTGGGAGTGGATGAGAGCTGGCTTGGGCGAGGGGAAACGCATTCTATGAGAATTCTCGCGCAAAAGCCTAAAGTAAGGGTCCTGATCAATGGCCATGGGAATTAAACATTGTATCTTTGCAATGGCTTTTGTTCGCTCCGTTGCTGGCTTATCAGCCCAGATCTCTGGATATGAGGTGGCAAAGGCAGCGGCACTATCATCAGTCAATAAACTAGGCTTCTTGCGCCGGACATGAAAACGTACCATTGCACTGCTGGGAACATTATACGACCGATATTGGTGCTGTTTTGCGTTAGTACATAGGTGACAAACGGACAAAAGCAGGGGCTAACCTCTCGTTAAATCCAAATGCTCCTCGGACTTGATTAAATGTGAGGAGTTTTGAGAATTCCCAGACGTTTGTTAGGAACGGGCCCTTGATATATTCCAAATCACTGTAGATGAAGGTCTTCTTCAGGTCGAAGCCACATGCTATGATGTCTTTTGCGTTCTGAAGGCCAAACTTATATGTTTCCTCGAAGGTGAGCTTTTCTTTGAAGAGTGCCTTTTCATCATCTTTTCCCTTCCCGTCAATATGGGTATACTTTGTATATACGATAGTCAAGAACATGGAATCTTACCGGTGAGCATGATAACTAGTAGAAGAGGAGTTAGCCAACATTGAATTTATCAGCTGTAGAGACAATTCCACCCCGCAGACATGGCGCAATTCCAGAACATACCCAATGGAACGTCAAAAACATCTTGCAACCATTTTGTAAAAGCAAATGGGATCGTATGGCCTAAATGTAGGGCATCGCTAGAAGGCCCTCTGCCGGTATACAAGAAGAAGGGTTCGCCGTATTCGTACTTGTCTAGAATCTTATCGAAGTCCCGATGAGAGAAGAAGAGGCCGCGCCTTAGCCAACGATGCGGTTTGTGTCCTGTAAGGCGTTCAAAGCGCTGGAGAATCTCGTCGTCTATCAGCTTGGTCGCCCATTTCCTATCCGGGATAGTTAGCACGCGCAGTCAGATAAATAGAGAATAGGGGTATGGCGCACTTTGAAATGGCAACATAGTCAAAGGCTAGAGTATTTCCCTGCGCATCCTTTGCGCCTTTTACATCCCAGGGGTTGATCTCCTGTTCTATAGTGGCAGCTGGTTGTTCTTCTTCGCGGACAGGGACCACGGTCTCCGCCTTAGGCGCTTCCATCCTTTCCGGCCTCCTCAAGCACTGGAATCTTGAAATCTTCTACCGTCAACAACTGATAGGGTAAAGAGGACTATGCGCGACAAGCCTGAGAGAAGCAATGTATTGTTATATATAAAAGAAAAGATAGCTAGCCCCTCGCGCTTCTTTTGACTCATTCCTTTTCTTTTTAATTAAGGCTTTCGAGGGGCATCTTCGATAGATGACTAAGCTCTACACTTATGTTTGCACAATTTACATTGTCGCTTAAAAATAAACTTCCGGAACCATATTAATACCCGCACATATCACGTGTACAGAGTCTATATTACTAAGCATACGCTTACTCATCCAAAACTACTATTTATAACTCAGATATCACATGACTCATGACTAAGCATTTTATTCTCCAGCTTTTTTTTTGTTTCTTATCAAGTTTTGAATGCGTCGACAAGATGAAAAGCGAGAGAGAGAAAAAGACGGCTTTGGGCCACGCGGAAGCCTGAAGATGAGGTGGCATCGGCAAGGCGTGATGGCCAAGTTGTAGATGTGGCCAGCGAGACAGGCTGTCGGGCCCTTCTAGCGTGGACGGCGGAGCGCCTGAGGGACTGACACGTCAAACCAGCGGTGGGCTTGCTGGCCGCTGGACCCTTGGATGCCTCGGGCTCTCTTGACGGGGCATCCAGCCTGCAGGGCCAGACGGGCTTACATAGGATGATAGAAGAGAGAGGAGAGGCGAAAAGTCCTTGATCTCTCGATCTCTCTCTTTACTCTCTACTCTGGACGTGGCCGGGGGTAAGGACTTCTCGTTTCTTTTTCCTCCTTTTCTCGCTCCTCTAAAATATATAGTGCCAGCCCCTGGCGTACATACTCAGTATTATTATATTATCGACCCTTCTCACTCGTCGGCTTTTCTCACTGTTACTCCTGTGCGACGGCACCAGAGGCACAAAATTAAGCGGCGCCGAAATTATGGGGAAGAATTGACCCATCCGTCATTCCGCTGCGAGAGCTCTCTTTTTCACCGGCCGTTTGTCGCCTGATTTACTTGGTGTCTTGGGGTACGGGGCCATCATCTCTCTTTACCGACACTTCGACTCCAGCATCAACGAAGAGAAAAGAAAAGAAGACTTCCACGCTATGGATGAGCTCAATGGCTGCTTTAACTCTCTAATGTATGCATGAACTGGTTGCCTGCATCTGCGCCTCACGCCCGAGACTCTCGCCTGGTCTCTCATATTTTCCACAAAGGGAAATAAAAAGAAAAAAAACTCCCAAAAAACCCCCGACGAAAGACGATAATGAATCATGAATTGAGTCGAATATACGTCCAGCATCCCATACTCCAGCCTTTTCAGTCGCGTCTCTTCTCCGTTTCTCACCGTGTTTGCGCATCTTTGGATACCGGCGCAGGTCTTTGGGCGGGTCAGAATTTCCGTTTGGAGCTAAACTGAGTTATTGTCTGTTGTGGTATGCTATAAGGGCTTCACTATCAAAAAATAGTACCTCTTTGTGAATGCTGCTGACGATCAGGTGAAGGTTACGCGATTATCTTCGGATACCGTTTCTTTGGGGGTTCTTCTACAGCGTTACGCTGTTGTTTCTGTATACAACCGGGCCCTACGATCGTCTACCAGATCCAACCAACAGTCTACGATCAATTGTCAACAGAGAGACAACCTGTACAATAGACGTTCACTTAATCGTCTACCGGATTTGCGCTCGCAGCCCGAACCTCTAGGTTCCAGATAATATCAACCTTGGCAAGCTGTCGATAGCTTCTAACTTTGTCAAAACCTTTAGTCTTTTTAATAACTCACGCCTCCCCCGACGCCCTTGGTACCCATTCCACACTCCTGGAAAACTTTCCAACCCGCTGATATTCAATTGCGCCGACATTTGACGAAGTAGAGGCCAAGACGTCGAACTTGTCAATCGTCTACTCCGTACACCCAACAGCCCGTCAACGTCAAATAGCTGGTTACACACGCAAAGGGACCTTGATACCTTAGAGAAGACATTTCATTTGCCTGTTGGTGCTATTTTCTAAGAGGTAAGCGCCCTGTTCTCGTGATCATCTCTCTTTGGCCTTTTTCCTCTCTAGCCGCCAGTCAAAACCCCGAAGAGAAAAGAAAAAAACAAAACATGGAAACCAAGTTTCGTTTACCTCCAAACCAAGTTCCTAAACTACACGTTCTTTTGGCATAATATAATTCCCCGCCACCGGGCCGTCACTTCTGTGGCCACTCATGTCCGATCTGTCTGCCTTTTTTACTATATACATCATACCTTTGGCATGATCTTGTTGCACTATGTCAACGACAAAGCAGATCAGCCCTCCCGTTTACGGCCCTTTGAGTCAAGGCCATTCTTACATCAGAGAACTAATCTGTGCTTCCCGCTTATGGCAGGAATTCACCGAACCCATAGAGTTCGCTATATGGATGGCATCCTCAGAAGTAGACCAAAAGTTTCTTGGTCACTTTGCTACTCGCACCAGTGAAACCAACCCGTTCCTTTCGGGCATGCTATATAAGATACTGGGACTTTCGGTCATATTATCCAAGAAACTGCTCCGAGCTCGAAAGCTGCGACGGCTGGACCCGACTCGGGAAACAAAGTCCTTTCAGTTATATCACCACATCCTCTGGCTTTCGCGGGAAGGGCTCATAATCGTGGAGCAGTATGTGCACCCTATGGTAGCGGATTATGTAGAACTGCGAGTTCTAGCATACAAACTGCAAGCATCCTTTTATCACATATTTGTGCTCTTCCACAACCAACCCCGTGTCTACCACCGAGGCATCCAGGCACTCCCCGGCTCGACGTCCTTTGTTGATATTGTCAATGCAACCGCACCCACTAACGGGAAAGATGGAACAAACGCGCCAGAATCATCTGTAACATCTCATCCGGTCGAAGGCGGTCCTGTCGGAGCCGGAAGCCAGCTACAACCCCCAGGGCTAGAGGTACCGGTACAACCCAAATTTGCGGCGTCCTTTATCCTTCCAGCGATAGATTATACGCCACGCGCGACGGAATGCTTTGCTTATGTAGCTACGCTAGCGGACCAACTACTCCCAGGCTCGCACCCAATACGCCTGTCCGTCAAGCTCGAATACGCTGCATACCTATATGACTGTCTCAACGATTCGACAGCATGCAGACGCCTAGCTAAACAAGCCATTGCAGACGTCTACAACGCCCAAGAAGGAATGGACGACGAGAGCTTCGAAGATGCCGCGGAGCTAGTGAGCGTGCTCGGCAAGATGGTCAAACGAGGAGGTAAAACTACCAGCAGTACTGGGGGAAGCAGTACCGGCGGCGCAGGAGATAAGTCATTTAGCGACGTTAGTCAAGGTACACCTTCTCGCGACGCTACAGCAGCAGCAGATGTCAGCGGCACTCCAAAGAATCGCCAGCAACAGCCCAAATCGCAACAGCCGACAACACCTCAACAGCCAATCCCGGCTACCAGAGGAACACCTTCGAACGTCCCGGGCGAGGCAGGGCTCGGACTAGCCATTCCACAGCCTGCCATGGCTAATACGATATAAAAAGGGGTATCTCGGCGCCTGGGTAAAAACGGCACCAATACACTATTGAAGCCTGGAGTGATGGCAAGACAAGGCAGTAATACTAGTATCTGGCGCACACAGCGTTTGTTTTTTGGTCTTTTTTTTGCGTTTCTTGGAGGCATTTGTTTGCTTTATCGCAGGTTTCGTTATTTTAGGTGTTGTATGCATACGGAGATTTTATTCTGTTCTCATAATCATCGTCCAAGCTATTTGCACGTGACTTGTGCCTCGGCTCGGCAAAACTTACTCGGCTTTTCCGTGTTGACCTCCACCTTCTCCGTGCTTAACTTATATAAATATATTATCAAGACGTTATATTCCTGAAGCTGTGTCTCCCGTTGCCATTGGTTAAGGTATACGGGGCACAGATTTACCTGTATTTGAATCCAGAGCTGTAGCAGGCACCTAAATATGGCAACAAACTCACCTAATCCAATTCCCTTCTCGGAGCCGCCGTATCTCTGTGGACTTCCTTCGCCATACTACACTGATGCTCATCGGCGCTTTCAGAAAGCATGTAGAGCCTTCATTTGGGAGCATCTACACTCCCATGCAATGGAATGGGAACGAGAGGGCACAGTTCCACCACATATTTTTGAAATATTCGGCAAACATAACATGTTGATTCCAAACCTGCCATCTCCATTGCCGGTTGCATGGCTGAAGGAGCTGAACATTCATGATATCTTAGGGGTCAAGGTTGAAGACTGGGACCTCATATATACTGGTATATACCTGGATGAGGTCAGTAGCCACCTGAACTGCACATATTACAGGCCTGCTTGTGCTAACAGTTCCCTTAGATGTCAAGATGCGGACTGAGCGGGCCACCAGGCTCCTTAACAGCTGGTTTCGCATTTGGAATCCCACCAATGCTTGCATTTGGAAGTCCAGCTTTACAGGAGAAATTTCTTCCTGATATGCTGACATCAAAGGTCAGGTCATGCATCGCTATTACTGAACCTGATGCAGGTAGTGACGTTGCAAATATCACCACTACTGCCGAGAAGAGCGCAGATGGCAAGCACTATATCATCAACGGTGAAAAGAAGTGGTACGTTAATCGTCATGACTGTGCTTTTGTCAAATTACTTTGGAGCCTTATCATTTTATGCCTCTGTTAGGATCACAAATGGTATATGGTCAGACTACACTACTATGGCCGTACGTACTGGCGGCCCAGGACCAACTGGCCTATCACTGATAGTGGTACCATTGAAGGGTCATCCAGGCGTAACAATGCGTCGGCTCCCTGTCTCCGGCCAGGTCTGCGGTGGCACCACATACATTGAACTAGATAACGTCAAGGTACCAGTTGAAAACCTGATAGGCCAAGAAGGGCACGGTATGAAGTATATTATGACGAATTTCAACCACGAGCGTCTCACTATTGCGGTCGGAGTGACTCGTCAGGCTAGAGTTGCCCTCAGCTCTGCTTTCGAATACTGCATGAAGCGTGAGGCCTTTGGCAAGACACTGATGGACCAGCCTGTGGTGAGACATAGGTTATCCAAGGCTGGTGCCGAACTGGAGTCTATGTGGGCTTGGGTAGAGCAGTTCTTATACCAAATGAATAACATGCCTAAGGAAGTAGGAGACAAAAGATTGGGCGGGTTGACAGCCCTAGCCAAAGCAAAGGCTGGAATAGTTCTTAACGAATGTGCTCAGGTAGCAGTTTTACTCTTTGGTGGGCTTGGGTTCACCAAGTCTGGCCAGGGGGAACTAGTTGAAAGTGAGTCTGCTCTTAATTTCTTCCATTTACTCCTGCGGTCTGTTTGTTTCAGGACTAATGAATCTAGAAATCTTGCGTGATGTTCCCGGAGCCCGAATTCCAGGAGGCTCGGAAGATGTCCTACTTGACCTTGCTGTTCGACAGCTTGTGAAGAATTTTAAGGCAGAGGCCAAGAAGCTGGGGGAGCCTGCTAAGCTCTAGAGCTATAATGTGCATTATTATCTACTCTGCGATTTAGGGTTATCACTTTACGATTTTCTAGTCTTCTACCCCTGCCACTGGGCTGACTGGTGCCCCAAGTGTCGATGGCATAGTTTGCTCTATTTTAGTACATTGGAAATTGAATTAAATTCGATATTAACTCCAAACTATCTTGAAATATCCTATAAAGTCCTGGTTCATTGCGAGCAAAGAGGTATATAAAGTGCTCCAGACATGCGCACGGAAAAAAAAGGTACAATGTAAAGACAAATCAGCCAAGTATCATTCTAAACGTGGTAAATCACCTGGAAGAGCTTCCAGCCACGTTACATCATTGATCTGTTGAGGCTCTGACTTCTCACCGCTAGTACCACCTGGATTAGTACTAGCTATTTTGGCTACACATGTGGCCAGAGACTCAATAGCATCCAAGTAGGTTCCAGCATTGGAGTTGAAAGTTTGATATTCATTGAGTAGCTCCATGCATCCTTTCCAGGCCTCTTTTATTGACTTATTGCCTCCTGGTAGCTTCTTGCAGAGATCAGCGGGGCAAAGGCGCGCAGCAAGTAAAACAAGAGCGCAGGTGAAAATGGGCGTAAGGTTTTCCCACCATGCTGGCACAGGCGCGAGGTGGTCGACTTTTCCATCAGATTGACGATTGGCTATTAGAATGCTTATTATTTCCCGGGCGGATAGGATGCATTTGCAGGCACCGTTGTAAATGATAGTACGTATGATCGGCGAGTCAACGAAGTCAGTTATTGCATCCGGTTGGTTAGAGGGCAGGGGGATTCCGGAACTAATTAGATCTGGAGATGCCGCGACAAGGCCTAGGAGTGGCCTCCATAAAAGGAGCCGGATGTTAAGATACCTGATGCGAAGAATATTGTGCTGTCGTTTCGCAATGGGGTTTTCAAGCGAACCGTGTGTACTACCAGGCACCAGGAAGGGAGGGAGAGCCGCCATCCAGTTGCACAGCTTCCGATCTGCGTTTAGAAGATTTCGGGAATCAAATGTATCCATAACCTTGTGGGGATGGTGAAGGAATGGACGAAGTTCTTCCTGCACAGCAATGATGTCTTCATATCTCTCCATCAAGCGGGTATACGCTGTGAAAAATTCTATGATCGATGGGCGATCAGAGGCTGTGGTTGGCTCGCCTCCAAATATTACATCCACGTATTCGTTTTCAAGCGGAGTTGGAAGGGGTGCCTGGAACGATCGCGGAGTTACAATCATATGTGGGCCCAGGTTTAGGGCAATAGTCCTACTCTGCAATTAGCATGGGCCTATGATTAATGCAAATACCTTCATTTAACAAACCTTTCGAGGAGAATGCAGCTGTGCCACAGCCTCCTTGCGAGCTCTCTATCAACTCTATCCTCAGAATGCTGGCTTCCAGAGCCAAGGTGAAGTCGAAGTGTCTCGGCAACACGGATTGTAAGCCCAATGAGGCCCCAGGCTGGCTCAAAGTTGTTTATTGCCATTAGATACTGGCAAGTAATGATATATGCCTGTAAAGTCGACAGGCTAACTCCTTGTAGGGAGCCCGGTCGAATGAGGCGTTGTGCCCTCATGAAATACATCGAAGCATCAACATGACTATTAGGACCAGTGGCAAGGCAACCCAACGCGAAAGCAACGTTTAATATGCCACGAAGAACACCCGTATCGTCTGGCGAATTTTCACTTGTGTACAGTTCAATATACTTGGCGTGAAATGCGGGGAGATGAAATATTGGTAGATTAACATATTCACGAGTGAGATAAACCGCGAGTAAATGATCTGCGACTTTTCGAGGAGGCATTCGGAGATCTCTTGCGTTAGGTTGTACCTCGATAATACCAGGGTTATCTTTTAGTGTTTGTGATAGTCTAGCAAGCTCTCGCTTTGCTTGTACGGTACAGCCTGGTTTCGACGTGTCTGTTCTATGCGAAATCGCTTCTTTGAGCTCGGCCATCCATGCAGACGGGTCTAAGTCGTTGCCATTCATGTCTCCCCGACCGGCTATCTCCATAAACTCGACGGAAGCACTCCGCTGCTCCTCTGCTTCCTTGAAAGATCGTTGAAAGAGTGGCAGCATGTCCCCATTTGTTGTAGGTTCAGAATTTCCCACAGCTTCGGCATCTCCTTCACTCACAGAGATATCATCAGACACAATACTCTGGGGCCTGCAGAGCTTTGCTCGAGCAAGAGGGGGAACGTCAACCGCGATATTGTCATCTGGACGAATCGGCAATTTTGTTTGACCCGTAAAACGGGTTGGCATAGACAGCCTTGGAAATTTAAAGGGACGGTCAGGGCCATCATGAGAGGACCTATGGACTGGCTGTAGACTGTAGAGGCAAATAAGTGGCCGGTCATATGGCTATTATGGTGACTTGTGCTCAACATACGTTCTCCTGCTAGATATCGAGGGATAATCATATTGACAAGTCTGATTCTTTTGGAGGCACGTCGTGCATGCTATTCATTGTGAGTTCGAATCATTATTAAAAAGGTAGCCATCATCCGCTACGTACACGGAACTTGGCGATCGCATTTTTTCTTCTTGGTTTTACATATCAGACATGGCTTCGTGGAAACCTCTGGGTACCCGCATTCTCTATTTCGTTTCTGGCAAGAATTGCATACTACAAAAGACTGTGTTAGAATTACCCGTTTTATTACTAGAAATAAGGGGGGGACTCACCAGGGCCTGGACCATCACATCTAAGGTGCGCAACGCGGCAAGGCGTGCAAGCAGAGGGTTTAATAGTCGTCCCGGGCATATCAGCCTGGGAATCCGCTGGGTGTTCTATATCCATCGTGCCTTTTACCTTGAAGTTCCACCAGGTAGCCAAACGCATCAACCGCCGCAATGAAATTTTAGGTTATACATGCTTAGTCATTACTTAAAGTTTTATCACATGAGAAAAAGTTATTATAGTGCTGACTAAGCTTGCTTTGGACGTATTAATGAGCCTCAACCAATATCAACTGCATCAGGCGGTGTCAGGGATATACGGAATATACCGAGCAATATAACACTGCACCCCCTACTACGCGGACCAAGGGTCAAGGGGCATATACCCAATAAGGCCTGTGAGAGCTCTCTGACGTTTAAAATTACTATGCACAGCGCGTTGTTGTTGGTTTATAGTGAATGGAATGTTGTGGCATAGTTACTCCGGTCCCAGTGAATTATTTATGAGGAAGAAGAAAACAGCGTTCAAGGCCCTTTTCCCCCTTCTTTTCCTTTGGATCAGCAGCGTCTGCATACCTCTCTATAAGGATTAGCTATAATACTAACACAGTATGGCCGGCCACCGCCACCAATCATCCCTGGAAGGGGTGATCAACTTCTCTGCCCTTGATTCTTTATCGGCGGAGGTGCGGTCCCAGGCAACCTGCAGATTTTACAGTATCGTGGAATACTGTCGAGCAGAGGAGCTCGCTACAGGCTCTCGCCTGACGTACAGTCATGCGCTGCTCATTCGCTGTACCTACGAGTATTCCCGGTCTGAGGCTTCGAAGGATAGATTCCTCCGCGCATTCTTTGAATCAATGAGAATGGATATAGCTATAGGGAAGGACCCAGACTTCACCAGCCAGGGGAACCAGTTGCGCGAGAATTTAACTGCTTTTGCGGAATTTTTGCTTGACAACTTCTTCATACCCCGTAGGCGATACGTATCCGCTGTATCTATTCCTTTTCATCCGCTAACTTTTCTCCGATAGTTAAGGTGCCTGGGCGGCGTACACCCCAGCCATCTCCTGCACACCTGTCGGTGTTTGAACGGATTCAAGGGGCACACGAGTATATTCCGACACCAGAGCGTATATCCGCTCTCCGTCGTGCCTGTCTAGTCCGTGACCATCATCGATGTGTAATCTCGCGTCGTTTTGACCGGAAAGAAGCCGTATCTCGCCTAGAGCGGCTTGGAGATGACGCTAAAGACGATGATGGAAATCAACTTCTCGGAGAGGAATTCGACGTTCTTGAGGTAGCCCACATAATCCCCCACTCTCTCACACAGTCTGACGCCAATGGGGAACTGGTAGGTTACTTTGTCCTGGGAGCCTTATGTTTCCGTGAGACCTAACATTCGTGCTTAGAGCGACTCGAAGAAAGCTGCATTGGCGATCTTAAGCATGCTCGACTGTGATGTTTCACATCTTATTGATGGCGTTAATATCGACAGGCCATTCAACGCTATGAGCCTCACCCCCAATTACCATGATGCCTTTGGAAGCTTTAAAGTTTATTTTACCCTATTCCTGGTCATGAGCATACCTACCAGGTTGAGTCGTTTCTCCATCCTGCAGTCCTAAGCTCACTCCCGGTTACTCGTGAATTATACGTAATCGAAGATCGATCAATTGACCCTCCGTTACCCCGTCTTCTCGCATTACATAGGGCTATCGCCCAAATTCTTAAAATGTCTGCGGCTGGCGAATACATCGATAAGATTCTCCGTGACATGGAAGATCCAGGGACAAGCTCTGGTGGGTCTACAGAGCTTGGGCGGATCGTCACCCTTAGAATGGGTGGCTGGCTTGATGGTGCAGTTAGTGTGCCTGTTGTCTAACGCAGCTTGCTGTGTAAGACTTGAGCAAGATGGTCACCAACCGTGATCGAAGAACTTGGCACTGGGTATACAGGACTGTACCCGATACAAAAGGAGGATGATAAGCCAAAGGCTTAGGTAGGATTGAAGCTACGAAACGTAGATAGATAAACAGTATTGGAAGATGGATTATTCGTTAACTAAGAACTTGGGTGTAGTCCTACAAAGGAAAAAGAACATGACACGTGACAGGACAGTTGCTCTTGGAGCGACTGTCCTGTTCCTGTCACGTGTCACGTTTTTCTTTCCTTCTTGTAGGACTACAACCGCGTCCGAGTTCTTAGTTAACAACCAATTCATCTTCCAATACTGTTTATCTATCTACGTTTCGTAGTTCCAATTCCAATTAGGCCTTTGGCTTATTCTCATTCTCATATATCTTGTACAGTTCCGTCCTGTACACCCACAGTGCCCAGTTCCATTGTCAGGTCTTTACGTTCGGACCTCTCATCCTTTCTTTGGGAGTCTTAGTCATCCGGTGCTGGGCCGTTGATGCGTAATAACTAATATACATTATGAGTTAAAAGGATATTTTGATACAGAGATAGCAAATCAAAAATATTAAATGAGACTCTACTGCAACTGTTCTAGCGGTTTTCTGTGCCCTGCCAAGTATGTAACTTGTTGTACGGAGTACTACTCATGTATGCTCCAGCCACCCGCCATCACCGGCGACTTCGGCGTAAGGCTCCACGCTGTTGTTTTCCCCGAGGTTGGGGAGCTTAGCGAGGGGAAGAAGCGCCTGCTGTAGATAAATAACTTACTGGGAGCAAGGATGAAGCTTGCCACATATTCTCTGCTTCAGGTATTATACTCCTATCAGAAGGGGAGAGAGATACTTTGCGTCGACGTGTTTGAACATGGCTTCTACTATGCAAGCTGCAAATCGAATCCAGTCCATTCTCAAGGCTGGGAAGACGGCATACGGCGTATGGCAGATGTTTCCCGGAGCCAACCTGTCGCGGGTGATGGCGAGATGCGGGTTCGACTGGATTCTCGTTGATACTGAACATGGAAATATCGACGGTACTCTCTCTCTCTCGGTCTCTATATTTGCTAGTTGCTTGCTGTATTTACTAATTAATGATCGTTCTAGATGCCCAGATGCATGAAGCTGTAGGAGCAATTGCAGCTATAGGCGTCAGCCCTATTGTCAGGACTGTAGCCAACGAAGGATGGATGGTCAAACGTATGGATACTGTATCTTCTGTCTTGATGTCACACTAAGTAGATCAATGAATAGGTGCGCTTGACGCTGGAGCTCATGGGATACTTGTTCCACTCCTTGAAACGGCCGATGATGCAAGGAAACTAGTCCAATCTGCCAAATTTCCTCCGGTTGGTAAGAGGGGATTTGGAGGTCCGTTTGCTATGGGATCGATTGGCGATGTGACGCCGATAGAATATCTACAGCACGCGAACGACTCTCTAATAACAGCAGTACAGATAGAGACCAAGTCCGCCCTTGACAACGTATGTCCCCCTTCTTTGACTCTAAGATTGTTGCATATAGGCTAAATAGTCGACAGGTCGAAGAAATTGCCCAGGTACCAGGCATCGATGTACTATTCGTCGGACCATGGGACCTTGGGAATAATATTGGCCGGCCAGTGCTCACGGCTGAGTTCCACCCTGACCTTGAAGTAGCCATCGAACGGATTCGTAAAGCAGCAACAGATAATGGGAAGAAGGCTGGAATATACTGCCCGTCGGGGGAGTTCGCGAAGAAGTATATTGACCAGGGATTCAACATGGTGAGACCTGTCCTTTATCCATCCATCTGTCTCGACCACGACGTGTCCAGTTGCTCATTGTGTTCGCCGTGTGTGATAGGTCTCTGTCATTTCCGATGTCACCGCACTTCCTATCTTCCTCAGCCAGACCCTGAAAGTAGCAAGGGGGGAGTAGATGAGCTCAACACCGACTCTTGAAAAAAAAAATGCCAAGTTCGAAAGATATGTATCTATGATACAAGATAATCCAGCTAGCATTCGTCAATGGCCTTTTGTACCTCTGCTTCGGTAAATCGATGAAACAGCTTTTTCGGGTCACTCGTTCGGCCATCAGGCAAGGTCTTTTCGACATGTAGAACTGGAACGTCAAACTCATACATGTCCTTCCACTGCTGGTTCCCAGGGGCCATGACGTCTATCTCTGTGTATTCGAACGGCTTTCGTTGCCGGAGGTTGGTCAGCGCAAGTTTGGCTGTGTCGCATAGGCCGCAGTTCAGACGGGAGTAGAGCGTCAGCCGGGCATTCTGCAAGAGAGTGAAAGTCGGGCGCATCTTTGATATTAGCTGAAGGACTTATAATTATAGTTAAACGTCCTATTCTCTTGTTTTTTGTTTCGTAGTTTTTGTTGTGTTGACATTTTTGATATGAAAAGTTTTCTTATCCAGAACCTTCGATAGGGAGGAAAAAAGAAACGCCTGATTTGTTTATTATGTAGAGAGAAGAGCTTTCGCCCACCGCACTTATTATCTATTTCTTGCCCCTCCGTACTAGCAAAAGTTCTCAATTGCGTTTCTACCGCTTTACACAGACAAGATGGCTGAGAAATGTGTTCACAAAGGGTGTGGCAAGGTGTTTACGGACGCTGATGAGCCGTGTGTTTATCATCCTGGCCCGCCAATATTCCATGAAGGGCAGAAAGGTTGGTTCATAGCCACGGTCAAGTTGTTTGTTTATTTGCCCTTTGATTTGCTCCTTTTTACTAACAGCTGCTCTGTAGGCTGGAAATGCTGCAAGACTCGAGTCCTTACCTTTGACGAATTCCTGGCCATCCCACCATGTACTACCGGGAAACACTCGACCGTCGACGATACACCTGTTGAATCGAAGAATGAAGCTGCTGATGTCCCAGACACTACCCCTGCTGCTCCCGTTGGCACCACAAAACCAATCGCCGTGTCAGCTGCTCTACCTCCCTCTCTCAGTGCAAGCGGAGCACACACGCCCACGCCGAGGGGCACTCCTGCCCCGCCAGAGTCCGAGTCGGACGACCCATCGTTGGAAATACAGCAGGGCGCAACATGTCGTCGGAAGGGCTGTGGTAAGACGTACAGCGGGTCTGGAGCCAGGGAGGGTGAAGAGTGCGTTCACCACCCCGGACAGCCTATCTTCCATGAGGGGAGTAAAGGCTGGACTTGCTGTAAGCGGCGAGTGCTGGAATTCGACGAATTCCTGAATCTGCCTGGCTGCAAGACCAAGGATCGCCATTTGTTTATTGGAAATGGGGTGAAGTCAGCTGAAGAGAAGGTCAAGGATGTTCGGTAAGTTGGTGCAGTTTCTACAGATGTATATTTTCTTCATGTACTGACGAAATAATGTTGAATTATAGGACCGACTTTTATCAAACTTCGTCAACTGTGATAGCATCAGTATATCTGAAGAAGATAATCAGGGAGGATTCAAGGGTCTCTTTTTCATCCCCAACGACAATTGACCTTGACCTTCCAACCGCAGACCATAAACGATACGAGGACACCTTCACCCTCTTCGCACCGATTGATACGGAAAAATCTTTCTATAAGATCATGAGCACGAAGCTTGAATTCACGCTAGTCAAGGCGACCGAAGACAGCTGGCCGGCCTTGCGCAGCACCGACCCGAGGACGGGCGAGATCATTCAGACAGGACGGCCGACGAGGGCATGAGCTAGGGGGATTTTAAAAGATGTATACGAATAATGAACCAAATGAAAAAAAAATATAATGTAACTTTTACTGATTTTCATAATTTTATATATCGCACAAAGTGAAATTTACATCCCGTAAAATTTCACCGTAAAGAGAAAATAGAGCACCATGGCTATACCATCTAACGCCCCAATTGGGATTCTCTTCAAGAACCACAAGTAACCAGCATGGTGGAAGGGGGGAAAGATGGATGTATCGTGTCCTCCACGACTAAGCCAACCGAAGAAATGTGAACGCTCAGCCATAATTGTATGGGAAAAAGGACAACGCAAGTCTCCTCTCCGAAGCCGGGAACGGAAGGAAACCCATGGTGAGATGGAGCAACCTTCAGCAAGCCGCCGTAGCGGTGCCTCGGGATTGAAATTTACATGTAGTAAACCTCTACTGATGTGAGGAAAGAAAGAGAAGAAGAAGAAGAGAAAGAAGCAAGAAATTTTTGATGTGCCTTTTTATGACAAGTTACAGTCACGTGAAAATATATCACGTGGATGTTATATCACGTGCTGTCTTTACTAATCCAGTCAAGTGACTATCACATGCTCCGGCTAAACTTTCCACTTCAGTCAAGTGCGGCCGTGCTTAACAAGGTTGCCGGCTCATCCCAAAAGGGACTAGTGGGTGCTCAGCGCGGCAAGTGGGCACGAGACCTTCAACCTTCTCCTTTTTTTTCTCCAAAGCGACGTTTATTTCTTTTCTTTATATCTGAGAATTGAAAACGTCTTCACCTGGTTCCCTCTCTCTGGCACCTCAACGTCGACGGTTTGAATCGCAATCAATATATCTTGCACCACCGGCACATCAGTCTCCGCCTGCAGATCTCTATTTCACAGCAACTCAGGATCTTCTGCGGGGGCTGCAACATCGAACGTCATCGCACATAAAGTTGTGTTCGCACACCACGCCTCAAGGCTCACTCTCCTACCCCCGTTCCTAATAGCCACGATAAGAGAGTCGTTAGTCTCTTCCCTCAGAGAAGCAAGCCTGCCTGGTGAAATACCTATTTATTCGTACCTTTTTTTTCAGTATACATTCCACGCCAGCCAGACAGTTCACGCCCAATATTTCCTTTTAGAATCAGAACATCTCTCTTGCGTGCATACATACCCTTATATACACACACGACCCCTTTTTTCCAGCCCAGACATAAAAAATGCCCTCTGCGTGTACACAGCCGGTTGGCTGCCATGAAGTCAGATGCATTCCGCTGTCGTACAACCATGCTGACTCGCAGGCTTCGGCTTTGAGGCTCGTCTTGACTGTCAACCCGCACTGGAAGGATGCTCAAGGTAGAATTGAGTTCGTTCGCTTCACCGATGGAATTACCAATACGGTATGTATATGATGAGAGGATGGTAGATTGTGGTTGGTGTATACATCTTCTTCTGCTGCCCGAGTTCTGACCTTTTGATCGTAGCTGTTGAAAATCACTCTTCGGGCTCCTGGCTTGTCTGAAGAAGAGATTGATAAAGAGGCAGTGTTGATGAGGGCGTATGGAAATAATTCTGAAATCATCATAGACAGAGAACGTACGTCTGTTCGTTAGACTTCCTATACGGGCGCTTTGTTCCCTTGTCCAGTTGGCTAACCCGCAGCATAATCCCTCTTGCAATAGGGGAGACAAAATCCCATGCCCTTCTGGCCTCTCGAGGACTTGCTCCACCTCTTCTAGCCCGCTTCTCGAATGGGCTCTTATACCGCTTTATTCGCGGACAAGTAGCATCTCCTGATGATCTCACCAATCCTGCCATCTGGCGCGGAGTTGCTCGTAGGCTTGGCCAATGGCATGCTGCTCTGCCCATCAGTGATGTGCCCTCTGATGCACTAAACCTGGGTTCCGGAGACGGTGATACTCTTTCCCTGGCCTCAAGCGACTCTGAGTCCAAACCGGTTCAGGAATCGACCTCCGCTGCAGATGACATCATACCCATCAGCACCCGTCTCGAAGGACCGAACCTGTGGGCGACACTGCAGAAGTGGATTCTAGCCTTGCCAAAGAGCACGGAACAGGAACGTACTCGACGAAAGAACCTCCAGAAGGAATACGAGAGGATTGTCGCCGAGTTTGATGATGGATCCGGCCTAGGCGAAGAAGGGGTGAGCTTGAACACCTCAACTACAAATTTGTATACACCTATTGCTTACACTGCCTACACTCTAGATGGTCTTTGCACATTGTGATCTTCTAAGCGCAAATGTCATCATCCAGCCTCGACCAAAGGAGTCGACTCTGCCAGAAGGCTCTGCTGAGACAGTTGATTTTATTGACTACGAGTACGCTACCCCTTCGCCAGCAGCATTTGACCTAGCAAACCATTTCGCTGAGTGGGCCGGTTACGACTGCGATTACTCGAGGCTACCAACCCGATCCGTTCGTCGAAAATTCATCGAGGAATACGTCGATAGTTTCAGTCAACATAGTGTGCTCCCGGAGTCCAAGAAGGCGGCGGTTGACAACCTCTTTGCCGATGTTGATCGTTATCGTGGACTCCCCGGATTTTACTGGTATGATAAACAATGAATATATAACCGTCACCCCCAATGATGTTAATAACTCTCTTGTAGGGGCGTATGGGCCTTGATCCAAGCAACCATCTCCAGAATTGATTTTGACTACGCTTCCTACGCGGAGGAGCGTCTTGGAGAGTACTGGGCTTGGAGAAATGAGCAAGACAGCTCTCGCTCCAAGGCCGGTGAGAAGAAGCCTCTTCGTGAACAACGCTGGGCCCAAGAGGCGTAAACCAACATCGACAGCTTATAGGCAGACCTACTTACTTTCTTCCTCCCCTTTCTTCACCTTTACCCCTTTTTCTGGCCAGCTCCTATCCGGAACAGCTTACTGCATTTTCAGATTTGACTTGATCGTTCTCGCAGCATTAGTTTTGACTTTGAAACCCTTTTGCGGTACGTCCTACTAATGCCCCTATATATTCTGCATACTCTATCGGCGTCATGTTTTTGGCATATAACTACTTCTTCCTATTCATTTAAGATTTCTTTTTAATGGGCCCCAGACCACATATCACCACTGCCAGGACCATTCTACGACGAGGCAATACTGCACTCCTAGTAATCGTTTCGGCTACATATTTTCTCCTTTTCGCTGTTTTGACCTCTAGACGGCAGAGTTGTACGATCAGGCAACAAGATGTTATTTCCTCGGCTGGTGACTGTGTATGTTAGCGTATTACCCATAGAGTAACTTAGGAATCCCAGGCTGCGCAGGGACAGAAATATAGGACCGTTGAATGATGTAAATGTATATCTTGAAGTAGGTAAGCTGGAGATTCGTACACCCACTTACGATCATCCCCTTATCCCACTACTGTCAAGCTTCTCTCTAAGTTGTCCTATTACAGACGATAACCATAGCCGGTTTTACCTCCAGCCAACTCTCTTGGCGCCGGCTAACTATATCTATGTATTAGTGTTTCTATTTTCTTCTCACTTGATATTGAGAGATTTTCAATTTTCTCTCTAACATCTCATATATCTGTTAACGTTTTAGACAAAATATCCTAGCCCCAAAGGCTGGAATCACTACAAGGAGTAATACAATGCAGCGACTGGAACTCGTTATACGGCTCTATAAAGGCTATTATTCCTAAGTATACTAATGTCTAGCTTAAGACTCAGTCTAGCACATTACGTGACGACGGCTAGGAGGCATGTTAGGTGCGAGGCGTCTGCTTTGTAAGACGACACCAGTGCTGCCCAAGGCCTTATATGCCTATTGTTGCCGTCTTGCCAAAACGTAGAAGCTCTTGCGATTCCTACGCATGGAAAGATCATCGGCTTCAGTCTCTTCGTTGTCGGCAGTGGGCTCTCCCTCTTCCCCTTCTTCCCCTTCTTCCCCTTCTTCCCCTTCTTCCCCTTCTTCTCCATCCTCATCGTCCTCATCGTCTTCGTTATCTTCATCATCCTCACTATGTTCTCTATTCCAAAGAGAACGGGAAATGGCGTCACAAATCTTAACTATGCTGTCGCTCTCTGTTCTAAAGAGAATTCGATTCATCATTCTCATAGCACTATGATCGACGGGTCCATCTGCAGTTTCATTTTCTGCGTTGAAGCAGGCCTCGTCTCTCGCCTCTAATGCCTCCTGAGCAGTTTTTTCAGCTTCCTTAACTGCTTTTACTAATTCCTCGTCTCGACATAAGTAATCAGCTCTAGCGATTACGCTGCCTCCAGCACGCTGGTTTGGCACAAATATCTGAGGATCAAGGTGCTCGCGGCCCCATACATGCCATTGCATGATCTCTATATCTTCGCGCAGAGTATATGGTGGCTCATCATTCCAGCTCTTATGGCGCCATTTCTTTGACAAACGATTGTGAAGGCGCATATCGGCCAGATGGCCGGTAATACCGTTTAAGCCACGAGCTCTACCAGGGAAATTTGCAACAAGCCATGCCGTGGTTACGTCTTTCATGCAATTAACCACGAGCCACGCTTCTTCATTTTTAGACCATTTGGACCCGGCTGGTTTTTTTGGGTGTTAGCGGAGAGGGGGATTTCTAGGATTTAGGGGTGTCAGGGGCCTACATACCTCGAGTCCCTTGCGAACGTGAGTTGGACGAGGCCGCCTTTCACAGTCAGCCTCGATATTTAAGGGATTTAATGGCATATGCAAAGCTAGCTAACTTACCTGGTTGGGTTGACCTTGCGCAGCCATCAGAAGGAAAGCAAGCGTGCCGTATCTCACCAAGGTAAACAGATAAAGGTTGAAGCCTAGTATTCAAGAAATCGAACAGTGAACTCGACCAAAGGTAGTTATTGTGGTAGGCATGCAATAACTTTTGGGGAGAGATGCACTTTGAAGGCCTGTTATATATATACCTGGCAAAGGGTCAAACGGATACTCGTCCGTGGGAATATACCCTCCGTAGAGACATCAGGGCCCAAAACGATGGCAGATATCACCAGGTATACTATCCATCATCTAAGTCCTCCCATAAGTCCTTCAATTAAGCGCGGCTAAAGGACAAATTCATTCACCATGGTTGCTCATCCATCATATCCCTTCACTTTGCGTCAAAGGAACACGAAGCAAGGGACAACCAAATTGGCCCACTCAGTGCAAAAGCTCCGGGATTCCTCATAAGCAAGCTGCTATTACTGGAAGTTTCCGATATTCGTGCCCACCTGGTTTTCGAGATCCGCCCCTTTATTCTTGGAATCGGCCGGTGGCCTGGTCTTCCCCGAGCTCCCATTAAATCGCATTGGTCAGCTTAGTACTTGCATCGTACTATCACCCTTTGATATTGCTTGAATGTGCGTTCACATGGAAATCTACTACATCATGGCGGTCTCAAGGCCATCGGCGCATACACTGGATAAAGGGAAGTGAGTAAGCTATACCGGACCCATGGAAAAGTTCGCAATAAATTGCTTACCTTGGATGTGTAGCATGCTGATAAATATAGTCTAAAGAGTATAATTGTTCGTAAGATGCCTCAGAAAAGAAAGATAGGGGTATATATTAAGGAGGAAGCCTGATCAAGTAGACTGCGGGCTGCTCTAGTATTTTGGAGAGTATCCGTAGGCAAAGATAGGCCTCATCTAATTATTGATATATATATATAGATCAGTAGAAAAGAAGGGTATAAATAAGGAAAGCTATAGCTAATTCAAAGTGGACGAGCTAGGCGTCTACACAAGTATATATAGCCTTTGGTAGTTGGGGGTATTGCTGTGAGAATGAAGCTGAGGTTGAAACTGGAAGTTTTGATGACAAACTTAAAGTTTGGCTAACACATCACGTGATATATATTTGGCTCTGAGCGAGAAAATGCTTGAAGTAGACAAACGATGGATACAACAACGGGGGCGCGATTTAATTATTACCAAGGAGACAACCAAGAAGAGACATGAATAATGCACCTGGGTTTCCATTATGATTGTCTAGCTAAAGAGAAACAAAAAGACAAAAAGCCATGACCAAAGAAAAACAAGACTCCGTTGTCGCTGATATTCGCCGCCTCTAGGTACCGAGAAAAAGGAAACCATTAATCTAGTGTTAGAGAGAGGACAGAGACAAAGGAAGGGGAAGATGAAATGAAACTAGGGTATACAAGGTATGATAATGGAAAGAGAAAAAAGGATCATGATTTTTAAGGAGTCAAAGCCGATGGAAAAGGGACAAAACCAGGGTTTCTTTTGTTAGGATACCATCTTGGAAAGAAAAGAGAAGAGGAATGCCACTCTTTTGGCTGTGCATGCTTCTGACATGATCTACAAAGCAAAGGGGGCCAAGGCAGCCAAGATGGCGCCGAGGGAGAAGCCGACCAGACGCTCTGCTCCGTTAGACAGGACGGGCGGAGAGGGCGAGGCGGTGGGAGTGTACGTGGCAGAAACAGTTGTTGGAATAGTGCTGCCGCCAATGCCGGTGCTGCCAGCGGTTCCCGTACCAGTTGGACGACGAGTGGGGATGACGCCTGTGCCGGTTGTTGGGGTGGTGGCAGTGGTGGCAGGCATGGAACCACTGGAATGGCCTGGCTCTTCGACCTCAACAAGCTTGAAGTTACCGCAGTTGATACGTCTGCCGTCCTTGTCGTGTATGACAATGGAACGGTTTCCAAAGAAGGTACCAACACCATTCTTGGTGGAGGAGTAGAGATCGTGATATGTTGTCGTGAAGTCCCCGCTGGCGCTGATCCTGCCATATTTGCCGCTGAGGTCTCCTGGCTCGCAGGTTTCAGGGTTGCTGCTATCACATGGTGGTCGCTGGCCACGACCAAAGGGGTCGACGTGGTCTAGGGTCCTGCTGCAGTTGCCATCTTCTGGGACGGGATCAACATGAAGGTGATAGGCTGGTTGGTTGTTGTTAGCTATGTGTTTTATTTACATCTATAATGTTTTTGTTGAGATAGACGACTAACCATAGGGACCTTCGTCCTCGGTAAGGCCGCTGAAGTGGACTTTGAAGTCGACTCCTCTGCCGTCACTATGGGCAGTGCCAGAGACGCTTCCTCTAACCTTGGTGGTGTCTTTGTTAAGCAGGAGGGCCTTATAGACGACGCCAACGGGGTTGTCAACTGTCTCAGGCGCGTCGGTGGTTGCGGCGGCCAAACCGAAGCTCAAGGCAGAGCAGGCAAGGAAGAGAGAGGCCTTCATGTTTGATGTTGCTTGTGGTGGTGATGGATATGTGTATGTGAGCCTGTGATATTGATGGATATTATGTTTATGTGTGCAAGAGGAGGAAGAAGAAGAGGAAGAAGTAGAGAAGTGAGAAGCGACTTCTTTAAAACAAAAACAAAGTGAAGGTCTTGCCCGTGTAACTTTCCAGTTTGTTACCAACTGAGGATGAAGAGAGAGACATTCATCAAACGGACTGCTGTCTCATTCACTTCTTATATACCCCATGAAACAGCGAAGCCTGGCCACCCAGATGGGAAATGTTTCCAAATCAGGGGTGAAGCGCCCAAGGCCCGGCGCTTATACGATGGGCCTTCCATCCCCATCCCCCCGTCTGTCCGAAGAATCCGTATGTAGATGCAGACACTCGCCACTGACTGGCTGTTAACTAAATGCGGATGCTAATGACAGGGCAGCTTGCAGGCTTGCCGTTGGACCGTCATACCCTTGCGAAGTTACAATGCCGCCCAGAGGATCATGGGGGGGGCAGCGCTTAGCAGGCAGGATGCAGCGTTTCTGATAGGCTGGCTCCGTGTCTAATCACTACGCTATTTTTAAACATCCCTGTCACTTCATGCACAGGCAAAACTTTGTGGATTTACAGTTAACCAAGTGTGTGGATAAGAGTAAGAGTTGGAATCCGGATGGAGTCTTTCGCTTTGTTGGTTCCTTGTGCCTATGGAAGAACCCTACCTTGTAGCGGTGTATACTCATATCAGCAGCTCCTGGCTCGGATTCCATGCCCTATGCATGTGGCTTACATGGATCACTACGCAGCATGTTCATTTATCGCGTCTTCTCTCTTCTGGCTTACCTAAACACGAAAAGGTAGGCGCTTATGTAAGACATGTATATCACGTGTAATATAAGTGCCGCCTATCCCGATTGAGTATAGTCTTTCTTGTACCAGGTTTAGTGTGATTTTAGAGTCTTCGATGTGCCAGCTTCACTTTCGCATCCAAGAACATGCCAACCTGGTCGTCCATTATTTCCTTTTCGTCAATGGCAAAACGAGTGAAAAATCTCTGGTCTGGACCACCACGATCTCAAGCTAACGCCACATCGAAATCGCCATGGACAAGAAAAGAAGCACTTCTGAGTGAAGATAACCGATTCCTCCCCCACATCTGACAGGTCGGACACTCGGCAGCTACTGCGATCGCCACCATGCCTTGCATCTCGAGATGTCCTCTTTATACATAATACAAACTTCTTTACAATGGATATCCTGCATATACAGGAGAGAGCTGTATGGAATAAAATAGCTTTGTGGCCTAGCAGCAAACTACTTTTGTAAACTCTACCTCTAAGGTACCTTAGGGGAAGCTGGTCAATCTCTTAATTGACTACTTTACTGCTTGGCCCTTGGCCCAAGTTAATTATTCACTAGTGTCTAGTGATGGAAAAGGCCAAGAACGAGAAACCAGTGATTTTGGCCTAACTCACTTCGAATTTAAGACCTCTTCTTGGCCACTCTTTATTTCGAGCTTTGGATTCCTCAGACACTACTCGGCGCCAAGAAGACCCGATAACTAATAACTAATTCATATAGGCCCATAAGATGTATATTCCACACCTCTCCGCCACGCGGAGGGGCCGCAGCAGGCACGGATCCTCGGGAGGTGATTCATGCACCTTAACTGGATGCCGCGTAGATTCTGGCGGCCTCTTCCGCATGGGCGGGCCAAGGCTCCTCCCTATGGCCGGTGGAAACTAGAAACCTACGCGATATGTCAACCAGAGTTTGCCTCGAGCCTGATGGACTTGGCCCCTATACCGTGTGGCCTGAGAAAGTGATACCCTAGTATTACTATGGTGCGGCGATATCTGATTGCTTCATCTAACTCTTGAGTTATTATTAGCCCAATATCAGAATGGAACAAGCCATCTATAACAATGCCTGGGCAAGCTCAGCATATACACCCTTTATTATGCTACTGTTCGTTCTACAGAAGCCTGGAATATCAATAGAAGATTTCATTACAGGACGGCGTTCTATCGACAAAAATCTAATGAAAGACGCTCTGTAAAATACTCTACCAGCTGAGCTAGTTCATCTTTGGAAAAGTGGTACGGGTTTTATACCAACAGCCAGAGATAATATGCTATATATCTCCCTTTACCCTTCAAGAAGCTCTGACTAGGTACTAACTCTTAATATGATGATTTCAGCTAGCGCAGAGCTAGGTTTTCCCGGAAAAAGTGAAATGGTTGACTACAGTGCATTAGGCCACATACCTCTGGGGATATCTCTCAGATATACATCTACAGCTGGCTGAGAACTGGCGCAGAGTTCAACGGCGAACCCCGCCATCAGTCCTTGATACATGCTAGCCAAAACACTATTATTGGAAAGATATTACAGTGCATACCGTGATTATTAAGGTCAACTTGCAATCTTATACTCTAGCAACTTCCATAAGGGATCATATTGCACTATCTATCTATGATTTTATAGACCGTTATGGCTTAAAGGTTGAAATCTCAAGAGTGGCTAATCTGTGGGGACTCTTTTCTGTCACTGTTAGGCTCACTTCGCTTGGCTCGCCGTTGTAGGCGGCCAGAACTCGATAGGGTTCAGCATCGGACGCACTGACGGAGCTAGCTCGGGAGCATCAGGAGTCTACCTTAAGTTTCTGGATTCACAGGAGTGAGCAGGTGATTGGGATAACATGTTATCATGTCATCCGAACAGGCCCTGAAAGAGGGATTGATCCAGGTAAATACCCATTGTACGTCAAAATAAGAATGAACCATGGCCAACATACCTCCAGCAATATCAACAACTGTGTTGGAGAACATTAATACCCCATGCCAATCCCCTTCAAAAGATGATATGGCAAGCCTAGCTCCAGCTGTGTTGCACACATATCCTGGGACCCGGGGATATTTTTTTAAACGGTTCGACTGACTTTTGCTCAACTTGGAGACCCAGGGGCTTGGGTTTTGGATATGGCTGGTCGAGCGGTCGCCACGGTCATAGGGGGCGATTTATCTGATGGATCTACCCTATGATTGCCTATGACGGAGCTAATTAAGGATTCCTAATTGCCGAAATGCCACCCTTTTGTCTGTTTAACCTAATAGAGTAAAGCTCTTATAGTTTGGGATGTACACTCTGTTTTGTTCTATAACCCTAAGGATATAGCTATCTCATCCCTTAAAGAATAACCCTGAGCCTTAAATGTGCAGCGATATATAGGCAATAGAGTGTAAATATACACGGGGTAACTTGATGTTGCCTTGGGGTTACAGTGCAAAACAGAGTGTATATCCCAAAATCCAAGAGCTTTAGGCCGGCAAAAGGATATCATCTGAGCAGTTAGGCGTAATTAAGGATGTTGAAAGGATGACCAAGCTCCCAGTAGGCAGCTTCCAGGTTGATAGTTTGATACGGAGAAGCCAGTGACGAGACCATGATTTGGAGACTCTGCCAGCCTTGGTTGGCTAACTATACATAGCATCGAAAGGGAATTATGATAATCGGGGCTGGACGGGTTGGGGCGCAATATCTATTCTGCATGTCCTCGCCAATGGGAGCCGGCAGCTGGGGTATGTTTTAGGGCAGTTGGGCGGCGCTTAAGTGCGTATGCTTCTTCTTTTCCCTCATTCTTATTTTATGTCTTTCTGCCTATTAATAACTAAACCGGATGACTCTATTTCAGGCCTGAAGGCAATTCTTATTTTATTTTTAGAACCTCAAGCCGTTTTGACGGCTGATGCGGACGCACATACCCCGATCGATAGACCTTCCTTACCATGAGAGGAGTCTTTACATGCAGTTTATAAGTTCTTACATACACCATGGTACTTGATGGCGATGTCCTCCAACCAGGTCAATAGCCTGAGAGGGTGTAGAGTTGGATCATGTATGAGCGGTGGCTTGTCTAACAAGTGAATACAAGGCTATCCTTCCACTGCAAACCTGATATTAGTCCCATCAATCACAACCTTTTGATTCGACTGCTTTTCCATCGAAAAGACACATACATAGTATTTACACCCAGTCCTATGTACATACCCTGTGGATTGTGTGTTGTTGCTGTCATGGAGCTGATGAGTGACTCCATCTGCTTGTGCAGCTCCCCCATACTTAATATGCAGCTAAAACGATCAACAGCGAACTATTTGCTGGAGCCAGTTACACAAGTGACGAGCTCGTTCACCTAGTAACCAGTGACTATTCACTATTACAGAGTATCCTAGTACCATAGTTTTACTCTGTCTCCCTCTTTGGGGAACACTTCTCTGTCGACAACGACCACGAAACAGCCAGCAGCCTACACGTAGTGCCTGAACTCAACCATGAAGTCAACTTCTCTCCTCCTGGGTTCGCTGATGTTTGCGGTCCCCGCCCTCGCCTTTGAGCCGTCGACCATACAGAGCCTTCGTGTTGCCACGGCTGCGGCTGGGGTCGCTCACTCCAAGTTCCCACAGGCAGTCGAGGAAGGGCCCGAAGCAGCCATATCGAACATCAGCTCAGCGGCGGCCCAGGCAGCGGATGAATCTTCTTCGATCTCAAAAGGGCTGAATGTGCAGAGTCGGAATGTAAGCATGTCACCTTGTCTTGACATGTCCTGCGTATACAAGGGGTGGTGCTGATTTTGGTTCTAAGAACAAAGAGCAGTGCGGCCAGTTGGTTGGGGCCTTGAAGGGCGTAAGTTATCCACTCAGATAACTGTTTTCTCTCTCCTCTTCAGCTGCTGATGGCGTTTGGCAGTACTTCAAGGCCATAGTGACCCTCTCACATGATTCCACGAACCCGGCGGTATTCTGCAGCAAGAATATCGATCGTCTGGGTCCGACTATAGGATGGAATCTGCATCTTGTTAACCTTTGGATGGAGGTTAGCCTTGTCCCCCTTTCCCCCTTCCTGATGCCTTTGTCGTCGATAAAATGCTGATATGTGGCAGCCATATTCGACGACGATAAAGAGGGACTGTGAGGACGGAGAGAAGCTCGTTGCTGGTCTGGTGGGCGACTATGACACGGCCATCGACAGCATCGAGAAGGCTCGCAAGCTGCTGGAAAGCCCTGGAGGTAGGTGTAACAAGTGAAGACCGTCTACAGACTACCACCTGTCAGATATCAACAGCCACCACTCGAGGCTTATCTGCCTGTCGAGTTAATTAATACAATCCATTTATTATCTTCCTCTTCTTTTCTTCTTCTCCTTCTTCTCTTCCTTGGTCTTCTCTTCATCATCTTCAACTCCAACTTTTACTGTCACGTGAATATCCTGACTCAGCAGTCATGTGATATCTTACTTTCCTATCAGGGGCTAGTGGCGATAGTTGCTATGGAAATGATGACTAATATAAACACAGCTCTCTGATTGGCTAAAACATCACCAGGACCGGCGTCAGACCCACTTTTAGTAAACACGGGCCAGAAAAGGCAAAAGAAAAAACGACGATGAGATCATGTTTAGAGTGTTTGAACGTGAAGACGCGCAAGTCAAGTCAAGTCGACTTTTTCTCCCTCTCTCTCTCTGCTTCAACGGCTCAATTCATCTCTATCTTTGCTTCTCCCTTTCCATTCGGCCGTTGTTGTGTCTAATTGTCGCTTGTCGGGGGGCTAGACCTTGTCCTTGTCGTTTTTTATATTCCCTTGTCTTGCCACCGGCCCCCCTTTCAATCTCCAGATGGACAATTGAGTGCTGGTTCACTGTCACTTCTATCAATCGTCACACGCCGACATGGCACATAGATCAGTCTCCGACCCGTCGAGGGAGCCATCTGCTCCCCGACTAAACGTCGACACCGAAAAGTACTCCTACGACCATGATGAAGAATACGGCTCCCACTCAGAAATCTCCTACTCCACTTCTGCCTCAGACTCTTCATCCTCCAGACCTTTCCTCTCACAGACAAAATACAGAAGGAGGTCGAGAGTTCAGCTCTACAGAGTCCCCAATTCCATCATGAGATGGGTATGTTTGGGCGTGTTTGCCGGGCTGGTCCTTTTTGTCTTCACCCTGTTCAGAGTAACGCTGTCCCAGGCCATATTCAAGATTCCAGCTCCTCCGCCACCAAATATATTCAAACCACAGCCGCCTGAATGGGAGAATTTCCCGTTCTTGCAACGGTATTATGGAGGGATTAGGACTTTGATGCCAAAGAACGAAAGCGTTCCTGAATACCCCGGCGAGGATAGAGGGGAGGCTGCCTCTACAGCCGATGAGCAAGTTGATCCGGAAAGGGTGGTTAAAAGTTCACCGTTCAACCCTTATCCTGGTTACACGTCCAAGCCCTATGTTGAAAAGTATGGGAAGAAGGTAGATTGCTTTGTGGATGTCGATAGAAAAGTCTCTATTCCTCTGGTCCATCGGTACAGTGGAATTCCAAGAGGGTTTCCGGATAATGCCATGGGGTCCAATGAGATGCTTGGACTCGATACTGATGTATGTTATGATCGGTTCGGCAGACTCGGGCCCTACGGTCTGGGGTATGGAGTTAGATCGGGTGGTAGCGGCGCCGGACTAGAGGGTGATCGGTCTGGGGTAGACCAGATGTGGGAGCATGTTTCTCCGGTCGACTATCGAAAGGTCGACTGGGCCAAAGCCCAAAAACAGTGTCTCTATGACAACCGTCATCGGTTCCCTGCCCCTCCACCCTCGAAGACGGATAGGTTTCTAGGCATGACCGTCGGAGAGAAAGCTCCACGGGGCGCAGAGGCTACTGCTACAGATGGATCTAAAAACTCTAGCACCCCTACCACTACGAAACTTCCTCGAACTGCGTTTATCATACGAACCTGGTCAGACTTCCATTACGACACAGAGGCCATCTTGTACCTGCGCTCGCTCATCGCAGAACTATCACTCTTCTCTGGAGGAGAATATGATGTTCAATTCTTGATCCACGTCAAGGATGACAACCTGCAGATTTGGTCTGATGAAGACACCTACAATCGTGTTTTGCGAGAGTCATTGCCGGACGAGTTTCATGGCATGGGCACACTATGGTCCGAGAGACAGATGGGCCTCATATACGGTGGCCTTGAAGAGACGTTTATGAGAAATCTTCCCGTTCATGGGGTATACCGTAGCACATTTATGCCCGTTCAATATTTCGCTCATCAACATCCTGAATACGACTATTTCTGGAACTGGGAGATGGATGCTCGCTACACAGGCCACTGGTATGACCTGTTTAACAAGATGCGTCTGTGGGCGAGGGAACAGCCTAGAAAAGGTCTGTGGGAACGGAACAGTCGATTCTACGTTCCTTCTGTGCATGGGTCATGGGAAGACTTCCGCCATACAGTCAGAGTACAGACTGAACATGGAACAAATAGCCCGAATAACATGTTTAGTGCACCGTCGAAGGATAGACCAAATGGCCATCGACCGACGGAAAGACAAGGCGATAAACCTATCTGGGGCCCTGAACGACCGCCGTCACAAGAGGATGTGCTTGAACTAGAAGATGATGGCATCCCACCTACCACATATGAGAAAGATAAATTCGAGTGGGGCGTTGGCGAAGAAGCTGACTTAATTGTCCTCAACCCCCTGTACGATCCTGATGGCACGACATGGCTTCTCAAGGACGATATAACAGGATACAACAAGTCAGAAGACGCACCGCCCCGACGAGCAGCTATCATAGCCACTTCCCGTCTATCCCGCAAACTTCTGCTTACAATGCACAAGGAAACAAGTCTGAAACGACACCATATGTTTTCTGAAATGTGGCCACCAACTGTTGCCCTTCACCACGGCTACAAGGCCGTCTACGTGCCGCACTCTGTCTACATTGACCGTCAATGGCCGACGACATACCTTGAATCAGTGTTCAATGCAGGCCGCAACGGTGCAACAGGCGGCGCCAGAACATCCGTATTCGGTAACCGTGAACATAACTTCAGAGGAACCACATGGTATTACTCTGCTGGCCACCCAGAGAATGTCTGGCGACGATGGCTGGGCTACAAATCTAATAATGATGGAGGGGAAGAATACGAACTCGCGAATGAAGGGAGGATGTGTTTGCCTCCTATGCTCCTACATCCTATTAAGGAGGTGAATATGGTTATTGATAACGCTGGGAGATCATGATCCTCTCCCCTTGGGCATTTCACGTGTTTTACATATTTTTTTATCCCATCAGGAATGGGTATTGCACCTTCCTAACCCCTTCCATGGCGATGGCGTTCACACATGCCCTTCTGCTTCTTTTAAAAAAAGACACCGCCCTCTTCATATGGCATGATGCTATGCTGCTGTTTTTCTCTCTCTGTTTGATATGTGCTACTACCCTCTTATACATATGATGAACTTGCCTGCTGTTGCTTATTTACTTGCCTGGTTGGAGGAATTATAATATGGAGCATCAATTGGATTTTTTTGCCTGATATTATTACTTCAAAGGCAATGATGGGTTTTCATGTATTCATATTCTAATGGTAATGAGACTTAGTATTATGATTCTTTACTATCCCATTCTGCTATATTCGTACTATATATACATACTCATCCAGAGTGCCCAGTACATACGAACATAGGAAGTGGAAAACAGAGCTTCCCGTCCGCTCAGCTGTACTTAAGCCACTTGCCGGTCGGTTAGTAGTTGGGTGGGTGACCACCAGCGAATCCCGACTTTCGTATGTTTTTTCGTCTTTTTTTTGTCTTCATTGTTTGATTCTAATATTATCAGAACTGTTCAGTAAGTCGAACTCAGCGGCGGGTATTAGAGTTACCCCTGACTCGCAAAGGAGCAGGGGAATTCAAGACACAAGCTCTGGAATAATATAAAGCATTAATGTCTTTGATCCCTTTTAATATCTTCAATTATCAATGATTCAAGAGCTGCCACTCTCAATCATATCAGCACTATATTTACTGTGTGGCTCAAAAATCTGCTTTATAGATATTTACATATAACGGGCAACATCAGCTTTGATAATAGTCTTCGTGACTTTTAGCTGTCTCCCTTGCTCATCAAATACTTTCACCATCGCAGGCGATACAACCACTTTCCCGGCAGGTACATCATCCCAGATGAACTCATACCCACATGGCTGTTCAAAGAGCCAAATACCTAACTCTGCCGCATCCTCCATCACCTTAGTTAGATGGCGAATACGCTCTGACTCTGGGTGGTGAGGGCTAGCATAGGATCGGAACGCGGTGGTGAAGGTCTCGACTGCTCTAGAGATATCTTTGCCCCGTGCGGAGATGTAAGCTTGCTTTTGTGTCGTTGGTATTCCTCGATAGCCATGCGCGGTTAACATTCGCCAATGAAACTGGACTTGGCTTGCTACTTGATCTAAGAACAGCGTTAGTTCCGGTCATTACCTTTCCTATGGCCATTGCCCTTGTGTGTAATACGGATAGATATTACCTTGGTGTAACTGTATATCTCGGAAATATCTAGATACGGCGTATATAGGTGGAAGGAATGAGTTTCCTTCGGACCGGAATGGAGATGAAATAGCGTAGAAAATAAGCGGAATGATAGACTGGAGGAGGCAGTGCTTTATAATCGGTTCTCGATCGTTAGATTGTAATAGCAACGAAGCCACTGGCGCCGGGAGGAAGGTAGAATTGTAGCTGTTGATCATGGCTACATCTTGAGTTGATTCGGAAGAATCGAGATTCAGAGGCGAGCTGCAAGAATAATAATTTTCCACATGGAGAGCCAGATGGTCAAAGACGGTCAAGACACGGCTTTGGACTGTCTTATCATCAGCCGGAGTGGGAATGTAGTCTCCCAGGCTTCCTCGCTCCGCATGTAAAGCATGTGGTAGGATTATGGTCGGATTATCAGGTATACCCGAGTATGGACGCGTGCCACTTAGGTGGCCCCGGGAACTAGGAGTTTCCGAATCGTAATTCTTATCTCTCAGTGCCTCCCTTGTATGACTGTCTTCCTGAGAGTTTCCTTTCTTCGATCGTCGTCGGCCAAAAAAGAAGTAAGCAGCCAGAAGAGCCAGAAAGGCACTGCCGATCACAGAGGCGACAATTGCACCAGCCAGTATCCCACTGCTGTAGCCACTACTAGAGATATTGCCGGAGTTATGAAGCTGGTTAGGTTGGGTGCTTGTTGTAGGCTCGCTGTAGGCCGTGGAGGAGGTCTTTCTCGTCGTTGCTTTGGGGGACTTGGTTATCAATGGAGGTGAGATCGTGGATACAACGCCAGGCTGTCCAGCTCCAGCGTCCCATGAGGTGATAGGAGAAGGTTTTGGTTGTATAACCCACGAACTCATAGTCGGAGAAGCCTGGTTACCATCAGCTGGCCCTGGGGCAGCTGGAACAGCAGTTGTAACTGGAGTCACTGCGACGGGTGCCGCCGGGTCCAGAGTAGCTTGAGGCATACCTGAAGGTATTTCAGGCGCCTGTCGTTTTGCAACCATCTTAGAGGTATGTGCAATAGTAGGGTATGAAGCGCTGAGTCCGGTAAACTGGAATAATAACTATCCAAGAGCCGATAGGAGAGATGAGGATCCAAAGGCCTTTTTCTCAACCAGACATCGAGGCTGAGCAATGGACGACTCGCTCCTGAACATGCCATAGCCCGTAGGGAATACTGCTAACTACATGGATCATCATGTAGTTACCATGTGTAGTGCCAACATTTGTGTTGGTGTTGGTTGCTAACTGGCCAGAGCAACAAGGATTCGCAGGCATAAGCCATGCATGACTAACTAGGCTGCGGGAGGACTGCTTGAGGGCGCCTAGAAGAAGAAGAAGAGTCTTTTCATGGATTGACCGGAAGAGCAAGAAGATACCATATGGCCACCTTGATATTGTTGAATCTCTATTGGGATGTCGAAGCGAAAAACATCTTGACCCAAGTGATGCTCGAGACACCAGCTAACTAGGCCAACCCCTTGAAGCGGACTGGTAGAGTCGACGACAAGGATACTTTAGTTGAAGCAGACTAGCAGAGGCTCCTTAGGAATAATAAGATCGTCGCAGGATTCGTTGGAGAATGGTGAATTCTTGACAGCTTTGTTAATATTTACCTAAATATTAGCAACGCGACATAGTACTCTTACCAAAGGAACATACGTGATATTTATTACGGAGGAGGATTCATTAAACATCTATCGTATCTTTTCGGGGCATAGACAGTCATTAATAGGTTATGCGGTCCAACTCAACCATACCGCACACAGAAGGTCATTAGCACACCCGAATCTGGAGCAGTCAGAGGCCTTATTGTGGCACTTGGTGGCATTTAATACCTGGTGGAATGTATTATGTAGCCCAGAAATATTCACCCCAACTCGATGTATGATTCTACCAGCTTGATGTTTCAATGCTCACTCCACAATGCTCTTCATCTTGACCGCAATGCTTTTCATCCTCAGATCAATGATAGACCCCTTTTGTGGTTTATATATCTGCACAAGGTCTACTGTACAAAATTCCGTGGTAGCTTCAAAAGCTTGGCTTTCCGTCAACATGCTGAACCCTTGGTGGAGTGCACGCTCACATCGACGAAGAGCTATGACCGATTTGTCCTTGTAAGACACAACAGCATTGTTTTCGGAGTCGGCAATATCGTCTTGATAAGCCTTTTTAATGAACTCTTGTAACCGATCAATCACACCTTTCAGCCCTTGGCCTTCTGTGGTTCGAACTGGAAGCTTGCCGAGTGGAACGCGGGATTTGAAGGAAACACAGTGTGGAAGTGTTGGAGGAGATGAATATGAGATGTCAGTGTAATGTCCGCCAGGGTAAAGATGGACGTAGGTTAGCTCTTTATCTGGCGAGAGTATTAGCAGCATGTAAGACTCATACTGAGGTTTCCAGAGGCCTTTGATCATGGTATTTATTGCTGAGAAGATTAGTGTGCTTGTTCTGGTTGTTGAAGGTAGTATCATGCGTTGATACTACGAGGAAATGTAGCAGGTTATATATTCATCAGTGTGATGCGCTGCTTCACAAGGCAGCTATATATCCCTATTTCAAACGTCAGCGAATATTTTCACATTTTGCGTGTAACCCCCTCGCTAGATAATATAGTATTCATAATTTAGTTAGATCGAGGTCAACATTGACGGTATAAACGTTTTTCGAGTAACAAGGTCAACCTGTGTTATCCAGTTAAACAACTGAACTTCCCAAATCGCGTTCCAGCGTACCTCTTGCTTAGCTAAGCTGATTCGTGGATGTAAACTTCACATTATAATAAGGGACATCAATATGAATGAACTTGATGTGAACAAACGCCGTTTGATAAAGTACATTTGAACGATGCCACCATCCAAGTTCCCGTGTTTGCAAAGAGTATTTCGGATTTCACGAGCTTTCTTGTCCACTAAATCATCGGCCCGTACGTCTGTTACTCATCAAAATGTTGATCCAGATGCATCAATGGATATATCTCACGCCGGCAAGGGTTTTAATTTCAATTCCTCATATATATACGTCCACGTTCTCAGCTGACCTTCGTTCGACGCAGATTGGAATACCCGCGAAGAATTCTTTTCATTTACACGAGGTCGTTTCGTCCTGGACGAGGTAGACCAGATTGCACGCCGCCATATAAGGTTCAATATGAATGCGCTCGCTCGAATTGCAGCTGAGTCAGTTGGGGCAAAAACTTGCATTAATATTGAAAAGTGCCCTGATGGCATGTATAATAAGAGCTTCGTTCTGACTATGGATAACGGGCAAGAAGTAATTGCAAAGGTGCCCAACCCAAATGCTGGCAGCGCTCACCTTACTACAGCGAGCGAAGTAGCTACGATGGATTTTGTAGGTATTTGAACTGCTAATCACATTGTTACTTTCTAAACTAATATCTAACAAGGTACGCAACATACTTGCAACACCCGTCCCTAAGGTATATTGTTGGGATTCATGCCCAACCAATTCCGTGGGAGCTGAATATATCATTATGGAAAAAATACCTGGGGCCCAGCTTAGGCAAGTTTGGGACGGTATGAAACTCGTTGATAAAATGAACCTCCGGCTTGATATTGCCCGATACCAGTCTAATTGGCTCTCTATAACATTCTCGGGTTTTGGCGGACTTTACTATACTCAAGACCTGCCAAATCCACGACGAGAGGAGCATCTTTATACTGATAAAGATGGCAATAAAGTCTGGGATAATCGCTTCGCAATTGGCCCTGTTACAGGCCGAGAATGGTTTGATTGTGGAAGGGCGAGTTTAGACTGTGACCGTGGGCCGTGTAAGTTAACCATCCCTAACTACGAGATGCAGCGCTAATTGTCTTATAGGGAACTCTGTATATGACTACTACAGGGCAATCGGACTTCGAGAAAAACTGGCAATTTCAACGCTAACAATACCAAAACAGACGGTGATGGTGTGCGGCCCCGGCTTCTATCAACCTAGTCGAGGAAAAAAATTATCTGCAGTCGAATGGTACCTACAAATTCTTAACGCACTTCTTCCGACAAATGAGGGTATAACGACGCCATGCCTCTGGCACAATGATCTCCATGATGAGAATATCTTTGTTGATCCAAACAATCACTCCAAAGTGGCTGGAATTATTGACTGGCAGTCTATTAATCTCCTGCCGCTAATTGATCATAACCCTGATCCAGCCTTCATTGAATATAACGTCCCGGAGCTAGAGTCTCTGGATCGCCCCGAGCTTGAAGATACCGAGGGTCTTTCAGAAAAAGAAAGATTAGAGGCAATTAATCAATATTATGAAAAAGCCCTCTTCGTCGCCTCAAGGAAAATCACATTAAAGAAAGCTCCTAGGGTTTATAGCGCTATTGAATACCAGGAAACGGACAGTTGTGATATACTTATACTGGCGCGTCGACTTCTAGAATTTGGTGAAGCTCATTTTCACAGCCTTGCTATTGGCCTGCGCGACATATGGCCTAATCTACCAGCAAATGAAACCCCAAACCCACCTCAACCCTTTCCCTTTGTCCTCACTAATGAGCTATTAGAGGAGATCGAAAATGATGGTAAAAAGGCAATACATGGAATACAGCTTATGAATGAATTCAAAGCCCGACTTGGACCACTCTGGCCGGATAAAGACGCAGTTGAGCATGGGCAATATGAAACGGTCAAGATTGCTCTTCGGGAGTTAAAGGAAGAAGTAATGAAGGAGTTTGGCAAGACCGAAGAAGACAAAGCCGATCTGGCCCGCCAGTGGCCGTTTGACAGCTAGGTTACTCACGTTAAGAACAGTCTTATCATAGAGTCCCTTCACAGCGGAAGGTCGCTGCTGAGCACATTGCAACATTTGACCAATATTTGAACCCGAATTTATAGCGCCAGCCGCATGTCCAGCCTGTGCCATGGATATACACACTATCGGCCGTTGTCACGGCGCAATTTCCGGGCTCCCTTTTGTTTGCTCGGAAAGTTAAAGATTGCTTGAGTGGAGTTGGCTGTCGGTTTATAGAGATTAGGTATGTAAAAGCGCAAAGCATATATGATATTTACTACTAACCTTGGCGATGTTGACTTAATGCTGTAAGATATTTAGCTAAATATTGCTCACTTTTTATCATCCAACTGAGCAATATATATGCTCGACTTGCTAACCTCACAGCTGATTTTCAATATCGTCAAAAGCTTTTTCAATAGCAGTTTTAGATTCCTCCACCGTCACTGGGTTCTCCTTGACCTTGCACGTCACTTGTGGGAGTCCCTCCGCGCTTCATCTCTGAGAATGCCGTTTCGAGTATTTTTATTGGGCAGAAACCTGTAACTCTTGTATTGGCCTTAGTGATAAGGCCTTCGTTATTAAGCCAGCTCCAGATACTGGCATAGTTGATTCTTGGTTGCTGAGGTGCGAATCTGTTTCCCTGGCGTGCCTTGGCGTTTTACAAAGCCAACAGCGCGACTCTTAGGTCATTAATATGCAATTCTGAAGGGAACAAGCAGACGATGTGATAGCAGACACCGTTTTAGCACGCCTTTAGGTCTTAAGAGAATCGAATGGATAATCCTTTCCCAGTGGAGGGCCAATTGCTAATTATTGTTGTAAGGATGGACTGGTATAAGTTAGATTATTTCGTTCATTGCCGTATATGCTTGAATTCTAATTAAATTGATTGTGGGAGTGCCCTTGGAATCTTGTTCTGTAGCGAGATGGACGATGTAGTGTAGGGGCATGCCTTTAGCCTTAAGTGTTCCAACAACTGTTAGTTAACTAGTCAAATACCCCCTGCATGTTGAATTCTGCGTGCCGACATTCCGACCTTAGGAGAATATGGCGCTGCAAAGAGTGTATATTTGGACTGCTTAATACTAGTAGATCTAGTCTGACCTGTGACATATTTAGCAAACATTTAGTTACCTATAACACTTCCTTCTCAACGTCTAGTTACCTGGACCTTATCTTCTCTAGTTCGAAGTAACGGAGGCATCCTCCTTAGGGCAGCGGCTAGCCCTGGATCTAGGCTGAACTGGCCGCGCCTAAAGCATCCTCTGTGCCTTGTCTAGTTGAGAGTCCAGTTGTGAGTGGACAGACGGATAGCGAGAGATGTCCCAAGCAAGGCTTGACGGCTCGTTAAATGGTATGATTCCGACTCGAGCTTGTCCTTTTGATTCAGCGTTGCTGATACACGAGATAGAATTCCGTATATTATACCCTTGAGCTGTTAAAAGCGAGACTTGCAGGCTGGAGGCAACTCCTAACTGGTTTTCTGCATCTTGGGCCTTAGCTGGCTAGTGCACTGTCCGGCTAAAGATGATCAATGACAGCAAGCCAGCAATGCGAAGTCGATGAGCTGTTCGGCTTTTCCTGCGTCTGATATTTTGTGTTATTTCTTCTTCGGCGATTGGACCTTCGACTTCCCTTTTGGGTACCGCCCTCGTGATGGCAGAATCATATTTAATTCAACGTCTTTTCTTTATTTTTCACCGTTTGATTCTTCATGCTCGTTATTTATATCAGTCTCGTTATCTTGAATCCCTTGGGAGGAGTTGCAGGTAGCTCCCAGTTTCGGCTCCTAAGATTACTATAAGGTTGATCTACTGAGTGTACGGTGGACAGACTATCAAGCCTCTCTGTCGGTGCTACCAGGTGAGCAATGTCTACTAAGCTAGCTTACTCGACTCAACCGGCTTATATTAATCCCTACAGATGCAGTGGAGCTTTACCTTCCATCCCATCGACTTTAAAATCAAAGTAGACATGGTCAATGCACCAGTGACTGGCAATACATATGCTCCCTTATACAGCATGATGTTTTGGCTTGCATCGTCTCTCCTCATAGCACTCTTTATCCGCAGAGTCAGGGCCGGATACCTTGAATTCCTCTCTCTAGGGCCTGGAGGAACACCGTCAACTCCCATGGGATACCTTCGAATATGCATTTTAAGCATCTTTACCCTGAGGGACCCCATGAAACCACCACATCTACCAGAGACATTGAATCCCCAGGCCGGAATCCTTAAATATCTTCCTACTCGTGCTGGACCACGGCCACGAGTCGCTGGAATCATTCCTCACAGACAAGTGACCCAGCGAGCAACGCCGGCCATGTATACCGCTCTCAAAGCGGAAATTAAGAAGTTGGCTCTCAGCAACTCGGACCGGTTGTATGAGGGGACATCATGCTTTGAAAAGCATAGCATTGGCCTCTTCACTCCTCTAGACTTGACTAGTAGAGTTACATGCAATGGGGAAATATGCCATGCTCACCCCATCGACGGGAGTATCCATATGACTCTCCATCCAGCGGATGTCAAACTTGTGATTGAACGAGGATGGGGTGAACGCCATCCGCTTGCCCGAGATAGCTGGTGGTGGATATTTAGACTTGTTCCGACGGGATTTATCATGATATATGCTCCTCGGTCGACAGAGGAGCTAAACAGTGTGGTTCAGATTATCCATGCAGCTTCCTGGTGGGTCAATGGGATAGAACCTCGCTGGTCAACTCCTGGCAAAGGTTCTCGGTGTGGAGTTGAGGGAGGGACTAGCATCATCAAATCCCAAGTTAATTAGTGCTTAGCTAGTGGTTCTTGATCTTTCTTTCAGGACTTTATGATATATCCTACGTGGTCACAGCGGCCGGAGTGAAGTTTATACAATTTAAGATGGTTCAGTGAATGGTGTGTTGACGATGGGGGTGTGACCCCTATATCTTTACCCTAAGTATATACTATATCTTTACCCCAATTGCTAAACGCACCTAAAAGCAGTATGATAAATTGGATTATTTTTAAGCTACTTCAAACTATGGGCTCAAGTGCCAATAGCTATCCTAGTACTTATTTTTGAGGTGACCTCACTCTATCCTGGGAAAAAAAGAACAAGATGACTCCAGATGACTTATTATAGCCAAAGGTCAAGGAAGAGTTAGCCAATGGAAGTAAAACCCAGTGGTACAGAAATATCATGAAAAGAAGATCCATGCATCCCCATCTCTCGGATGTCTGATATTGGGTGTGACAGCATGATATGACATCGAGAGGCCATGAGGCCAAGCCCGGATTCGCTATGGGTTTGAACGGTCGGTCTACAGAGTCAAGCCAGTCATTGGGTACTTTGTTAGCTTTCACTTCCGGATTGTATGTAGATATGAGTTAAGTGAGAAAGTAGACTGCCTCACCTTTGAACGCTTGATGTTGCCGTTCGCAGAGCTGGGTGTGGCAGGTCTCTTGGGGACGCGATGATGAAGGTGGAAAAACTTATGGTTGACGGGTTTGTTGATGCGACGGGTACTATCGTAACTGGTGCCAGATACGGAATCAGAATCTTCTCTATCTGGATCAGAGAGTGTAGCATCTGAGTCTCCCTCTGGCTGAGTAGATGGTAACTCAGTTTGGTCGTCTCCCTCAATGCTAGGATAGATTATCGCATCTTTACCTTCATCGTCATCCTCACTCTCAGGCTCGGGATCCATGTTATCGTTGTTGGCAGGGGAGGATAAGGAGTAGACCGAGTCTGAGTCGCAGGGGCCTAGCATATCAGTAGGGCTGGGGGGAGGTGAGAGGGAGATGGGTGAGTGAGGTCCAAATTCCACGTTATCGGCGCCTGGGGAAGGAGAGAAAGTGACGGAGTGAACGGAGTCGAGGCCGCCTTCTTTCTTGTTCTCTTTGTCTGGGGAAGATGTAGAGGCAGAGGTATTCTGGCCGAGTTTCATGGAACCACGGTATCCTTCATTCGAGGCGCCCTTCCGAGTCTCCTTGACTTGCGTTGGAGGAGAAGCAGAGGACACGGTAGAATCAGTCCCATAGACTCTTTCATTTTTCTTGGGGTAAATAGGAACCCAGCCTGGGAATCCAATAGCCATGCGAAGAACTGATTCGGAGATACTGTACATGTTATACTTCTCAGACGCGGTGGTAGATTCCGAAGCAACGCTTTCACAGTCTTCGTCCTTCTTGGATCCTCCAGGTTTGCCATCCTCATCGGTACCGGTAACGGAGTCGTCATCGTCAAAGTAATTGCCGTATAGATCGGTGAAGTCCTGGTAGGCATCTCGATATCGCTGGGGGGTATGACCTGGAGACCCAATATCTTCCTCCGTTAGATTGATACACGAGTATTTCTCGATGCGGGTATCTTCACGATGCTGCTGAAGCCGGGCTACCTCTTCAAGCTTTTTGGTCAAACCATCAAAGCGAGCAGCGAGTTTCCTTCTCTCATCTCGCTGCTCGCTTTTGGTTTTGGGTCTGCATTCCCCTGAAACGCAGCTCATCTTGTCAAGTCGAGGGCAGACAAGGGGGGAATATCAAAGACAGACCAGATCTAGGTAGATAGATATGATTGGAGAAATAGAAGAAATAGAGACAGAGAGGGAGATAGAGGAATGATTTCTCATTCCTCTACTCAGGGGAAACTGTCTGTTGCTATGACAGGACCTGGTAAACAACAGACAAAGCTTTCAGTAGAAGAGTTTATAGCAGAAGCTATTGCTTGGGGCACAAGAAAACAGTCTTTTATAGACATGGTCAGAGAGTGCGTCGCCGACATGAAGGACATCAGACTGTCCATGGGACAGGACAGAGTGAAGGAGGACTACCATAAGTGGTTGACATGGGTATAAAAAGGGTGTAGAGAAGAAAAGAGAGAGATAAGATAGACCACAGCATATTTGATATTTCTTTACATTTGGGCCAAGGCGTCTATAGAATGCAAGGGCAGGGTGGTAAGGGGATATATAGGTTTTTTTTTCTCTTGGATAGGGGAAGAAGGCAAAGAGAGAGGCATATGTATATAAATTCAACAGGGGGAAAAGGGAGGGAAATAGGATATAAGTAGGCATATTGCAAACCAACCCAGAGAAGTGCAATGATAGATATAGCAGATGCAGAAAGACCGTTTTTGTTAAACCATGGGAAATGCCCGTTTGTAGAAAAGAGGTAAAAGATGTAAAGATGTTGACTCCTGCATGACTATAAAGCACTGGACTGGATAGGAAGGGCGTTGCAGTTTCATAAAGAAAATAAGTTAGTAGGAAAAAAGGGGAAGAAGGCAATATTGATATGCAGAGGGAAAGAACAAAGTCCTTGCACCTAGACACCTTTTTTTTTCATTTGGCCAGGATGTTGCAGTTATCAAAAAATGTGTGGAGTGGCAAGAGGGAATAAGTATATCGGAGAAGAGAGAAAAGAGCATCAGGCAGACAGCTGATGATAGCATGGAAGAGAGCCAAGGACAAAAAAAATGTTTGGTAAAAAGAGTTTGTTTTCACACAGGGCAAAGGAAAATAGCAACAAGACCTATGATAAAAAAACATGTCCCGTGTCCCAAGCCTCCCTATGTTCTGCGCCATCATGATACAGTGATAATGTCTGCAGATATGAGGATTCACATTAACCATTATAATAGAGAGGCATTTACTCGTAACCAGCCTTCTTCAGGGCACCGGCAAGCCATTCAAGACCCTCGTAGAGACCATCTCCAGTGGTGGCGCAAGTGGATTGGATGTACTACCTATGGTTAGTGGAAAGTCCGATCGAAAAAAAAGCAAGGTTAAAGGCAAGTTCTTACCCAGGCACGTCGTGTCAAGGTCTGTAGACCAAGCTGTTGGGTGATCTCGGCCGGGCTCATGGCGTTCTACAGTAGTCGTAAGCAGCTGTTAACGTAGTACAAAGGGGAAGAAGAGGCGTGCTTACGGGCAGATCCTGTTTGTTAGCGAAGACGAGGAGTAGAGCATCCCGTAGCTCGTCTTCGTTGAGCATCTTCTGCAACTCTTCCCTGGCCTCGACGACACGGTCACGATCGTTGCTGTCGACGACGAAGATGATACCCTGGGTGTTCTGGAAGTAGTGTCTCCACAGTGGTCGGATCTTGTCCTGACCACCGACATCCCACACAGTAAATTGAATGTTCTTGTATTCGACAGTTTCAACGTTGAATCCTGATCACTCCGTCAGCTTCTGTTCTTGTTCTACTTCCGTGGTTCATCTCTGTCGAATCGTGAGGGTGGGAGACCTACCGATGGTGGGGATGGTTGTGACAATCTCGCCAAGTTTCAGTTTGTACAGGATGGTGGTCTTTCCGGCAGCATCGAGACCGACCATGAGAATTCGCATCTCTTTCTTGCCAAACCATAACTTATCGAGGAGTTTCGAAAATGACATACCCATCTTGGCGGTGTTGCAGTGGGGTTAGGGGGAGAGAAGGGGAAAAAAGGGTGCCTGCGAATGCGTTAGCCAGCGAAACGCGTTAGCATGGAGGTATCGGTGTAGGCGGTCTTGATCCGTCTAGCCGAAGGGCATATATAAGGTAAAAGACTAGGAGACGAGAGCAAGCTTGGTAGTTGGGCTGTTGTACTATATAGTGAAGCGGTGGTGGGATGATGAAGACACCTTTCACAGGGGCCTTGCAGGAGGTTTGTTTTTTTTTTCCCTGAGACTTACGCTGCGGGGAAGTCCGGTCAAAGCTGAAGGCGGCGACAGGATCAAGGCTGGAGGTGCGCTGTCTGTCTATCTAACAACGCCGTGGTATCTGTCTTGTTTGGTGTTGATTGGGTTTGTTCTGGTGATGAGGAAGAATTTCGATAAAGTCGGAGGAGTTTTTGGTGGCAAGCGTCAAAAGGCTCAACTAGGAAAGGCGCCAAAAAGGAAAAAAAAAATTCCCCCAGAGACAACGTGACTTGCACTTTTGATATAACAGGAACAAACGGAAGATGGACGTTGTGTTATGAGGAAGAGAAGAGGTCACTAGTGGCTATATATCTTGTCTAGTAAAGGACACATAGACCTGTTTTAGGCAGCAGGATTCTGGTGGGTGGAGGCAAAAAAAAGGAACCGCTTATTGCTTCTTCTCACACCGTGAACACTAGTCTGTGTTGGTGTTGATGTAGGTGTTAATGCTATTCAACTATAGCAGATATACAGAGTAGACAAGGATTAACTGGCCTTTTCCTCTTATATATCGTGTCCCTGAATATCATAGACCATGAGATGATATGGCAGCTAACGTCTAGAATCTCTTGTCTATGGAGTTCTCCCTAAGATGGAATCATTAGAGGTTGGCTATTATACGGGCAGCATTCAAGTACAACAGTCTATCGAGTCAGATATCAGACTATTGATATACCGCTAAATCTGTTTCTCTTACGACGGTTCCACATTGTAACGGATGACTCCGTTGAGATCTTGAGATCCCATCCTCGCCTTATTGTGAGTCACCCTAGTGAATACGATGGTCTCTATGGAGTATTTAAAGATAGATACAATCCTGGGGAAGATGCTATCAGCCCCAACATGACATTTTGTTACCAGATATAACCTCCTCAAACATGGATAAAAGCCGGGTGGAAGTCGTTCAAGTTCCAAAGGGGCCAGTTACCCCATCAGACCTGACAGCACTATACAATCGATATCGAGATGCTCGGCTAAGAGCACTAAAGACATACCCAGAGGCATTCAGCTCCAATTATGAACGTGAGAGCGCCTTCACCGATGAGCAGTGGGCCCAACGACTTCGGAACCCAATGTCCACAACGTTTGTGGCTGTCTGTGTTGAACAAGATAATACCGCCGATGAAGATGTTGATAAGCTGAAAAATCATGAATGGATGGGCATGATTGTCCTCCTCGGGCCAAAGGTGCTTGATGTCGGTTCTACGAAGTGTCCCTGGGAGCCGTTCTTGTCTATGGATTGGATGCAGCCTGAAACAGAGGGGGCCTTCGAGGGCGCCGAAACCACCTACTTTGCCGTCTCGATGTTTGTCTTACCAGAAGCAACCAAGCGCGGTGTCGGAAAGCTGCTGGTCTCTGAGATGAAAGATCATACAAGGGAAGATGGCAAGGAGAAATCAGTAAGCAAGCTGCATCTTTCTCTCATTGTCGAGCGTGAAAATCCTACTGCCATTCGGCTGTATGAGAGATGCGGGTTCTGTCATGTTGACGCCGACTCGGACCTTGATTGTGTGGGGGACCACTTAACGGCGCCGTTAGGGATGACCTGGTCTCATAACTATGATCTTTGATTTTTATTATTTGTTTTTATTCCTTTCTCCTCGTTATTTTCTTCATTTTTAATGTTTCTTTTCTTCTTTCTGCGTTTAATAGATATGATTATGTAATATAATATATGCACGTGATATATACAACCCTAATTTGTATACCGCTAGCGCTTAGGGCATCCCACATTTTAGCTACGCAAAAAAAAGCGGCTTCAAGATCGAAAACTTTCTGACGACAAACGCGCAAATCCTCACCATAAGAATATTTTGAAGTATTCTTCTGGAAGACTGTATTCATCATGTCTAAAATCACAGTCGGTATGTTGATGCCCCTCCAATCGAATAAACCTGGTAGCGAAAAATATAAGAAGACCTGACTAACCGGCTTGATATTGAACAGCCGGAGTGCGTACCAACGTCCAGCAGCTCCTGGACTACTCTCACAACGAGAAGAAGAGAAACTTCGTTGAGACCGTCGAGCTCCAGATCGGCTTGAAGAACTATGACCCTCAACGTGACAAGCGTTTCTCCGGCACTATCAAGCTGCCAACCGTTCCTCGCCCAAGAATGAGCATCTGGTACGCTTCAACGAGACAACAATAGAACAAATGCATGAGAGGGTGAAGTGCTGACTAGAATTGGTTTTTTTTGATATAGCGTTCTCGGTGACCAGCATGATATCGACCGTGCTAAGCATCTCGGCGTCGATGCCATGTCCTCTGACGACTTGAAGAAGCTCAACAAGAACAAGAAGCTCATCAAGAAGCTCGCACGCAAGTACGATGCTTTCCTTGCCTCTGACTCCTTGGTCCGACAGATTCCTCGTCTCCTGGGTCCCGGTCTCTCCAAGGGTAAGTGTTAGCTTTCTCATATTTCTCACTACCTATTTCAAGGTACTAACTTAACTTCTAGCTGGTAAATTCCCTACCCCCGTCTCCCACAACGAGGATCTCGGCAACAAGATGAACGACGTCAAGTCCACCATCAAGTTCCAGCTTAAGAAGGAACTCTGCTTGGGTGTTGCTATAGGCAATGTTGGTATGAGTGAGGATGAGCTCATTGCTAACATCATGTTGGCCATCAACTACCTCGTCTCCCTGTTGAAGAAGGGCTGGCAGAACGTTGGAAGTCTTACCATCAAGGCTTCCATGTCTCCACCAAAGAGAGTGTACTAAGCTTTAGTAGTTTAGCTCTGATCTTAAAAAATGAACTCAACGTGACGAGAACATATTCCTTCATCGTATGTCGTAGTTTAAATGCGTAGAAATACAGTAGTTTATAGTATAAATACAGGATGTCGCTGGAAGTTCACGCTCTCCAAGTCTACTCCATACCCTCCATATGATCAGTCTTGTCCAAAATCATCCCCCTCATGCCGATGAATTCGCGCAGAGCCTCCCACTCTTCTCCAACCTCCTCGCCTCGCATCAACGGGTCTTTGAACCCCCATGTCTGCGCAATTCGGTCTAAAGCCTCTCGCTCCTCTTCCCGTAGCCAGCGGCTTCGTAACGCCGTTCCTGGAATCCAGACCACTCGTCGCATATGGTCGTTCGAAGTAGCAGCTGCGACTACCCCTACAGAGGAAGTAAAGGTGACATATGCAAGAATGGCAGAAAATGCAATCCCCCTGGCCGTCGATGGGTCCATGGTATTCTGAAGGGTTGAGATGTACGATGCTATCGCCCATGCTGCGGGGGGTGTAGCGAGCAGTCCCAGGAGGGGGAAAGATGCCTGTCGGATGATCTTCGAGCGGTAGAAGGCGGGTGTGCAGTATGCGCTGTCGATGATAGCCAAGGCCAAAGGGAGATTCCGCTGCTCCATGGCCACTTCGAGAGCATCATTGGCAACTGTAGGAGGAATTGCATTCTGTGGGCTCTTCGGATTGGCGGGACTATATGTTATTTTCCCGCCACTGGAGCGTGGAGAGGGCTTGTTAGCGTAAAGGGTGAATATGGTGGGTATATAGTCGGCCTTCTTGAGTTGGCATTGAATAGAAGTATAGAGCCTCAGTATCTCAGGTGATATAAAAACTTTCGGATCTTGTAATAAGTCGTTTAACATGTTTGATATTGCTGATGTGGCTATGGAAGGATCCTTCTTCTGTGCTCGAGCTGGTTTCTTTTGTGCCGCCGTCGCTTCTTCTTCATCAAGGTTGAGGAGGGAAGAGATGGCATCCTTCTTCGGTTTGGTATCCGGCTGGACTTCTGCTGTTTTAACCGATTGACCAGCTTCGATGATGGCCTGACTCTGCTTTAGGATGTTCACGACCGACTCCTCTGGTGGTATGGCTGTGCCTGATATTATCGAATTGCTCTCGGATATTATCTCTCGAACGGCGGAATCATCGTGGGTATCTGACTGAGCCGCAGCAACAGTCGACGAATATCTATATGTAAACTCATTCCGCCGTAGAGCATTTCTTCTGCTGCTATAAAAGATATCGCATGGATTCCTCCTGTCAACGCCCGCGCGCGAAAAGGGCGTAAACCTGCGTGGAGTTGAGGACGTGGAAAAGGCGCAGAGCTGGCAGAGAGAGCCTTGAGCTCGCCGTTGAGCTTGAAGGCCGATACGCTTCATAATAACTTATCTCCTGCCTTCACAATTGCTTCTTCTCGTCTTCTTCGTCTTTTCTTCTCTTCGTTCTTGAAGATGGGAAAGATATGCTTATGTAATATGAACTTGCACCGCCACGAAATCATCAACTTTGCGGATTCTCAACCACATCCACGCAAAACACCGTCGTCAGCCAGCAACGTTTTACCATGATCTCGAAGCCTGGATTGATATCTGCCTAGAGGAAAACTCGTTTCAACACGGATAGGCAGAAACCGGTACATCGGGATATTATAAAGGAGCTCAAGTTGGCGGAGGATTAATCCCTGGCCTTGCATCTTACAATCTTCCATATAGGACTGTCGCTATATGATTCAACCATCGCCTTGCCCGGCGTCATACCTCGCCTCTCCCTCCAGCTGAAATAGTTACAACTCTCACGTTCATACTGCAAAGATGCCTCCGCCGCCTCCTCCTCCACCTCCTCCGCCGCCGCCTATGCCTGGGAAGGCAGCTGGACCTCCCAAAGGCGGACCTCCCAGGGTAAGCGAGTTGATTCCCAGTCTACAAGTGACTTGATACCAAGATTTATGCTGATACTTTAACAGACTGCCCTCCTTTCGGATATCTCAAAAGGCACCAAGCTTAAGAAAACCGTTACGAATGACAGATCTGCACCTCTTATCGGGAAGGCGTCTGGAGGCTCGGGAGGCCCTCCAGTTGCTGGCGCCCCTCCGGTTCCTGGGATGGCACCTAAGCCCCCTGGTGGACTGGCTCCTCTAGCCCCGGGAGGTGCTGGGAATAGAATAAGAAGCAACAGTGCTGGGAATGAGCAGACTAGGGGAGACGACGGTATTCCATCGGCGCCACAGCTAGGCGGGTTATTTGCCGGTGGGATGCCTAAACTCAAGAAGCGCGGTGGTATAGATACTGGGGCAACTTCAAATGCATCATATCTATCAGATTCCGAATCACAAAACAGCTCAAGGATATCACCACCTACGGGATCTGCTCCCAAGCCTCCAATCCCATCCAATAAAGCACCTAGCTTCCGACCACCCCTTCCGCCATCTACGGAAGCTCCATCGACACCTCCTGTGAACCCACTAGTAGCAAATCTCAGAAAGCCACCACCCCGGCCAGCCTCCAGGCCGTCTTCTTCAATTTCTCTACAGTCAGGAAAGTCCACACCAGAAGTACCCCCGCCGCGCGCACCACCCCCCGTTCCAGGCGTTGGAAGGCTCCCACCACCACCACCTGGTCTTCCAGCCTTGAGAATGGTCTCCGCGCCTGCTGCACCTCCTCCGCCGCCGCCATCTACATCACCCGCTCCTCCGCCGCCTCTAGCTCCTCCACCTCCACCGTCTACAGCACCCAGGCCCCCTCCAGTAGCTCCAGCACCTGCTATCGCAAATGGAATCCAAGCATCGTCGATAGCTATGCAGGCTGCGCGCAATGCTTACGGATCCCCACAAGCACCACCCCCTCCACCACCGACTGCTCCCCCATCCCAGCCGCCTCCTCCGCCAACTTCGCCTCCTTCATCAGCACGAACTTCCTCCCTTGTATCAACTCCACTTTCTTCTCGCCCTTCCTCGTTTTCAGATAACCAACACAATGCACCACATCACCAACCTCCTGTACGATCCATGCTTGACCCCAGCTCTTATACCCTCACAAATGGCGGCTCGCAGCGTCCTGGGGCCCAAAAGGGTTCCTCATCCAACGGCAGAATAAGAATCGAGGACCCTCGGTTCAAATTCCAGAATGAATCGCAGTTCCCAAAACCTAGAGAGTTTATGGGTGGCCAGAAGATGTACAGGGCCGGAAGGGGTAGCAGTGTGCCTTTAGATTTAACGTCTCTCTCATGAAACGGGATTGTCTTATGGATTGTTCTCTTTGTTTTTACTTGTCCCATCGGCTTCATGTTTGACATTTTTGGGTTTAGGAGGAAGTTATAGCATATATACTGCATGGGATGCATGGACTGGCGGGACAGTGCGATTATTTTTCTCTTTTTACCCAGCCTTAGCCCCATCTAACTACTGTTGACCGGTATAGCCATGCGTTCATCTTTGCTTCTCATACTTCTACGTAGTAAATCGTTGGTTGTTGCTTGATGCTGACTCAGCACATAATATGTCGAAGCAAAACGCGAAGGTCTAAATTGCTCTAAACGTGAACAAAACATCTTCAAAGGCTCAATTTTTGATATTGACAGATTAAATTTACCCTATACTCTTTAGTTGACACATCTCTTATAACTGCGCAATCTTTCGAAGTCGAATAGCCGGGCTTTTACCAGTTTCTCTCTTATCACGCGCATCGAAACAGGGGCTCTCTGCCTCTGGATGGGAAGTGACAGCAGCGAGGAGCTATAACCATGTCCCTTCAATCTTACATTAATAGTGCGTCTCTTTCCCTTTTCAGCCCCTTGTCCGTAATTTCCCCGAAAATTAATCTTCAGGATATGTAGGCAATGGGCTAACGATGAATTGGTATAGAAAAAATCCTTGTCCTCACGGTGGACGGCCGCACACTAATAGGCACACTCCTGTCAACAGACCAGCTCACAAACCTCGTCTTATCACAAACAATCGAGAGAATAATTCGGACGCCAGATGACCCAGAGCCCAGCTCGGAGGTAGAACATGGCCTCTACTTGATACGAGGGGATAACGTGGTGATTTGCGGGGAGATAGACGAAGAGGTGGATGAGAAGATAGATTGGTCGAAGGTCAAGGGTGAGGTGGTCAGAAATACAAAGAACGCTTGACGGGGGGGTATATAAAAGAGAAGAGAGACAATTCCAGTGCCGGTGCCTACGGGTTGGAGGACAGGGGAAGAAAAGAGGAAACGCAGGGGCGAGATGGTTATTGATACCCCCCGTTTAGACTGGTCTTCTCGCAACCTATCTTGTTCGTTTGTCCGGTCGTTTATCCCTGCTGCATTGGGCGCGAGAAAGGGCTATTTGCTTATTCCATCTCTAAGGCTTATGGAGGTTATGCGCTGTTGATAATGATGCCGAAGACGGATACGGACGAACTCCCTTTGCACCTTGTCATTTTTGGGTCTCAAGAAATACCCTCGTCTGCCTGACTCTGAAATTTTGTCCGAGGACGTTTATTCGGTAGGTCGCATGGGAGCATTCTATAGTTATGGCATGATAACTTGGTTGGAACTGGTGGAATTATATTAATTATGCCGGAATCTGGGAGTATGCTGTGAAATATAAACGAGGTCCAGGCTGTTTAGTCAGTATTGTTAATGTTCACGCATTCTTGCATTCTCGATCCATATATTTCAGGGAGGTTAATTGGAGTAAAGCATGGCACCAACCCTATATAATATATCGGCTAAGGCGTTGATATGCGAAGTAAGCCTTTGTACATGCATATAGCTTCTCTTCATTAGTCGACAAAATCTAGTTTGAGTCTTTTAACCAACTGAAACCCGAGACCACCGACCTTTAACAGCCTACGGTATTCTCTCATTAGTATAAACAGTGTCTATCGTGGTAATGTATTGTTTGTGGTATACGACAAGATAAGAACCTTCGCTAGCAAGGTCCTGATGCGTATGGGCCAAAGAATTGGCATTGCTATGAAGTAACCTCAGCTCACATATCTAACTTTTCACTACGGTATATTATACTGGCTTAAGACCGGCTAGCAGAACCTGGAAGAGAGCCGTACTATGCAAGCCAGATGGACACTGCAGCTGTTTCTTTGATCCTATATATCTGCTTGTCCGACCCCCAAGAAACTAGGCGATGCAAAAGCAGGGCCGTCGTGTTTGGCGAGTCGGGCGAAAGCTTATAAAAGAAGCTTTTCCAGATCTTCTCTCGGGGTGCTCGGGATGGTCACCGCTAGACATGCAGACATGTAGACGACGCCGTCTCTTGCATGTGCATGATTACAACTCCTTGATAAGTCGAGTTGCTGGTAGTATATCCCTTTTGTATACGCTGCTTATCGCCGTTTCTTTATCGCACGTGTAGAGGAAGTACCTAGAAGTAGCTTCGTGTATAAACTCTTTTATGCATAATCCATATCGCCTTGAAGTATATTTTCGTGGCTGTTGCATGAATATCTGTCGGTAACGTAAATTATCCACGGTATTACTTACCAACCTGATGCCGCAATATTAGTATTCTTCATTCCGGAGTGCTATGTAGGTGAGGCCGATGTAGCTCTCACCTTCCGTGTCCATTCCATACATTTCTCATCCTAGCTTAACGGAACAAAGAAGAAATGCTGTTAAACTAGAAGATGTATCTTCCTCCTTTTCTTCTCATCATCTTCTCCGCATTTTTCAGAGATCAACCCATCATCAGCCGTACTTCCATGACCTGTATATAGTAAGTTTGACCCTCTTTCCGCTCTCCCGATGAGGAACAACGTGTAAAGGACTGGGCGAAAGACCAACTAGCTCCGGTCAAGCTGGTCTCTTGAACGAACTCTGCGCGTCTGAGGGGAGTCTTTAGCCTGCCCAAGGGTATTGTACCCCGCTGCTATACTAATAGCTATGGAGAGAAGCAGTAAGTTTTTTTTTTTTTTTGGAACTCTCTCTGGGGCTTTTGCTAACCAGGCTCCCATCTTTTATAGTTGAGATTGCGTCGTCCGCTGTGCAACTCTGTAGATACCGCGCGAGGGCCATATATCCAAAATGGCGCCGGCTGTCAGCCTCGTCACCAGCCAACGTCATCTCAGCTCGCACAACATACGCTAAGTGCGGGACTTACGTGGGCGGCGAGGGTGGAGAACGGATATATGCCTCAACAACAGACGGTCGGCCATTATCGAATAGAGGGCAGTAACAGATGAAGGGATCAAAAGGATATTTCCTTGAGCCTTTCATAGCCAATTCTCCGTAGAGTTCCATGTCACCGTGTGTCGAATCTTGCTTCTCCCATGCCAGTGGCACCCATACCGCCTTTCCACTTTCAACGTCAACGTTATATACGTCATGAAATATAAGTCCGTAACTGTACCTTTAGCGTCCATGTCCTGCAGCTGTTACTTGTCGATACTTTGAGTGACTTCGGATGGAGAAGCGCGCTTGGCGCACGTCAAACAGAAGTCTCACATGATTGGCCCGCCCTACGCTGCGCTAGACCGAAAGGGGATGCTGTGGGGATGTGGGGCCGCGACGCCACTTTTATGCCTTGGCGAGCTTGGCACCCCCGTGGCCCGGTTGGGCAGCCACAGAGAGGCCTGTGCACGGCACTTTTTCTTTTCGTTTTCGCTTCGTCTGGCCAAATCACATTTAATTCGCTGCCATTGACATCTTGTCTCTCTCCCTCTCCCCCCCGTCGCTCTTCTCCTTTTTTTTTTTCTGAAGGGAAGATGATACCCGCACAACAGTTTGCTGGCCAAAGACTGACCCTGTTTCACTGTTTTTTCCGCTGCTAACTCCTGCTAACCGCCTCAATTGCCCCGTCTTTCGAGCAGGTTTCACCACCATAGTAGCGCCTTACGTTTCAAGTTCATTCAGGAATAATCTCCCCAGGCGGCTCATATTAACAGTCATTATCCCCGATTCACCTTTCGCAATCCCTACCCAGTTCAAATGCGCAGATTTTCCAGCACATTTTTGCGTGCTTTGACTTGCCTCCTGGCGAAGCCGTGAGCTGAGAGGCGAGCAACCTTCCACGACAGGTGATGTGGCTGTTCAGAGGCGCCCAGTCTGCGATATTTTATTACGCAGCCTGTACTCCTTGCACAGAACATCTTGAGCGAAGGAAGAGGAGGAGAGATGCGGTCAGAACAGCACGTGAGGCTGGCAGGGGTGACCTCGTAACGGACCAGCCTGTGTTCTACCAGCCAACGCCGTTCAGCACAAATGCATACTGGAGTGAAGAGATCGCCCTGGGGCCTGGGCCGCCGGTGAGGAGGGGGAGGAACAATACTGCCAGTCGGACGGGAAGCCAGAGGAACTTGGCTACGTTGGATAAGGACAAGCCTGTCGTGACGGAGAGAGCGGTGCTGACGGGTGTGCTGGAGGACTTGTCGATACCAAAGGATAAGAAGGACGAGCCACGCGGCCGGGCCAGTCGATGGAATAGCGTTCGGTATCAGAGAGACGACGAGGTGCTTTGGGGGTCTGACGGGAAGCGGTCGTCTTCGAGTCTACGGGTAGCGACCAGAGGTTCGTCAAAGTACTCGATTGATCCGCCGCCGGAAATACACGATGTGTACCCTCCAATTGCGAGTGCACTCATGAGCAAAGAGGAGCTTCAATGGATGCTTCAGCCGCCGCCAAGTGCAAAGGTCATGGAGGGCAAGATCAGAGCAGATCCTGCCTCGAGATTCTCGGCGAGCAGCAGCCCGCTACTCAGGGGTATCAAGGCATTGCCCAGTACCGCCTGTCTTGACGCAGACGGACGCCCAGCGCTCGCTCAGCCGCTTTCTGCACAAACCACTGGGTCAGTTGCAAACAACTCTACTACAAACTCACGCAAATCTTCAACCGCGGCGACTGTATCCCGTGGCCTGATACCCATCAACTCGTCCATTTCCCTCTCAACCACCGCCCAGCCCCCAGACACACGTCCATCACTCCCGCCGTTATCTACAACAACAACTTCTCCTCCTAAAGTATGCAGACGGCCATCCGATTACCACCAGCATCAACAACTCGCTCTCTCACCATCCAACGACTCCAGCACCGCTTCACCGCTCGAATTAAAACCTTACGTCTCCCTACCCAGTCTGCCACCCTCCAAGCCACGTCAGCATCATAGATATGAAACCGAATACCGCCCAACATCCAAAGAAACCGTCGATAGTGGTAAGGCATTCCGCCCCATCACCCCATCATCCACCACCCCCTGGCCTCGCACCACAAACAATTCAAACGTTTCAAAGCTGCCGTTCACCAGCACCATCGAGCTCCACGACGTCGACCACCCTGACTCCGACCATACAGCCAATGACGACGGAATCGATCGCTTCGATCGCATCAGAACGTACAGATGGAGTATGGACTTCTAATCCCTTTTTCTTCTCCCTTTCTACTTCTTCCTAGTACAAAGAAAAGGTAAAGCAAAAGAGTTAGAAAAAATGGCGTTTTTTCTTGTATATATTTCTTCTCCCCCTCCCTTTTTTTGTCTCTACTTCTTTCGTTATTTTTCTTTTTTTTTTCTCCCACATTGCATTAAGCCGCCATGCTATGCATCGGCCTGTCTATACTGTCTTTTGTTGTGAAGCTGCCCGTTCTTCTTCGTTTTTCTTTTGATATCATATTTTCCTTTCGCCCTCACACAAACCCACTACTAGGACAGCACGGTCTGATTCTGATATTTGCATATTTTATTTGCTTTCCTTGCGTTTCTTCTGTTCCCTAAGAATTTCCTCTCAGCAAACAAGCAAGCAGGCTAGCACAGTTGTTTTTTACTCTGATTCTTTTCTTCGTTGGTGGTAGGTTTATTCTTTGACTCGGCTTTATATATTAATTACTTCTGGCTAATTGTTATTACAATCAAGATCTTCTCTTCATTGTTTTTTTTTCTTCTCAGCTTACTTCTATGGATTATGGCAATATATATGGAGTAGCTGAATAGGCGGAATCTTCGCTAGAAGTAGACAGTAGTCCTTCATCTATACTAACAACTAAAATACCCCAAGTTAGAGCCAAGGCATCTTGCGCCATTATCCCTCTTAAGACCTCCGCCTCCAGCCAGCTAAGCAGAGAAAAAGAGTACGGGGATGATCTAGAACGGAAAGAAAACACTAAGCAAACCGAACGGTTGACCCTCAGTAGAGACGGGATAAAAGACAAAAGAGGATATGAAATAGTCAAGATAAAAGACAAAAATGATACAACTCATTCATTTTCAATAGATCATGCCGTAGATATATATATGAATGTGACCCTCAGGCTTTCCCAACTGATGTAGATTGGAATAGGAACTGGAATGTAGAGGAAATCGGAAGATCAAAGTCAACAGGATATAGGGCTATTGCGAATAATGGAATGAATGGGAAGGGGGGACAGGATCGGTGTGACATGGAATACATGACATGATATGGCAAAAAGACAAGGGGAAAAAAATCGTTCCTAGAGGCGGCTTTTTCTAGTTATTGGCGGTAGATTGGATGGTGGTGTTGGGCTATGCAAGCGAGTAGGTGTCCTTCACATCATCATGATATATTCTTCATTGATTTTTTCTGCTTTTCTTTCATCCCTTGCAGGAAGCGCGTGGGTATTCTTTTGTAGAAGAGCCATTCGCTTAGTACACCTTCTTCTTCTCGTCCATGCTGAGTTGTCCAGGGCCCATGTTGACAAGGAGAACCAAACCGCCACTATGGATAATTAGTATGAGCGCATATAGAGTATACAGAAGAAAGACCTACACAATGGAAAGAATCTGGAAGAAGTCGTATTTGGCAAAGTCCTTGTGAGGGTGATGGGGGTGGAGCTATTATTGAGAGCCAAATTAGCTAGTGGAACCACCAAATACGGGGAAACAAATATTTGGAATACGAACCGTCCAGAAGTTGTTGACGAGAACGTTGAAAACGCTCAGGACAACGACCAAGATGACAGCACTCCATTTAGCCTTGAATCCAACCACGACCATGACCGAGGCGACGAGACCAATGCAGCTGACGATGATTCGCCACAAGCTCCATTCACCAGAGAAGACGAATCCGATGAACAGGAAGATGAGGAGAACTCTGCCGGCGAACTGGACGTACATCTTGCGGTCCTTCTCCTCGAGCTGTGGAAGGCCGGCGGGCATGAACTTCTTGCGCACCCAGGAATCAGATAGAACCATGAGAAGGCCGCCGATGACGCTAAGGTTGCGGACGATGAAGGTTATGTCGATAAGGAGGCCGTATCCAAGAGCTTGGGCGACCACGACGCCAAGAAGGCCTGCAACAGCGTATTCACTGTGCTTGCGAGCGATAACAAGGACGGAACCAGAGAGCATAACAATGACGTTGAGGATGAGGAAAAGGTGTGTTAAACCCCATGGGACTATAGTAGAATTTAGATCGAGAAACTTCAATTGTTAAACGATATTTCGGGTCTTCTTCTCCTACGTACTGTGTCTGTACTGGTTGAGGTATTCGAGCTGGGGAGTCCATTGCGTCACTATCCGCAGCGAGTCTTCCAAGAAGGTGACGACGATCAGGAATCGACCGATTGCAGGCAGATGTCTGTCAAACCAGTTAGTTTAAAGCTGTCCATACACGTCTTCTCGATGTCTCTCCCCCATCATGTAGAAAGGGTGAATAGGAGGCGACATACGGCTTGATTGGATCAGCGACGCTGTCTAGCCAGTCCTCAATCTTGCTCGTCTGTTCCCGAATGGCATCCAACGGGCTCGGGTCGCTGGTAGCTTGCTCTCTGCCGGGGCCGACGAAGGGGTTCTGATGTCCCAGGTTGTACCCCGCCGTACCGCGGATTTGGGCCATCTTCTAGGAGAGATGTATAGGTAGACGTGTACTTTTTGGTGTGTGGTAATATAAATATCTGTCTCGTCTGCAGGAAGACAAACGGCCTCCAAGTGCAGTCCGTTTGTTCAAGGCTCGAGTCTTGTTCGGTTTAAGTGTATATGTGTCCTGTGCAAACGAGAGACGAGGATCCCCCTGGTTCTTTTTTTTTTTTTCTTCTTCGGCTGTTTGGTTAGCATTTGGCTTGGATGACGGTGGGTTTCGCGTGGCGGATAAAACAAACACTTTATATCCTTTCGAGCTTTCTCACAGCTCGAGGGCGGCCAGACAGAGAGTCAATTGAGGCCAGGCGTCGCTATGGAAGGGGACGAAGCAGGCAGCGAAGGCGAAGTCGAGTCTCTTTTTTTCTTGTCTTGCGTTGTTAATAAAGAAGAAGTTGAAAGTTGTTTTAAAGGCGAAAAAGCCACGATGCGATAAGGTCACGTTGTTAGGTCACGGGATCGGATATAAGAATATATTAAGAAGATCATATAGAAGAGAAGACGTAGAAGAAGACGGGGAAGAAGACGTAGGAGACGGAGAAGAAGATATTAAAGTACAAGAGAGAAGGTAGAAGACTGGCTACTAACTGTTACTAAGACATACAAGAAGAGTTGGCCAAGAGTCAGCATAAAACCGGCATAAAGCAGGAAGAGAGAGAGAAAAAGGGGCAACTCTGGCTGATGCAGGACGAGGATAATCCGAAGCCAAAAGGCCCAATTTGAACAAGAGGTAGACATGCGAGAGCGATGAGAAATAAGCAGCGGGCGGTTACTCGGGAGGAAAAAGCAAAGGGGGACGAAGGGCAATAAGCAAAAACGAAAACCAATAAATAAATACAGCTGAAGCGAGAAGCAAGGTAGAGACATCGATGCGAGAAGGGGAAGGGAAAAAGAAAAGACCGGGAAAATTGGATGGAATTGAAAGGAGGGCGGGATAGTATTCCCTCCGCCCGTTGAAAGGCAACGTAAAAGGTGCCATAACGCCATGAGCTAGTAGTTTGGTTGAAAAAAAAAAAGGGGGCAGGATGAGGGAAAAAAAAGAGACCTGTAATAAATGTAGAGAGCTTGGCCTGGATGCTGGGAGAGAAGGGCAGAGTATGGAATGCTGGAGCGGATGTATGTAATTGTATGGATCGACTGGAAGAGATGGGTGGTTGGTGAATGATGGAGTCCTCTCTATGCTGGTTCATGATAAGTTTTTTGAGTAAAGGAAAAGAAGAAAAGAAATCGTGTCGTTAACTACCACGAGGCCTCAACGGGGTTGCCGTGTACCTCCGAGCTGCTGGCTTCGCTCATCGACTCGGCGTTACCCTTGCCGCGCTTCTCCTTCTTACGGTTCGAGACGGTCGTCCACTCGTTCTCGCTGCTCAGCGTGTTGAGCATCCTCATCTGCTCCTCTTCCGACGGAAGGTCTTTCGTCCATGGCTTTTTCTCGCCCGTCTGCTTGGAGGTTGGTTGCGAGGGCTCAAAGGTGTCGAGCAGTGGCATGGCAGACGGCTTGGTGTTGCTGGCACCGTTGCTGCCGCCGCCGGTGGTGTGTGCGAGCGTGGAGGGCGATGTTGCCCAAGCATTTGTGGGTGGTGAGGGTGCCGCTGACTTGGCCTGCTGTCTCTCGTATTCTCTGGCCGTGTGCATCTGGTTCTCGACCATTGCGCGTCTGGCCTTCTCTGCCTCTTTGACCATCTCGTTCTTCTCCTCGCGCTTACGGCGGGCCTGGCGCTGCTTCTTCGTCTCTACCGACTTGAAGGCGCTTTGTTTCTTTTTCTTGCCGTTCTGGGCGCCTTCGACGTCTCCCGTAAGGCGGAGGACGGATGCAGCGGGAGCAGGCTCCTCGAGCATGTCGCTGACATCGCCAGCAGGTTTGATGCGGGGTGAGTTGATGGGAGACATGTCGTCGTCCGCATCTGCGCCGGCGGTAGAGGAGGTAGCAGTAGAGACATGGTTGGCGTGCATATCTCCATTGGCGTTTGGGAGAGGTTGTAGTTGTTCTTGCTGCTGCTGCTTGGGCTGCTTCTTTGTTCTTGTACTGGTGCCAGTCTTAGATTTGGCAGCTAGAGGAGTGCCGCTCATCGCCTTGGAGAACTGTTTGGCGAATTCGTAGTTGTCGTCCATTCCCCCATTGCTGGTGGAAACCGGCTCTTCGGCATCGACGACCTTGTGCTCCTTCTCGGCTTTAGGTACGGCTACCGGTGCAGCGGCACTGTTGCTACCCTCGCTAGAGTTGCTGTTGATTTCCTGCTGCGGATTCTTGCGTGGCTTGTTGCGCTGCTGTTTTCCCTTTTTGCTCCCTGGCGAGGCAGTGTTTTGCCTCTCACTCGGCTTCAGGAAGGCAGCTCTTGACTTGGTTGTCGAGCCATTCTTGTAGTAGTAGCCGAGTCCGCCCGCAGCAAGGAGCAGAATCGCCCAACTCAAGTACGGATTCATGCTGATTGCGGTCAAAGAGTATATAGTATCTATCCGGTTGTCTTCTTATTTATCCCAGGTTTAACGCAAACGCCGAGCAGTCAGGAGGAAAAACCCCAGGGAGTCCGGGGTTGCTGGTTGTCGAAGGGAAGCAATCTGACAGCAGTTTAAACGAACATGAAGGGGCAGTGTAGGTTGACGCTGAGTCGAAATAGGCGCCGGACGGTGTCGATGTAAGGGTCGGTCTTTGTCTTGCTAGAGGGGAGGATGCGAAGGTGGCTTGTTCTGCGAGCACAGGGTCAGACGGGCTCACAGCAGGGATAAGGGCCGGGCTCCCTTGGTACTCACCAGGTAGACACTCATCTCTTTACTATGTACAAAGGAGGCGACCTTGTCCTCGTGGTTGGTGTTCTTGTTGATGCTGTAGTTCTTGCGGTTGAGAATGCGATGAGAAGGAGAAGAAGACTTCTAAGGAGGTTTTCCCTTTTGAGCCAGGAGAAAGCAGAACTACCAACGCCAACGTCAACAACGTCAACAACGACAACAATGGCAGGACGAGATATGAAACAGAGATAAGAAAGAAGAAGACGAGGCTCTGGACGCGGTCCGCTTTGTAAGGAGGCCAGATGAAACAGTTGATCAGGATGGGGCCGACGAGAAGAAAAGGAGAGAAGAAGACACGATACTTATACGTATGATGAAAAAAAACAGGCAGACTTGGCCAGGTTTCCTTGCTAATCAGCCTGGCAATGCCTCGAGTCTCCTTGGATGGAGCTTCTCTTACGAAATCTACTTGGTATATCTCGGGATTATAAGCTACGTGGCCAGCAGATATGGAGGCTGCTTGTGAGCTCGGTCTTTCGACAGGACGCTGGACCATCGCAGTCTTATATATATCTGTTCGATCTCTCTCATCTGTAGGACGACAGAAGATGAATCTCAAACACGATCAGGTTTACGCGGCAAGGGGTCGTTTCATCCTCGAGGAACAAGCAGGACGCAGGCTCTGTTGGCCTCGTATTGTCGTCTGCTTTCTCCAAGGGTTTTCTCCTTTTTTTTTCCCACAAGCAAGTATCGAAACATTTAAACATGTTTAATGGATTTACCGCTTGACTTCTTTCGCCTTAGTCGGCACGTGGAGTTCGTCCTTATCCTTGTTATTGTTTTTTCTTAATAAACGCTGATATTACTTTCTAGACCTACAAAAGGAGGCATGACCGTAGAGTCGCGCCTTCAACAGCAACACCAGCCAAAAGGCGCAAGAAAGACGAAAGAAAGACGCAAGATGCAGAGCAAGCAGAAGCAAGATGGAAACATGTCGGGCTCATGTAGAGTATTATACAAACACTTAAGACGTTGTGGTCAGGAGCCGACAAGATGTGGAATCCTGTTCTGTGTTTAGCATGCTGCATTGTCATCCTGCAGAACATTCAGGTGTCGGCATGGTCGATTCCGCGAGGATATCTCGGTGTGCATACGAGCCTCAAGGACCATACCATTCGCGGCCCTGTGACTAAGGAAGCTAGCAAACACGGTGCTTCGCCGGTTCCTCACTCCTGGTTTACCGTCACCACTGACAATGTCGCAGAAGGAGTAGATGATGATGTGATTGAGAATAAGATGAGCGACCAGGTTACTCTTAAGCGATTGATGGCGGATCTTGAGACATGCGTCGAAGATCTTCTTCCCTATTCCACGGAAAGGGCACCGAACGACCTTGTCCAGATCAGTGGATCAAAGGTGAGATCCTGCAGACAGGCCATCTACTCTCTTATACGCTGGTTCAGGAGCTCCTCTACCAACAAGCCTACAAGTCAGAACAAGCGCAGAGACGACCAAAAGTCACGGTTCAACCTGGTCAAGCCGGGAGACAACACAGATCCCCGACAGACCGGAAGGCTTGGGGCGACAGGCGACTTAGACAGAAGTCGACCGACCCAAACAGCTACCAGGCCGCCTACCTGTCGTGACCAAGCATGCTCCCCTGGCGACCTTACCCCGACTTGTGTGACAAAGGGGGGAGCCAAGCTGAAGCCTACACTGGCACAAATGTGCAACATGTGCTTCCCGCGTAGAAATGAGCGGTTGATTGATGAGTACTGCTCTGAGCGGGCGCAAAAGGAATGGCATATATTCTACATTCTCTTTGCGATACTGGTAGCCATCTCCGGTGCGGGGATCACTCTAGCTGCATTCCGCAAGATAAGGGAGAAGGGTCAGAAGTCTCGGGAGACAGGATCAGACGTCCTTCCGACAAAGAGATTTATCCAGCCGAGGGCAACACTGGGGAATCCATCGTTGGCCAAACCCAAGTCTAGGAGGGTTGGGTCATGGCTTGCGGCAGCGGCGGCCTATCTCCGGAATCAAGGCACGCGAGTTGACATAGAAGAGCATGCGGCACTTGACGCAAGAGTGACAAGTCTATCGCCTCCTACCCTGCTCCCAAACCAGGTCGATCCCAATAGACAGCAGACTTTTCAAGTATCTGGCGCCGAAGCCTGCGAGAGACAGGCTGGACTGAAATTGAGGAAGAGTTGCGATTCTAGCCTGGAAGTACCTGGAAAAGCAGCAGCACCCCGAGCACGTAGCTCGAGTGTGCAGGCAATCCCGAATGGCAGTGGTGAGCCACAGCGTCTGAGCGTTGACATGGGTATCCATCGCCCGCATACCGCACAGTAAATAGACGTTGCTATCATTTTCGGATGAATATAGTGAGACGGTGGAAGCTCGGCTGATGACCTCTGCCGCTGTTTGGATAAGTTGTGTTGCCGTCGGAAAGTCCAGCAGCAAAAAGTAGTATTATTAAACGGCCTGTTCATAGTATGATATTGGTTAGAAAAATGGGGACTACCTCAGATAATGGCATTGATAGAGTAAATGATGTTTTCCCTAACAATTGAGTATCCATGGATAGTATTTACGTCCCCAGACTCTTCCCTACACAACCCTCCTGGCACAAAACACCAGAAGACAAAAATACGTAAGAAAAAAGTCATAAATCATCCATTTAGACAGTTAACAAAGGGCAAGCTGATTGCGTCCTTGATCTCCTTCATTGCCTGCACAACCATCTCATCCTGCATCTTCTTGCCAACTAACTGAAGACAGACCGGAGCCGAGGCTTGGACCACAGGGTCATAGTTGTCCTGATACAAAGCGTCGTCATCGTTTCTAGGCGTGTATCCAGTTTCTTTGGTATCAAGCCGAGGATTGATCCTGGTAACTGGGAATACAATAGCTGGGTAATCGAGGATATTCCAGATAGATGTATAGCCCCAGTAGCGGGAGGTGGAGAGGACGGGAGCCACGTTAGGGTGTGCAGGGCACAGAATAATGTCCATGTCAGGCTCTAGTTTGTTCCATTCTACGTAGGGTTAATAATAGGTTAGTTTGATATCAAGATGTGTGGGGTGGGGATGAGTATATTCGATCTAATGGCGTTCTTACCGGTCAGATAGTCGAATCGGTATGCCTCGCGTCTCTTCATCAGGTTCCATAGAGCAGGTAGATCGTGGGCTTTAACAGCAGGGCCTTCCTTAGCGACCCAGTTTGCGAGTTGGAGGGCAGACTCTCCACCTTCCTGTAGTAGTGCCTCATATGATTTCCCGCCGTCTGGGGAATAGAGGCCAGCCTATATAGCGGGGTTGTCAGTATTGCGCTATAGTCGCCGAGTGGTTGGTATAACTCACGAGGATATCCATCGCCTCGTCGTGGCGGTATGGTTTCCATTCAACGATTTCAACACCGGGGACTAACTTGAGCTTCGCCACAACTTCCTGCAAGGCTCTAGTTACCGGTGGGAGCGGCTTTACAATGCCGTCATCCCACATAACGCCGACCCTGAACTTCTTTTCTCCTTTCGGATTGATACATTGGGGATGTTCTCGCCAGCCGACCTGGTGCAGGCTTGGACTTTTGCGCCAAGGCTCAGCATCAAGGATGACTTTCATCAATAGGCCGATGCCTTCGAATGTTGGGCATAGCGGACCGGCTGCTCCCCAGATCGTCTCAACGCCAATGTTATAGGCAGTCCACCCTGTAAGAGGAATTCGGTGCGTTGTGGGTTTGAACCCGTATATGCCGCAGTTTGAAGCTGGTGAGCGGATACTGCCACCTATACATAGACATGAATTAATGCCAAGGACGGAGAGGATTCAACCCTTCATAAACAGCCTTACCCATGTCTGTGCCAATCCCAAGCGGGCTGCCATATAGTGCCTGAAGTGCCGATTCACCACCGGACGAACCACCAGGGGTAAGAGCGATGTTGTGGGGATTCAGGGTCTCTCCGGTGACATTGCTTTTTGTTTCCAACATCAACTATCGGGCACAAAACGGTGTAAGCCAGGATTAGATCGTATAGAAGTCGCAACTTAATGCAAGGAAGTGTGATTTTTGGAATATACACTCACCAGTGCCTGTGGTTCTGTTGTTCTCACGTATTCCACTGCTCCAGCAGCAATCAGGATCTTGAGAAGCTCGGCATCATCGGGCGATGGCCGTCCTGCCCAGGCCACGAATCCAGAACTGGTATCGCACCCCTTGACGCCCATATGAGCCTTGACACTGATAGGAAGGCCATGGAGGGGCCCAATCGGCTTCTTGTGCTCTGCGAAGTACTCATCTAGCTCCTTTGCGCGTGCGAGTGCTCGCTCCGGCAAGAGTTCATGGACACAGTTGACCTAAAGGGCTCCAGTCAAAATGTATAATTCGCTACGCTTCTAAATAGTCCATTACTCCAACTCACCAGTTTCTGTGCAATGACTGCACGACGAAGGAAAGCCTTGGTGACCTGGGTCGCCGTGAGGACTCCCTCAGCGAGAGAGGTGATTAAAAACTGAGCGGATGATTCGGTAATGCCAATATCCTCCTGAGAAAGGCATTGTCTCGGTATGTCTGTCACGTTGCCGGACAGCTTCTCTGGGATTCGGGATAGATCAACGTCTACCTTGGAAAGGGCTTCCTCCCGGCGAGCTTGGAAACGCGCAAGGCTATCCTGCGCTTGCGTCATTCTTAGTTATATTCTTCCCTTTAGTTTATCGGTGCAGAATAGTTTCTATCGAGGCATGGGAGAGAGAGGGCGTGCGGAAGAGCCTATCCAGACGAGCAAATGAGATTGTTTGCGATATCGCATTCTGGTCAAGGAGGCCGGAATTTATATACCACCAACGAGGAACAAGGCCACGTAGGACAGTACGTCTCACCTTGAGGTATTTTGTTTAGTTCCGTATTGGTAGGAATGAACGAAAGAGTTAATAAACAGGCTAAAACCGACAGCTGCGTTCACAATTCGCTACCATGCAATGCCGGCACTATGACATGTTATGTCCGTACCGAATGGGATCCCGGGTCGATGGAGTCGAAAAACTGGAGTCGAGATAAGAAGATCGCCAAGAGCAAGGGTGATCATATGTATGTGGACCAATCTGACGTTGTTGTGCGTCGAAAAGAGCCAGGCAGGGATTCTCGGGGATGCAGAGAGCCGTCATCCCCAGCCCGGCCGATGTACTGATGTACCCTTTTACATCGTTGTCCCTTCAGGCGCGTGGGGCGCGGGTTTGCAAAGGGCTTCCGCTCCCGGCGCGGGAGAGAGGAAGGGCCCCGACCTCTTGTGGCCCACTAGAGGGGTCGTCCTATCTGTATCATCCTGCAAGGTATGTATATATGTAATTTTGCTGACTGGGTTCGGAGGAGCCACCTTGGATGAGAATCCATACTATGTATAGAACTCGGTTAATGGGTGATTAATTGCAGAATCCACCGCATGTCTCGCATTCGACGTCTACCTCATCGTCTATCCACAGATCTGTTATGTAGCGGCACGGTGGTGTCTGGGATTAAAGAGAATCGTCGTCGCTCTTGATAGATGTTGGCAGAAGTACTACGGACAGGGGGAAAGACCAAAGAGGCAACTGAGTATTCACGTGATAACCTTAAGATAACGTCTCTAAATAATATATTGTAGAAGTGGAATTTTTGGATCAACAATTCTAAACAAACCATCCATCAAGGAGTATAGTGTCTGCTTCTCAAAAGCTATGACAGGGGGGAAAGAAGGTAAAAAAGAAAGATAAGATCTAAAAAAGAGTCATAAGAAAGACGCAAATCCTGTCCCCATCGTGAACCCACTCTGATCTAAATTATACCCTCCTTCGGCTCTTCTGCAGCTCTCCACTCATTGTCTCTCTCCCTGCTCATGCAACCACTCGTATACGTTCCTTGATGCCAATCCCAAGCTCCTGTGGCGTTTCCAAACACAGAGACGGATGCACGGGTTGTACCTCGTCTACAAGTGTGCTCAAGTATTGCACCGAGAAGTCCGACCATGCATCGAGAAGATCAGAGCGGAATTTGCTGCCCTGGATAGACTTTCCAATGTGGAGGCGAATTAGGTCGCCAGAGTGAGCCAACGTTCCTCGCGGCCCAGACAGCTTTACAATTAGCTTCGAGAGGTCTTCTGGGTTTGCGTTGAACCGGAATTTCTCCGGGTAGAATCTGGAGGCTTCGACAACGCTGGAGTTAGAGATTACGGTGGTAACGCCATTGAGAGCCGCCTCCAACGGGGTAATACCAAGAGTCTCGTAGCGAGATGGACATATGAAAATTCCGGTGTGCCGTGCCACGGCGAATAGATTGTATAAAGCGGATCTCGAGACCTTAGGGACCATGAGGAACAGATGCTGGTACTGGGGTGGCACCTTGTTCATGAGTGCTCTATGCTCCTTGCTATCTGGCTGCTCGCCTCCTGCAATGAAGACCCTGAGAGGGATACCCTGGACGCAGAGGAGAATTGCCGCGTCAACAAGCAGATCGATATTTTTGAAGTAATCGAGGCGGGCAACTGCGGTGAACATCACTACACCATCAAAGTTAAACCATTCTGTGATGTTTTCGGGCAGCTCATCTTTGGTCTCTTCCGTTTCGGTGAGAAGTTCGATCGGCGGACACAGCTCACGTAAGGCGGTGACGCCTCTGGAGGCCAGATAGTTGCCTTGTAGCTGTGAGTGCTGGAGGACGAATGCATTTTCCCGGCTTTTGATTATCTCAATACCCTTGCTTTGCTGTCGTTCCAGATGCTCTGCCTTCTCCATGCTGCCGAATGCCAGGGCGGCGGCCTCCTTGGAGAAGATGGTTGCGAAGCTTCCAAAAAAGGGGCCGTGGTGCGTAACGCATAGAGGGATGTGACGGGGATGGTACTCCATTAGGGTGTCGGTTTGATAGTATAGCATGGGGGTTCCCTCCATGGGGTTGGCAGCGTTGAGGATTCTGATGCAGCTGAGTAGGGCATTGGCGACTTTGTTAGGGTCCATGTGGAAGTTGAAGGATATGGTGACTGTTGAGATTGAGCTGAAGACCTCGCTGGAGATGTAAGGGTCCACGATATCCTCGTCTCTGTGGTACAGGATCATTCCCAAGAAGATTCCTCTTTCCACAAAGGCCTGAACCACTGAAGCAGCAAATGCGGCTGCCCCGACCTTGGCGGCGGAGCCATTGTCGGTGATTAGGTATCGCCTGTTGAGAACAACAATGGCGGGGAGGAATGGTTTGTTATAGTCTTTTGCCATGGGCGAAGACTGGATCTTTGGGTGGGAAGAAGTAGAATCAAGGATGAGAGGCATGTTGAAAATACTTGCTCGATGCCAATTTCTAGCTGGGTATGGATATTTTGATGGTGGTGATGGCAGAGTGAAGGCGTCCCCATCCTTCAAGATGATGTTGAGGGACCTTATATACTTTTGGCCAAGTATAAGTGCCAATGTGTATAAGCAAAGCTTCCTTCCTGTGTATGTGACGGCTAAAAGCATCGGTGATCCTCCCCGCCACACCTTCTATTTCGCCCGCCTGGCTGTTCCAATGTTCCACTCCTTCGAGACAGCCGAAAAAAACCAGCTGGCGATCCTCAAAGCTGGCCGGCAATCTGGGGATGCCGCTTCTCCTACTTGTTCTTGTTAAAGTTGATTATCCAAAGCTTATTTATGAGATTACGACGAGAGGCATCCATAGATCAGCCCTCTTATCGTTGTCCGTCCTTTTGTCATGCACCCGGAATCCATGTCAGAGGCGATAGGTATACATTATATACCTCTCGAGTCTAGATGACGGGAAGTAAAAAATAAAGTGAGGGATACCGGGCGGATCATTGTATCATCTGCAAAGCAGTCTTTTTTTTTTTTTTTTTTTTTTATGAGACACTGATCAGCCTGGAGATCGATTGGCAGGCAATGCAACTCAAACAAGAGCATTCTCCCCTGGATTAAGCGTCAGTCATCCTAGCACCGCGCGCCGAAGACCGGACATTGTTTTCGGATTCGCCGCCAGCAACCTAAGCTTGGTTGTTCCCGTCTGCTTAGAATCCACAATTCTGGCTAGAAAACGGTAGAGCGCGGCAGGATTCCGGGCTACCTGCTGTGGATGCAGTTTTGGATCCATGCGTTGCATAGCCCTAGGGCTATTGGTTCTTGGTTTCATGAGGAATAAAGTTTGCTCTCATTTGGCTTTGCCTTCTTCCTTCAGCCACATATACTTACATTCACGTTCGCATAGAATATACATCTAGCCAAGAACTATATAGAGAGGTCGATATAAGGCCTGTCCTTGAAGTAGGCGCATTTTTAACCTCCGGATATAGGATATAAGATAAGATCGGTTCTGGCCCGTCAGGCTGAGCCTTTCTGGCGTATACATATGTACGACACATTCAGCCTACATATGTAGCAAGATCAGCCAACCACAGCGCATCAAAGTGGTGTGCTCAGGGGACTTTTATCAAAAAAAAAAAAAAAAAAAAAAACGTGCGACGTCGAACAAGCATTATGGCACGGTGTAGATCGCTGCTAGAGCCCTCCGCTGCAACAGTCTTACAAAGGCCACCGGGAAATGGCTATGGATGATTTCGTGACGGCACGCTAGATGCTGGGGAACACGTTTGGGGCAAAAGCCGTACTTTTGGTTTGGGCTGCCAGGCTGATCTGCTGCAAAGGGAAGCTTGATTGCAGCGGTATATATGTTTTTTTTTTTGTTTTTCTTTCAGGGTATATGCATAGGCTAAAGAAGTTGTTTTATATGCATCCCCTGGAAGGGAGGAGGATATCCTGCAATATGCAACGATATGATCCACCAGCCGAGTCCACTTGCTGGCTTGACAACTCGGCAAATGTTAGATGGACAGAGTCACCGCTTGAAGGGGATCAGCAGACGAAAATCAGACAGGGTATTGGTTGCTGGTTGTATAAAGGATGGAGAGAGTTGAAAAGTTCAAAAATTGGTTGCGGTTTGGTTGTGTGGTGTTTTGCAAATTAAATGTGGTAGCGATGACTAAAATGGATTTCACAATGGTAAGGGGGAGCGTTTTATTGGCTGGCTGGGAGCGACAACTTTGAGTACCTTTAATCTGTAACTCGGTTGAGCATACTATGTAGTTATACATAATTTTATGCACTGCACTACCAAGCGGAAATGCCAAGCTTTCGACGGGAACATCTCCCGTCTTGGCAAGACCCACCGTGCATGTTTACTTTATGTTTACTTTCTATATAGATCAAAAATGCATCACGACTTCCTGAACAGCAACTTCGCTACTTCTGC